GCTAAGGGTATTACCAGACGAAATGGTGGTGGGTGAAGACGAGGACGCGGTGGAGGACCCCTGAACTGCCGACGCGAAAGAGGCCAATTTCGGGGTTGATGAGGAAGCCCACAAGCGACCCAGAAAGCGGGAGGCTGCTGTTGCAACATCAGACCCTGGCGCATCCTCGCTCTTGGGATTGGCGCTTGGAGGAATCTTGGCTTCACGGTACCCCTGTTCGAGCAATGCCATTCGTTCCCGGGTGACCACGTCCGACAAAGCGACAAAGTCCTGGACGAACTCGTCCGCATTGTAGTGGTAACAATCCCACAAGCCGCGTGACAAAAGCAGCTGCATGACGTCCTCCATCTCCGTGCACGCCAGGATGCGGCCTTCATTCTTGCGCATCAGACTCAGCGCTACTCGCATGATCGTTTCCGATGCCCCCTCCGCAAATATCACATCGTAGATGCGAAACAGCATGGGCAGGGGGCAGGTCACCGCGAAGAAGGACAGGAACCATTGTGAAACATAGGCCGGTTCGACGCCCAAGTCTTCGAGATGGTCCGCCACCACGGGCAGATGCTGCTTGAGCAGTTCTGTAAACTGGTAAATTCGGACGTGCAGTCCTGACAAGTCGGGCACAAAGCAGTGGCGCAGATCGTAGTTCTCCATCAACCTGTGGGTGGAAATGCATGTGTTAGCTGATCGGCCACTTATTTCCGGAATCAATCGACTTTTCGCTACCGCCAAAGACGATCCGATGTCCATCACAATCCCAACGGTGCAGTAACTCTGACCGACTTACCTGACCAAAACACAAAATGCATGCTTGTCCGGCATGTGCATCAATAAGGGTCCGACCAGAAACGCAAGTCCCTGACAGTACCCGATTTTCGTGTCGTATAGACTGAACGTCTTGAGCACACGACCAAGCATGCGCTGTCCGTCACCTTCGGGATCCCTAAACATCTCCACGCCGGGGAAGCTTCGTCCGAGATCTTTGCCAATGATGCCCTCATATGGGCTTGACTCGCCAGATAACCGTTCGAACACGTCCTCGAGGTCCTTGTCACGAGCACCGCACATGCTCTGCCACACCACACCGCGCAGCGGCGGGGGGATACCCTTTCTGATCTTGTTGGAGAGCAGAGTGGGAAGCCTGGCTGCCGTCTGCTTAGGATCTTTGACCAGGGCCATGTAGAATTCGAGCTCGGTCATGGGTGGCGGTGGCAGGACCGAGTATCTGAGAGCAGGAGGGGTCGGTCCATTGACCATTTGTCGTAGCTGAGCCATGGATGGTGGTCTCGGTTTGCGGCCTGGCGAAGTTACCTTTTCCACGGCCGCAACCTTGACACTCTTGGGATTTGTCGCGATCTTATTATTTTCCTGCTCCAGTTTCGCTAGCAGCATCGCAGTCGACTGTGTCTGTAAGGGCGGGAGTGTCAGCGCGGGTAAGCCACCAAAATAGGCTGATGTCGCACTATTTCAGGAACGTCAGCCATGCATGCAACTTACATTATCTGCATCTTGCTCTTTGACCTGCTCGTCCTCTTTCTTTTGCAGATCGTCCCAATTCACGTCCTCGGATTCAGCGCTTGAGCCCTCACTGCGTGCATCATCGTTGTCGTCTTCCGCTTCCTCATTGTCCTCTTCTTGCACACTCTCAAGCTCTTCCAGCAAGCTTGGGCTGTGCGTCGACGCCGGCGTCTTTAATTCGTCATTGCGATCCTCATCGTTCTTTTCTTCCTTGATCGTTTCTGTCTCCGCGTCCTCGTCGGTTGGCGAAGCGGAGGGTGAGTCATCGAGACCCCAGACGTTCTTCCGTGGTGGGGAAACGGTCGTATCGATTTGGAGTGAAGACCTCGAAGGTTCGGAAAGGCGGACGGAAACGAGGGAGTCGTGCTCCATGGTCCTCTTCTGGTCGAATTCTAGCTCGATCGGAGAGGAATTGGTCCCGGTGGGACTTGGCGACGGGAGCGGCGACTTTGACGTTTCTTCTTGGCCATCATATTTGCTGTCGTGCCTGCTGTCCCGTGTTTTGCGATCGAGCTCCATTCCGAGGCTAAAATCGGTTTGGATGTTTTTGTGGTGGCCGTTTTGGTGGTCGAGATCGAGGGGCGGTGAAACTCGAGAAGGCCGGAGGGTGGCACAACGCGGGTCGACAGGCAGGTCGTGCAAGCGCGCAGCGTCGACCACAGCAAGTAAAAAAAAAGTGCTAAAATGGGCCTCGACAAGAAGATGAGGTGTGGTTTGTTTGGTTTAATTCCTGATGTGAAAATTCCGGGTTGCTCGATTGCTGTGGAACAAAATTGGCGTGTTCTTCGTCTGTCTTCGTCTCTGCAAGCGGGTTCCGAGTCCCGCTGCCACTCCAAAAGAGTAAAATCAAAATCCTGGCTGTGTACCGTGATGGTTCGGTTCGTTCGTCCGTTCGGGTTCTTAAGTCGGTGAAGGGGGGTTCCCAGCTCAAGTCAAGGTATTGTATGTAGACGGTACCTAGACTCTACTTGCTGCTCGGTCTTCTTAAGTTCTTGTCACTCTCCTTTCAACCGTGGGACAACAGATAAACAATTTTTCTTTCGCAGTCGCTTTCCACTTCCAACACTGACAGAAGGCAAAAGAGAAAGTGGAAAGCTTCTGAAGGGAAAGAGGCAGACAGGGATGGGCGTCTCGCCAACGACACGACGGAAAGTGGACTTTGTTTTGGTGTGGATGTCCTCGTCTCGTTAGCCTGCCTTCTCAGAAGCCAGACCCGTCTGTGGGCGAATGGGTGCAAATGGGCTAGCTCTTGGCGCGCGACTGGCTGGTGCTTCGAGCGGCCAAAGAACTTTGAATGCTGAAACCGCGCGACTCGACAGCGTGACTGATTCCTTTCTCAAAGCGCTGGGCTGGATCTTGCAGAAAGGAAGTAACGAAGCGGTTGTGCACAGGTTGGCGACTTTGTTGTCGAGAAACGCGCACTTGCAGTTCCAAGAAGGAGGAGGACAATTGGCGGCAAGAGTCACCAAGGAGAAACACACGATGTCGGATTCAGGGGTTCAAGCACCAGACAGTGTGCAATGTGAATGGGCCAAGTTGCAACCACCCACCCCTGATTTCATCCAATTCTCGCAGAATTACAGGGCATCCACCGAGACACTGGAACGCATCTGAATGAATGATTAATCGCAAATTCGTCTCATCACGGCACCGGCACCAATATCCACGGAAAGAGCACCGCCGATTTTTCCCACCCAACTTGGTCTTTCAGTTGTCACCGATCCCACGTAGCCCGTTAGACCCGTGTGGTGTTGAGATATTTTTGACAGCGGCCGACTAGACAAGAAGATCGGTCGGCCTTGTCCGATCATGGAGGTCGGTTCTCAATGGGCGCGGGCCGGCGGGGTCTTACCCCTAGTCCCACCGTCCCGTGCGTGCCTTGTCCCGGCCCCTGGCGTTCCCGGCTCAACTGGCTGGCTTCCTTCACCGCCTTGTTAATTATCCCACGACAATGTTATTATCGTCCTAAATCGCCTATAGTGTCTCTTTATCGGTTCCGTCACCATTGAGAACATCAAACGGATAGTCCATTCCAACTTGTTTTTTGTTTGTTTGACTCTGTTTTGTCCTCAACATCACCGTCGTCACCTCCTGGCAGTCACCAACCCCCTTTCAAAAGTCAAAACACCGGGACAGAAATCGTCAAATTTCTAACCAATCAATGGCACAATCTCCACATGGCGTAGCATGCAAGTCTGTGCAAGCGGTGCAAGTAGGGCTGCTTGATTGGACGAGAAATGGGAGAAGCTTCGGCCAAACAGAGCCAATCCCCACAATCACTGCACAGCTTGCAGTGGCCAGTGGAAGTCAGTCGGGGGGGTTGCAGTTGCAGCACTTGTTCTGCGGGCGGTCAGGATGCAACTGCGCCAGCACTGCTGCAGGAACTTCATTTTGACAGTTGTGACCTCCTGCCTCATCGGTGGTGGTCGTGATCGCGCGGTTTAGAAAAAAGTTATTTCTTGGCGTTTCCATTGACGGGACGGAATTCCATTCCATCGGCCTTGCAACCAACGCATAAACAAAGATGCTGTGAGGCAACGTTAGTTTGATGAGAAGGATTAAAGCATCATACCACACCACCACATGAGTGGACTAGGTAGGTAGATGACGGAAGTAAACCTTCTGGATCGATGAATTATCTCGGGCCTACGGTCCGTATAAACAGAAGCACTTGATCTGATCTAGGATTATACGCACACGGATTTGTCGGTGGATGGATTTCGACCGGAAGATCCGTCTTTGAAGTTCTGAAATAACAATTTGGAAGATTTCATTCGGGTTCTCGCGTCACGTCACGCCACGTGCGTCACTCTGCAATATAAACGGAGGGTTGAGGTCTCACCCCGAGAGGTTGGTGGAAATTGAGATGAAATCGTATATCAATGTTTATCAGCCCAGCTGAGGCTGTTGAATATGGATGTCGGATACGCCGGGAGTAACCGGAGTTTGCGATCGTTTATCTATCTTGGTAATACATAGAGGACGTAGAAACCTATATGGAATCGCCGAGGATTGATTATAATGTGAACCAGTTTGGGAATCTTTGGCGATGGCGATGCGGGTAAGGTGTATTGATGGATGTGGCTTACCCGTCAATGTTATGGTTTTATAGTCTACTCTCTTTCTTTTAGTGAAACGACGCAAAAACCCACCGTCTATTCCGCTATAGTATAATGTGATCTTGAGAAAGGGAAATCCTCGCTATGACGAACAGTAGAAACGGGCAGTAAACAATGGAGGACAACAAAGAAAGGGCAACAATACAGTCTCCTATTTTTCTTTGAACCGCCAGGAAACCCGAAAATCGTCCCGTCCTCCAGCCATCAGAAGCACAGCACATATATATGGATTGAACTAACATGAAGATGATGTGAGACTCCACACCTTATTCTATTCCGGCTATACCGACACGTAAAATCCAAACGTCCCATCTTTTCGTTTTTGTTCTCTTCTTCTTCTAGTACATACCCAAACTTTCAGCCTAGCAACCACCCACCCAAAAACTCCTAAAAGCCCGCCGTTATACAAGCTTGATATGACGTGTCTCTGCTTCTTTTCCTTCACTTTCATGACAACCAAGGGGGATGACTTCTAGCAAAGTTCTCATGGCGGTCCCGATGTGCCGGGCTGCGATTGCTGCGTATCCTGTTGGCTTTGCTGACCTTGAAGCTGCTGTTGCTGCTGATGTTGTGTCACCATCCCGGGGGGGATGGCGTTGGACATCTGCGGCGTCATCTGCGGCGTCTTCATGCCCTGTTGTAGCAGCTGTCCGCTTGGAGCCGGACTTCCGTGGTTCGACCCTACACGACCACCAGCTAGCTGGCCATTCTGCTGCTGCTGCTGCTGCTGTTGGATTTGCTGCTGGATTTGTAGCTGCTTTTGTTGCATTTGCTCGCGGTATTGTTGCTGCTTCAGCATCATCATTTGCTGATGACTTAATTGTTGCCCGGGCTGCTGTTGCTGTTGTCCAGGTTGCTGCTGTGAATTTTGCTGCTGGCCTTGCTGTTGCTGGCTTTGCTGCTGCTGCTGCTGCTGTTGCTGTGACATCTGATCAGGAGTACCTCCTGGCATTGACCCAGGTCCGGGAAGACCCGATGGTCCTGTTGTAGGGTTCACGCCCGTCCTCCAGAGGGGCTCATTTTTATAATCAACGCCTGGGTAAAGGGATTGGAGCTTCTTGTAGAGATCCACCATGATTTTATGTCTTTCTGCGCGATCAGTGTTCGGGTCTGGTGGCGCGTCGCCCGCGCTGTCCTCAGCAGACGTGTTCTGTGCTACTCTTATCCTGAGATTCAAGTGTAGGGGTGGGGGCGTCAGATATGCTGGATACGGGTGTACATTGGGTTGTTTGCCCGGCTGTGACAGCGAGCCCATGAAACCCATATTGGTTCTGGCCCTGACCAAGCATCTATAACCCGAGATTAGTCATTCAGTTCGAGATTCCTGACCCTTCCGTCGTGGTTGCCACTCACTGTTGATAATCCTGCTCTGTCAATTTCTCCTCCTCGGAGAGGCTCATACCACCATTCTGCTGCTGCTCACCCGATTCACCAGCCGACTCCTTTTCTCTCTTAATCTCTTGCCGGCTAATGTGGAGACAGGCTAGTTCGTACAGGAGCTCATGATTGATTTCCAATAATACGGCGAACCTTTCCGTTTCACGCGATCTCGTAGCTGGACTTTGAGGGGCCGAGTGTATCGGCGTCCCATTGACCTGACCTTGTCCTCCGGTGGAAGGGAATGTAGGTGTTTGGGGTGTGCCTACGGCCGAGCCACTTTGAGGCTGGGTGGTGGTTGGTGTCTGATTCGCAGAGCCTCCTTGGCCTTGGGCAGTAGAATAAGTACCTGGCTGCTGGGAGGGCATCGCGTTGTTTGGGGTGCCCTGAGAGGCAGGGTTGAAGGAGCGCTGGGGTGTGGATGCGGACATGTTGGCAGCATTCTGTTGCGAAGGATGTATACGTTGCATCATTGGCTGCTGCTGGGACATGGCAGCATTCATTGGATAATGGGGCATAGAAGCAGACATCATATAGTTAGCTGGAAGTTGCGGCTGAGGTGTCGCGGGTGATGGCACGGCTGCCACATACGGCGCGCTTGTGTAAGGCGCCTGGAATGCCACTGTTGATCCGGAGACTCGGTCAGCCTTGTCACGTCCAAGGTATACAGACAGCTATGTGGCTAGGTGGGTAGAGGCAGGTACTCGACTGATAATCAATGGGGAAGGGGTCCAAGGGGGACGAATCGGAGAATGGCATTGAAGGACGCAGGACGAACTTGACAGACGGGATGAAGGCCGGCAGGACCCGTGAGACACCGGGTGGGCGGTAAGACGCAAACTTGCCGGGACGTGAAACAAAGAAAAGGTACAATCAAATACAGTGAGAAACAAAACCGGGGAAACAAAGTCTAACAGTAGCTGCGGAAGGCCTAAAGGAGGAGGGGAGTGGGACGATGATACATAGGTAGGCATGAGGTCCAGGAGGCCAGGGCCAAGGGGGTGGGTGGAAAGATAAACAAGGCGCGCGAGGGAGAGGTTAAAGCTTACTCTGGCCATTGGTGGCAGCCATAGTGTGCGGCATGGCGGCATTCTGCATCATTCCTGCAGGACCAGCACCTGTTCCCATCATTCCTGGGCTCGGAGCAGCAGCAACTGGGAAGTGGCCGCCGGCTTGGGAGCCCATGTGGAACTGCTGCTGCTGTTGTTGTTGTTGCTGCTGCTGCGTTTGCTGCTGGCCTGGGTGTTGCTGCTGCCCGGGCTGCTGCTGCTGGCTATTATACATCATCTGCTGATGACGCTGCTGCTGCTGCTGGCTCGGGGACGGGCCACGACTGGGACTGGGCTGCAAGTGAGGCGCCTGAGGGACCTGAGGGACCTGAGGGACCTGAGAGTTCTGAGGGTTCTGTGGAGGTGGGGCGCCGTTGAAGGCTGAACCAGCTCCCGCACCACCGGCGGGATTGGGGTTGTTGTAGCCGTATTGGGGTTGGTACATGGCTTATGATTATCGTTGACGGATCAACTGGAGCGCCAAGGGAACGGATGGGGGGACGACGCGATGGACGGACAACAGAAACGTCGTGCGTGCTGAGGTGAGCGTGGATCACCTCGATCAGGGAGGTCTTGCGGCTGCCGGGCAATGTAGATGTGGGGAAGGCGTAAGGCCATCAATCGACAACTTGAACCCAAGCCTAACGCAGCAGCCAACCAACGGGGAGCCTGTTTGTCCCCTGTTCGTGGTTCGTTAGCGCCCACAGACTTGTTCGACGGCGCTGTTCCAGGCGTTCGGCAGTCGGTTCTTCTGTACCTGGGGTGACACTGACACCGACGCAAGTTTCGTCTTGTCCTTTTGCTTTCTGCTGTCAAGCCTGTAAAGCCAGATACTGTACAGCGCTTTAGATACCTATAAGCTGTAAGTACCTGCTTGTCAGGCACGTTTGAAGATAGGATGAAACCAGGCGTGTTTGAAGCCACCAGGGATGTGTCGGGTTGCTTCAAGCCAATCTCGACTTGGGATGAGACCCTAATGTTGGCCGATATTGGTGGTTCCTGTTTCCGGATCGCCTCAGCAGGATCACCACCACACACCACGCAAACTCTCTGGTCTACCACCGCACGTCTTTCCCTGTTATTCTGTACGAGACAGAACGGCGTGTGGGGTGGAATTGATACGGTATGACGGATGTGTAAGAGTGAGCGTCACCTCAGATATTGTGTTCTTGGGGAGGTATACGGATGTACCTGACTTGAAGCCCAAGGTACGCTGCCCTTTGATAGAACGTTAGGGGAGGAGGTTAGGATGTACAAGTAGGGTACCTGTACGTACGGGCCCTGAGAGGTACGACGAGGGGGGGTGTGGGTAGAGAGAAAGACTATCCAGCGTCTGGAAAGTCGTCTTTGATGGATCTGGGGTCCAGACAGGTGGCACCCGGCAGCGAGGCACACCACGATGGGAAGCACCGGGGACTGGGAGTGCAGACAGCCAAGTGACGAGACTGTGCGTGTGAGTGTCCAGTCAGTTGGTCACGATCGGATGGAGATGGACACAACTCCCCAACAGTAGCAGGGGGGATGCCGATAATGAGACCGAAAGTATAAAGTAGATAAGGCAGGGTGACGCAGGGTCTGTCTCTCAACTGGCCCAGCCCTACCTAGGGACGGATGAGGGGGTTAAAGTGATGGGGTGAGATGAAGGGCAGTCCTGGAAAGCTGGCGGAACCCTGAGCCGAGGTGAGGGCCACAGTCTGGAATGTAGTAGGTATGTAGCTGAAGGGGGTGTGCAGAAAGGAGCCAGGAGTGACGGGAGCCAACGACGATTGAGACGAGACGAGATGCCTGGCTGACGTGATGGATACTGGACGGGACCGGGCCGAGGGACAGTCTGTTAGCTGGATCCAGCCTGAGCCCGAGCGGTAATGTGTGTAGGGTTTCCGTATGTAATGCGTATGTAATGCTGTACAGGCGGACGGCGATTGCTACAGGTAATTGCTGGCAAGTTGACCGAGTTTGGCGTGCGCAGGCGCGGTAGGGCAGCGTTGGGAAGAGCGGAAAAACGAGCGAGGATTTGGCAGAGAAGCGACTTCTGCGACTCTGCGCGGAGGCACGGGAGGTCGTGCGAAGGCCAATGTGGCCGAATGCAAATTGCAAAGACAAAAGCGGGTGTGAGTGGGTTCCTGCTGGCCTGCGCGACTGACCACCAAGGCGCTAGCCTGATTGGGAGAAGCGCACTTTGCAAGTGGGGTGGATTGACCGGAAGCGACCGGGATCCAATCCACTTCTGTGGAGGTCGAACGAATGCAAGCCCAGAAGGCCATGCCATTCGCTGGTCTGTGCAGGTGGATGCACAGATGTGCGGACAAAAGCCCGCTCCGCCGTCATGTATTTTCAGATGCAGACAGCGATCGTAAATCACATTGCACGACACCACCTTGCAGTTGGGAGGTAGCACACAGCTTCAAGCACAGCCATTTCGTAGGGAAATTTATTTATATTCTATTCCACTTCCCTATCTCTACCCTCATCCTCACAGTCTTTGATCGCAGTAGCGAGTGCCATACTTGGACTGCCCAGCAACAACATCGAGGAAGTGCTTAGCAATGACGGAATCTGGCACATCCTTGTCAGCGAAATTCACATGTTTGGATCCCGCATCACAGCAGCATAAAAAGATAAACTCATGAGAAAGGACAAAAAACATACCGGTCTTGGTGGAAGGGTGCAGCTCGTCGTACCACATGAAACCGCTCAATGGGCCAAGGCTGGTCTGGTCAACGCAGTCGCTACCGGAAGGCGGGCAGTGGTGGAAGTATCCGGTGCTGTTGTGAGGAGCATCCAGATACGCGGCAGGGTTCTCGTGGACGTCGGTCAAGAGGCTGTGGACGTCAAAGAGATCAAAGGTCGTCTTGGGCCAGCGCGACTTGAGCTTGGTGTTGACCGCAGCGCCATAGCTGAAGACGGTGTTGAGGGTAGTGCTGTACTCCTTGATCTTCTCGCTCCTCTCCGTGACGTTGTACTGGGACTTGCCGGCCCAGAACTGGCTGGCTCCCGAGAAGCCACCGTTCTCAAGGGTGGCATAGAGAGGCGCCAGGTGCAAAGGCGCCAAGTTCAGCAGGACAAAACGACGTCCGCCAGACTTGTAGATGGTGTCGAACACAGTCCAGATGCACTCGGAAAAGTCGGTTAGGGTCTTGCCGGGGTGCTGGTTTTCGGTCAGGAAGGCATCGCCACCGAGATCGTTGGTTCCGATCCAAAGGGCGTAGACGGTGTTGTCGGCGGTCCTGTCGGGGAAGATGGACCTGTACGCAGTATCGGCGACGAAAGAAGGGATCTCGTCATCCAAGACAGCTGGGAAGTCCTTGTTGATGGCGCTGAAGTACCGCGAGATGACCTGGTTGGAGCAGGTTGCGCCGCTGACGGCGTAGTCGACAAGCTTGGCCCCAACTTGACGGCTGGCATACTGGTTCCAGGTCAAACCACCGCTGGCGGTTACGTTGATCTCGCCGTGAAGCTGACCGGCCGGAGGAGGGTTGCCTCCATTGCCGATATAGTAGTTCAAACGGCCGTTGTCCGTATAGCTGTCGCCAAAGGTCACAAGAAAGTCAAAGGGCTTCTTGGTGGGCTTAGCAGTAACAGAGGCAGAGGCAGCCAAGGAGGCGCCGGCCAGGAGCATGGAGAACAACATAGTGAAGAGAAGAGACTGGGGAGGACCTGGAAGCTCTTGGCGAGTTTGATATGGAAGAGCTGAAGTTGAACTTTCACTTGCCGCTTATCAACATGGTCGAACCCCAAGTAACGGCGAGACACCGAGAAGTTATATACACCCAAGACCCAGCAGGCTTGTGATGGCTTGTATGTCTCGTGTAACAACATGATGCGCGCATAATTAATTCACCCGAAGAACAGGTTAGTCCAGTCGGTATTTGCCGTCTCCATCTACAGCTGCGAGATCAGGGGGTTTAGGTGGTAGCAGACCAAGAGAAAACATGGGTGGGAGGGACAGACCGGACCATTTCCACTGGGCCCTTCTCACTTGAGGTCTTGAGGCGAGAATCCGGGTCGGTTCGATGCCCTTTTACAGGCAGAGCTCCCTTTCCCTTGGTTGATTGTGTAGCATAATATTCCCAAGTAGACTCGCCAGGCTAATAGGTATGTAAGCAGGCACAGCAGCGAAGGTGCCGCGAATATTGCAGGATAAGAGTTGTGCCCCCGGAGCTGCTCAGCTGCGTATATCAAAGCTGCGTTCAAAGTTGCTGTTCACCAGAGTAGTGTCCAGTGGCGGGGAAGGTCCGAACAGAGAAAGGTTCTCGAAGACGGGGCGGGACGAGAAGAAACTTTCCCCGGGCCCCATCCCGGCCAATGTTGCAATCGACCTTGGACGTTGGTTGCGGCTTGCCCGCTTCTGCATGGCACGCTGCCGGCTCACGACTTCCCTTTCTACCTGTACCGAGGTTGGAAGTCTGGCTTGCGTTTGGCTGCACGTACGTGGTTGTCGATGCAACTGACAGACCTTTAACCCTGCGTTGCCAAGCCCTCTCGCTTGCGAGTTTCCCAAGTTTTTTTCGGTAGCTTTCGATCCGAGAAGCCGGAGTCGGTGCAAGTTCGAGGTTGCTCGAAGATGTTGCTCTTCGTCTGCGATTGCCCCCCTGAATTGGCCAATGAGGCCTCATGGGAACCTCAGCATCTGATTGCGATTGGATGTGGTGGGGGCCCTTCTCGAAAGTGTTCTCCAGTTCAGAGGGACAACGAGTGCAAAAGAGGCATGCTCGTCGTGATGAGAATGTTGGAGGACATGGATTCAATGATCTCTTTCGTCGCTTGGTCACTGAAGAAGAAGTGGGTTGAGTGTGGAACAAACATCTTGGCCTGCGAGAGACGGGGAATTTACTCTAGCAAGCTTGAACCCTAACCCTACAGTACGTTGTCCAGCTTTCGATAGTGTACATAGCGGGGGGCACGTGCTGTCCCGCTTCTTTCGCGCCGTCATCGATTTCGCGCCGTCATCGAGAACAAACAATGATCTTCAACGGCAAGCACAGTTGCTGTCTTGTCTTCAATGCTCTTTCCACAGGAACACAACTCCCGAGACCGATGATAATCGGCGCGCCCAGCCGGCTTATGTCCCCCACACAGGCCACGGGAGGTGGAACGCATTAAAGCCCCCCTGCCACTCAACTACGTGTACGAAAATCATGACTTCCAGCCACCATAGCGCCGACGCTACAACTGATCCACTGAAAAGGCTCAAGCGTAAACGTGCGTCCACCGAACCCGAAGCGTCGACAGAGCCAGGGCACGATGCCTCGGCTTTCGCTGGAAATCCTAGCTGCGACTCCCAGGAGAGTTCCGGCAGTTGTGGTCCAGCAACAACGGGACCAAAGAAGCGGAGAGGTCGTCCTCCTAAGCTTGTTTCCGAGCCCACCATTGTCGAAAGCAACATTGAATGGCCCGCGTGGTTCAAGGAACTCGACAAGACGCACAGGGCTTTGAACCTCGTCTACACCTTTTGCTCTACGCGAAAGCATCTGGCGACTACGTTTGAGACGATACGGTCCACGGTTGAGTCTCACACAAAGCGCTCCTTAACGATTGAAGATGTAGCCGCCATTGTAGCTTTACGTCCGGAGGGCATTCAGTTTGCCTATGTCGATGAGCTAATGCTACAGCTAGATGCAAGGGGTGCCGAAAAGGATGATACCTTCAAGACAGGAAGGTATGCTGGGAAGTCATCTCAGTCCTTTGCGCCCGATGCGTCTGTTGGCGGTATGACCGGCTTGGAAGGGCTAGGCGATGCTGGCCCGTACCATACCGGGGAAGATGAGCAAGAGTCGAAATCTGGACGGGAGGTCCTCTACTTTGAGTTCATTGATGAAGATCTCAAGAGGCAAGTCCAGGACAAGAAAACAGGAGACCCGACTAAGCCGACTCGCAGGCTTCGACATGAGGATGTCAAAATGCCTGTGTATAGTCAGAAGCAAATGACGGCACTAATAGAAAAGAGGAACACCAAGTTCGCCAATGCAGTCAACATCTTCTTGAACCGCTGTGCTGCAGAAAGTCTAGATCCGGAAATGGCACTCATAAGTGAGTCCGAACCCTTCGTTCCCAGGCCTTCAACACCAAGAGCGTCAACCCCCCAGCCAAAACCTAGCACCTTACCCGCAAGCATTCCGAAGGAGAGGAAAAGTATTCCGGAGATCGTACAGGAGCTGAAGGATAGTCCGTGGTACACCGGCCAGATAGTGCCCGATGGCCATCGAGTATTCGAGGCTCAGGAACCTGTTTACGGCTATCTGAACTTTCTACTCAGCCAAGATCTGGTTAACGCGCTCTACAATACCAAGGGAATTACTCAGTTTTATGCACATCAAGCTGATGCCATCAACGCTTTACACGACGGGCATCATGTGGTGGTGTCCACGTCCACCAGCTCGGGAAAGTCTCTCATCTACCAATTGCCTGTTATACATGCCCTTGAGCAGGACCGGAATACGCGAGCCATGTACATCTTCCCGACTAAGGCGCTTGCGCAAGACCAGAAGCGGAGCCTGAAGGAAGTCATGAGCTTTATGCCTGGACTGGAAGAGATGCTCGTTGAAACCTTTGACGGCGATACGCCAATGCATGACAGGAATATTATCCGCGATGATGCACGCATCATATTCACAAATCCTGATCTGCTGCATATCACGATTTTACCTCAGGAGGAAAGGTGGAGGACGTTTCTGCAGAACCTGAAATATGTTGTTGGTGAGTGAGACCTACCGTTCAGTTTCTCAGCCGGCTGCGGAAATGGGAACTCTTCGCTAACTATTATTCACTCTGATAGTGGATGAACTGCACTATTACAACGGCTTAATGGGTTCACATGTTGCCTTCATCATGAGACGACTGCGTAGAATATGCGCAGCAGTCGGAAATACGCATGTTCAGTTTATCTCGTGTTCAGCAACCGTGGCCAACCCAAAGGAGCATTTCACTACCATCTTCGGCGTCGAAAACGTCAAGCTCATCGACTTCGACGGCTCTCCATCGGGTCGCAAGGAGTTTCTCTGCTGGAACACTCCGTACAAAGACCCTGGAGATCCGTCCAGCGGACGCGGCAATGCCAAGTTTGAGTGTTCTCGCCTGTTCTGCGAGCTCATCCTCCGCGGCGTCCGTGTCATCGCATTCTGTCGCGTACGCGAACACTGCGAAAAACTGGTTAATGCGGTCAAACAGGAACTGGAACACAGAGGCCGCTCTGAATGCATCTCTCGAGTCATGGGGTACCGAGGCGGTTACACTGCCCAAGACAGGCGGCAAATCGAGACAGAAATGTTTGAGGGCAAGCTCATGGGCATCGTGGCGACCACCGCTCTCGAGCTTGGTGTTGACATCGGCACCTTGGACTGCGTCATGACTTGGGGGTTTCCGTACACAATAGCGAACCTCAGACAGCAGAGTGGGAGAGCTGGCCGGCGGAATAGAGACTCTCTGTCGATCTTGGTTGGGGACAGTTTCGCAACCGACCAGTATTACATGCAAAATCCGGATGAACTCTTCACAAAACCGAATTGTGAGCTTCAGGTGGACTTGGAGAATATGTTGGTCAAGGAGGGCCATATCCAATGCGCGGCATACGAAATGCCAATCCTACCGGCTAAGGATTCCAGATACTTTGGTGACGATCTAGCAACGGTTTGCGAGGAGCGGCTGCTCAAGGGTGACCGGGGCTTTTACCATTGCCATGATAGGTTTCGACCCCGGCCGTCACAGTTTGTATCAATACGCGACACCGAAGAAGACCATTTCGCCATCATCGACGTTACAAACAACCGAAACGTTGTCCTAGAGGAGTTGGAGGCATCCCGAGCGACCTTCACCATCTACGACGGAGCCATATTCCTACACCAGGGTAACACCTACCTCGTACGGGACTTCAACCCCGACAAAAAGATGGCGCGAGTCGAGAAGGTCAAGGTGGACTGGACCACCGAGCAGCGGGATTACACGGACATTGACCCGGTAGAGACCGAAGCCATCCGGCGCATCAACGGATCGAAATCGCTCGCCTACCATGGCGCCATCAAAATCACCCAAGTCGTCTTCGGCTACTTCAAAGTCGACAAGAAGAACCGCATTCTCGACGCCATCCAAGTCGACAACCCGCCCGTCATCCGCTACAGCAAGGGCACCTGGCTCGACGTGCCCCGCCAGGCGCTCGAGATCCTCGTGTCGCGGCGCCTCCACGTCGGCGGCGCCATCCACGCCGCCCAGCACGCCATCATGAGCCTCATGCCCAACTTCGTCATGAGCATGCCGGGCGACGTGCGTACCGAGTGCAAGAACCACCTCAAAGAGTTCGCCAGGCGGGAGACGCAGCGGAAGCGGCCGGCTCGCCTGACCTTCTACGACGCAAAGGGGGGCGCGGGCGGGTCGGGCATCAACACCAAGGCGTTCGAGTTTATCGACACATTACTGAGGAAGGCGCTCGGTCGGGTGTTGGCGTGTCAGTGTCGCGAGGGTTGCATTGAGTGCGTGTGCTCGGAGCTCTGCAAGGAGGCTAATTCGGTCATCAGCAAGGCGGGAGCGGAGGTGATTCTCAAGAGTTTGTTGGATGAGGAGATTGATGTCGAGAGCTTGCCGATGGGACCGGAGGAGACCAGTCCGGCGGGCGTGCAGACGGTTGTTTTGGCGAAACCGGTGCCGCCGCGGAACAGGAAGACGGTCAAAATTATCGGGCTGGCAGGTGAGGAGATTGAGATTCAGGTCAATGGTGAGCGGGATGATGAGGAGGAGGAGGAGGAGGAGGATGGTTCATGATTGACGATGTGATGAGAATATGTTAGGTAGAGAGGTAGGTACTGTATGCTTCGAGGTGTCGTCTTGTTTGGGTTTCCCGGTTCGAGTACTACGGGATCCTGGCTTACCCCATAATTGTGTTCATCTTCCCCATAGGGGACTTATTACTTATGCTTATTTTTTCCAAGCAAATATCATTTCTCCAAACTCATGCACGCGTTGGCCGGTCCCGAAATGAGGGCATCACCATCGAGCAAGGGGATGCCTTGCTGGAACACAAGTGGTCCACGCCAAACGTTCCACGAAACGAGAGAACAAGCTTTCTCAAGAAGTCTGGCTGACAACTCTTTGTGTAGCACAAAAGCCACCCGCCATTGGCATTGGGCAAAGTGATAAAAGATCCGCCTTGGCACATGATGACTGCTTCAACGTCTCTTGCACAATCATGTTGTTCCATCTTTGTTGTAGCTTTTTGTTTGGATGGCGTTTACTCTCAGCGAATGCTACGGTCCGGTTTAGTTATTTTTGAGGTCTCTATAATCTCGCATCTCACTCAGGGTCCCACGTAGCGGGCTGTGAAGCGGTTAACTTCGTATCGACAGAGCCGGGGCTGGGCGCTTTCGAGAGGATCCACCGCGATGTTTATTTAGCGGAGATCTGTGCCACGGTACCTCAACATCACCACAGCAGCAGAACAACGACTGGCCCTCCGATCCTGCCATGATGTTTCTGCCTACCTAGGTATTCCCCCGTATCCGTTACAGTTGCACAACAGAGTCTTCGATAAGCTTTTCGGCACTCGGAATCTGTCTCTCGATTTGCCGAATGACATCAAGAAGAGTCAATCTGCATAATGCTGAGAAGATGTCACACTCGTTAGACTCCATTCGCGGCCGCCACATCGAAGCTAGCTATGGAAGGCTGGGCGAATGGGATTGCACTCGTCTGGATCCTCAGTTACAACTGGGCCTCCCAGCCCTCCAGTCCGGGTCCGAACTCCGTCCCGTCCACCCCAAAAGCCCCAGTTAAACCCCCAGTCTGGCCTGAAACTCGACGGCAAGCCAGTTGTTTCTCTTCTTGGCGCTTGGCTAGGAGTCCCCGGGTGTGAGACGAGCAGGGTGGCTCCTGCATCGAACCTCGAGCCTAGACCCACGATAAACCGTATTCTGACAGCGGGGGAGGATGAGTGGGTTCCAGATTGAGTTCAGCTCTCTTTCTCTTCATGCTTCCCGTCGGGTTGTGAGCGCATCCTTGTCCAGTTGTCAGACATGCCTCTCATGAGCCCTGCGATTGATGAGTGAGACCGACGCGGATGCTCAGAAATATCACGTCTTGATATTGATAATCTTTCTCCTCCTTCTTTTTCGTCTTACAAACTTTCTGCATCTTCCTATTATAGAGTCCTCCTACCTGATCTTTCCTCGTACATACTCGTGGTTTTTCTGTCTTACATACTGCTCCACCTGGACTTTGGTCAGGTCGTGACGCCTACCTACCTAATCCAGTCCTGACCGCCTTCACCTAGTGGGATGCGGACTGAGCTCTTTTTTCTCTCTCTTCCCCACCTCTGTTTATAAGTCTTTCCTGCTGAAATACATCATTTCGTCGGTCTTGAGCAAACGACACTGTTTGAGACGAGCAACCGCAAACAAATATCTCTGATACAGGAGGCGCGCTGCCGGGAAGCGACCTGCCTACCTTACAACCTTCGCCCATAACACCCACGACATATCTCAGCTGTGTACGACCCATACACAGCAACAAAAATACACCATGACGTCGCCCTACCACGCAGCGGCGCGAGAAAAGCGCGCCGCCGAACGTGATTCAGACGAGAGAAACGTCAACTCTGGACGCGTCCCCCGCGGCTCCTCTTCCAGCAGAGGACCTCAACAGCTTCCCCTACACTCTGTTCCCATCGGAACAGAAGGCCACGGTCATCATCCTAACCACCACCCACCGGCCCCAAAATCATGGTTCCCGGTTCGCGAAGAAGGCGAGAGTGGCCGATCCGGCATCCACCCGTGGCACTTCCTCCGCATCGTGTTCCGCTCGTCCTCGCTGGCGTCTCGTATCGTCAACGTGCTATGGCCCGTGGTGCCCGCTGCCATTGCCCTCAGATATGCCGCCCCTGAGCAGGATCTGGCGATATTCATTTTGGCGTACATTGCCATGGTGCCTTGTGCGAACTTGGTTGGGTTTGCGGGACAGAATTTGGCAAAGAAGGTGCCGCATGTTTTTGGTGTGTTGGCCGAGACGACGTGAGTATTCTTTTTTCCTTTCTCCTTCCGCTAGAAAGATGGGTGATGTTTCTAACAGTCCATGGCCCCTAGTTTTGGTTCACTCGTCGAGATTATTATGTTTATAGTCCTGATAAAACGGTACGACCCTAAAGCACCGGTGGATACGACGCAGGTTATTAGGGCTGCGATCCTAGGTTCGATCCTTGCTACGATGCTTTTCTGTCTGGGCTTCTGCTTCATTGCCGCTGGTTTCAAGCGGGAGGAGACGCATTTCAGCGAAATTGTTAGTGAAGCCGGTAGCGGGTTGCTGTTGACTGCGTAAGTTCTCACGTCTATCACATTGTGTCACCGTTTGAAGAAAACTCGAGTGCTCACCGTTTCTTCTGCCACAGTGGATTCGGCCTAGCCGTTCCTACAGCCTTCTTCAACGCCCTCTATGGCCGCTACGACACGGACGAGCTCAGGCGCAAAACCCTCGAAATTTCGCGTAGCACCGCTGTCTTGCTCATCATCGCCTATCTCGTGTACGTCTTTTTCCAGATGCGCACCCATCACGGTATCTACGACGCTATCTTCGAGGCCGACGCCGAGCGCGATGACGACAAGCATAAGGAGCTTCGACATCATCGCCTGACTCTTTTCGAGTCTGTTATAGGCTTGGCTGTGGGCGTCGCCCTTATCACGATCATTGCCATCATGCTCGTCGACAGGATTCACTTCCTAGTCGAGAAGCGCCACGTCTCCGATGCCTTCCTCGGTTTGATCATGATTCCACTTGTCGAAAAGGCCGCGGAGCACTTGACGGCCGTAGACGAAGCGTACGACAACCAGATGAACATCGCCCTATCGACGGTACTGGGCTCAACGCTACAGACGGCCCTGTTCAACGGCCCTCTTGTGGTGATTATCGGCTGGGGAATGGACAAGCCCATGGGCTTCAATTTTGAGCTGTTCGACCTGGTTATGCTGATCCTCGCCATCTTGACAGTCGGAAACTTCTTGAGGGACCAGAAGAGTAATTACCTGGAGGGTGTGTTGTGCGTGATCGTTTATGTCGCCATCGGCGTGGCGGCAGCTCACTACCCGAACCCTCACGATCTCCATGAGGCGTTTCCGATGCCGAACGCGTCTCCTGCTCCAACGACGAGTGGATCGGAGGGTGCTCATCATTAAGCCAATGGCTGCATGTCTGTTAGGTTGTCGGGAAAGTAAAAGGGTGGATGAGCTTTATTATGATGATTTATGTTTTGAGCCATGTTGACTTATAGAAAGTCCAAACAGGGATACTGAAAAGAAGATGGAGGATACTTGCTGTTATTGTCTTGTTTCAGCTACATTTAGACGCTGTGGAACATGGACGAGGAGTGTCTAGAATGGATCAATCCCCACGGCGAACTGACGCTGAAAGTCTTGTAAAGCATAGGATTCATCATCAGCTTTTCCTCTACAAGGATGCTTCGAGATAAGATGCAAATGAATAATGATAAAAGGAACTTTACGAGACATTGTGTCAGGAAGTCTGATCAAGGTGGAAGGATTCAGTTGCGTTGATGTTTTAGCCTTCACAAAACCCTAACCCTGGGGTGATACCAAATGGAGCTTGGGCCACTTGGAGCACTGCCCTGTAGCAGCATCAAACGTCAGCGCCCTGACCGTGGGGGAAGGGGCCGTCCGCCGTGTTGAACATGGGGACGTGGCCCGTCCAATCCATTCGTCCCCAAGCCAAGAACATTGAAGCTTCTGCGAGCTTCCCACACAACAGCTTCTAGGCAGACCACCACCACTAATCACGAACACCACTGGCACTTTATCCCGTCCGACTGGGAATAGATTCCTGACATTCCGATCGACCGAACACTGACCGACTGAAAGGGGCCAACCTTGGTTGCGTCCGAGAATCCTGCCTACCCAAACAAGGAGCTTACTGCTACAAACGAACGACTCGCCCGGCCGCATTCACACACGACGACACAAAGATGGCCTCACTAGGGGGTAAAGACTACCACCGTCAACAACCGATGTTGGACGACGATGATCTGATAGATCCCGACGATGGTAAGCTCGACTGGGTCACCCGAGTTTCTCGCATTCACATCCCTCCCGTCCCCGATGGTCCGCGCAAGCAAGAGGCTTCCACGAGAGGGAGGAGGGGTACCACTACAGCCTACCTAGACACACACTCTCCATCCAACACACAACAAGATAGACAGTTGCTAACACCCAGTCTTCACAAACACAGCTGACCTCAACGACTTCGACGACCCCCTCGCCCCCTCCTCCTCCCGCGCACCCCTAACCGGCACCATCGGCTCCTCCTCCTCCGCCGGCGCCGGCGTCGGCTCGTCCTCTTCCGGAAACACCCAATCAGCCTGGACCTCCCGCATCCCCGGCGAGGACCGCCGTGCGCCCAACAACACCATCGACGAGACGGTCTGGGAGACGCTCCGCCGCGATCTGATCGCCGTGTGGTCCAAGATGCGCGAGGTGCTGTACCCGCGCTACCTCTTCGGCGGCACCATGCTCGAGTCCGAAGACGGCCTGCGGGGCGCCTACGCCAACATCCGGAACGCCGGTCTGTCGGGGGCACGAGAGGAGCTGACGGGCTTGGCGAGCAGGGTGATGGACCCGGAGAGCCTGCTGCAGCAGGGGAATATGAGTCCTGGGCTGAGGGATTGGGATCTTTGGGGCCCGTTGATCTTTTGCTTGTTGCTGAGTACCCTGCTGAGCTTTAGGAGCAGGGAGCAGCAGAGGGAGATTGTGTTTAGTGGGGTGTTTGCGATGGTGTGGATTGGTGAGGCGGTGGTGACGGCGCAGATTAAGTTGTTGGGCGGGAATATGTGAGTGGTTTGCATGGCCCTGTTACTGACGGGTCAGATTCGTGAGAGGAGTTATGCTAACAAACTTGTGTCGACAAATAGCTCTTTCGCCCAGAGTGTCTGTATCATCGGATACACCCTCTTCCCTCTCGTCCTGGCCGCCATGCTCTCCGCTCTCTCGCTGTACTGGGTCGCCAGGATCCCGGTCTACCTGCTGCTTGTGGGCTGGTCCTTTGCGGCGGGTGTGAGCATTCTCAGTGGAAGCGGCGTTGTCAAGAACCGGGTTGGGTTGGCGGTCTTCCCCCTTATGATCTTCTATCTCGCTCTGGGGTGCCTGTGCTTCATTAGTTAATGTGTTCGTTTCAGAGGTTGTTCGCATTTGAGAGAAGGCTGTTCGTTCCACCGGGTAACAAATATGCAAAAGGGGCAATTAAGGCAAAAGAGACCAAAAAAAAATTAATATAGGGAGTCACTCGGCTGTATCACAGATCAAATGGATAGGCAAGTCGAAGTTGATGATGTTGGGAGATTCACTCCCGTCGCATGGTTCCCGGTATGGCATTGCCCTGGCTTTAGGTGATCAACGGCGCGTCTTACTGCGCGCTTATCCTTACAATTAGATGATCATTTTGGATTATTTACCATGTTCACCTTGAGGGGTTGACATGTGAATCCCCTTATAAAGTCAAGATTCTCCATCCATCTGCCGCTGACCCCGGCTACCGCGAAATCAGGTAAACAACTTAGTTATACCATACTCACTCAGATTGCCAATTATTCATATAGACCCTCAACCAGTTATTCTAGTTACCCATTAGGCCCCCTTCCCCAAATACCTCTCCAAATCCGGTCCCCTCCCCCACAACTCCCGTTGTATCCTCTCCCCCCTCCTCTTGTCCTGCTCAACCATCTTCCGAACCTTCTTTGCATCCAACAGTTTCTCTTTTTTCTTCTTTGGCGGTGGCAGCAGTCCATTTTTGGGTATTTCGATCCCCAATCCCAAGTGATCGTCTTTCTTCTTGCCCTTGATGGGGAACTGGATCCCCTGTGCCGCAGACCCGAGACCCTGGCGAGCGTCTGGGTCCCAGCCGTGGCTGGTCAGGTGTTTGAGGCCCATCCGCGAACGGTCGAGCGCTGAGGGTGGGTGGGAGTGTGGGAGGCGGGATTGATGGGCGAAGGAGGCTGCGTGGGCGGCTTTTCCCTGTGGAGTGGGTTCGTAGGGGAGGCTGCAGATTTGGCAGATTTCCTGTTGTGGTGGTACTATTGGTGGCTGCTGCTCTGTTGGCGGTGTTGTTGTGGTTTGGGTTGTGTCTGAGGGGGTGGTGGTGGTATCCGTAGCTGTTGGTGGATTTTCTTTTGCTTTTTGCTTATCCTTGTTGGCGAGGACCATGTTCAGGTAGAGATCAGCTACGTCAAGTTTTGGCTTGTTGGACTTGGCCGCCGTCGAACTGGTCGAGTCTAGGTTGCCGTCGGAGGCGGGGACGAATTTGATCTGTTGTTTGTACAATCCGGTGCCGAAGGGGCGGAGGTGGTGGAGGGGGATGTCTTCTGCTTCATCTTCTTTCGCCGCGAAGGTTTTCCTTTCTGAGGAACTCATTGTGGGTGCATGCGTAGAACCTATTCTTGGTTGAGTCTGTGTTGTTGTTCTGTGAATTACGGTGGGGGAGCGATGGACAAGTTGTGTAAATGGGTTTCGTGAGTTGACGTAAAGTTCAGTGGAGCGTCAAGTGGTGAAGTAATTGATGGAGGATTCGCGGGAGAACCTTGATGCCCGCGCTTGAGGTGTGGTTAGTGGGGGCCTGATGCCTGCCGTCGATGCGGCTCCGTTCCCGGCCCCGGTCCATGTTTGGATCGATGGATCCGTTCCATCCCATCGGACTTCGGTGACTTTGGTGGAGTGGGTCGCTAATTATAGCCCCTGAGCCCCTGACGTAACCAGTGTTTGAGCCTGCTGTGGACATTTTGTTGGAGCCAAAACTTCTGGCCAGTTGGGCCCGGAGCCAATTGCGACAGCTTCTCCTTTCTAGAGCTTGTTGGCCTCTTTTATATGCGCTCTCTGCTTCTGCACCAACAACAACAACATACAGGAGCCGCAGAATGACCTTGTAACGATACCGGAAGCACTTACGATCCCTTCGAAACCCATCCCGCATAATGCCGATTCCGTTCCTCGCCAGCGTTGTCATGGACGGGTGGCCATCATGGCTGCCCGGGCCGTGGGCTCTCACCAAGGCCGGCACCGCTCTCGGAGCCATCGCTATCACAAAGATCTATGCCAGTGGCGCGACATGTACGGCCGAAAGGAATATGCACGGTCGCGTTGTCATGATCACCGGCGGCACATCAGGAATCGGCGCCGCCACGGTATACGAACTTGCCAAGCGAGGCGCCCAAATCATCCTCCTCACACACCACGAGCATAACGACGCCTTTCTCGTCGACTTCATCGACGACATGCGCGATCGCACCAACAACCAGCTTATCTACGCCGAACAAGTCGATCTACGCTCCCTGCACAGCGTCCGAAAATTTGCGACAAAATGGGTTGACAACGCCCCTCCCCGCCGCCTCGACACCATCATTCTCTGCGGATCGACCCTCACGCCGCCCGGGAAGGCGAGGACGGAGACACCGGATGATGTGGAGAGTACCTGGCAGGTTAACTTCCTCTCCAACTTCCATCTCTTGGGCATCCTCAGTCCCGCGATCCGCGCCCAACCGTTCGACCGCGACGTGCGCATCATCATCCCGACATGCTCCGCCTACATCCGTTCGCCGTCGTTGGATAAAGCGCTGGATAAGAAAGACTGGTCCCCGGGCAAGGCATACGCGCGGAGTAAGCTGGCCATGATGGTGTTTGGCAAGGCATACCAGAAGCATCTGGACGCGTACGAGAGGCCCGATAAGCTTCCGATGAATGCGCGCGTCTTTCTGGTAGACCCCGGATACACGAGGACGCCTGGAATGCGCCGGTGGCTTACTAGAGGCACTGTTTGGGGTCTCATCGTATACCTCTTCCTTTACATGTTCTCCTGGCTTTTCCTCAAGAGCGCATGGATGGGCGCGCAGTCCATCTTGTGGGCCGTTATGGAAGGCAGTCTCGTTCGCGACAAGGGTGGAAAGGTGGTTAAGGAGTGCATGGTGGTAGACTGCGCACGCAAGGATGTGGACGACGAAGCTATTGCGAAGAAGCTGTGGGAATCCAGTGATAAATTGATTGAGGAGAAGGAGAAGGACGCGGCTGCAAAAAGGGCAAGGGCGAAGAAAAGAGAAATGGAGATGGAGGAGGAGAAAAAGGCACGAGAGCGTGTTGAGGAGATTGAATCTTTGGTTAACACGATCAAGAAAGGGAAGCAGAAAGAGAAAGAAAAGCCCAAGAGTGGGAAGAAGGCGAAGAATGGAGAAAAGACTGCCTAGAGCGAGGCCAAGTAGACGGGCAAAAGCATATAGATTTCACGTTCTTATAGACAAAATGACCATAATGTATACACAGCAAAGATATGGGCCAGATGTCTTGGATGCTATCCCTAAGTTCGGGGACGGGCCGATCCATGGGCGGAGCCCTCGGTCGCTCGGCACCATGTTGAGCGGGGATACCTTAGCACGCCGGGCCGGTAATTATAGTGGGGCCACTTCGGCACTTCACGTGAAGATGATCATCAATGACGAACTTCATCCTGGGCGATCCAACGTCCCGGAACGATGAAACCGTGGGATGCATAAGACATCGCCAATCTGATCTCCGCCGAGACGTCTCTGATACCAGAACTTGTACTTATTTATCAAGAAGTCGAGTTTGGTCCCAGCGATCATATCTGTCCTCAACCTCTGAAGGCTCAAACAATTGCCATCAACAACACACAGCTTTGTGGGCGCATACGACTTATACCCTCCCTCAACTCCAACTCCACTACGCAGTTCAACCTTGACTTCACCCAAGCTATAAACCGAGAGATCTCTAAATACCAAATACCGGCACTAAGACCACCAAAGCAAGCAATCATCAACAACAAGGACATCCATGACGGCCCTCACACTAAACCTCACAGAGGCTCAGGCACCATTATCAGCATCTTCCTCCTCACATTTATTTCCACAGTCAGCAACGAAGCCTACACCTATTCCAAAAGCGGCAATGCCACCACCACCTATCATGACTCTCAACCCATCCTACTGTCACCCAGTCTTCTTCACGCCGAAACTGCGCAGGAGCCCGTCTTTTACACTTCAACAACCCGGACCTCATGTCACATCGTTGTCACATGCGGTGAGCCCGGTGGTCCATGGGTATATGTTCCAAGATGCGCAAAGGCTTCAGGGGCAAGGGGTTGCGGGTCTGGGAAATATGGCGATTGGGTCGGTGAAGGTTGCTGGAGGGAGTTCGAGGTTATGATAATGATGATGCTGGGTGGAGGATAGGAAACGGCTGTGCGTGGACGAGGAGGTGGAAGGTGCGAGAGTGTCGGGAGCATTGGTGACGCCCCATTACCGTGAAAGGGGATGGGATATGGGAAGGGATTCACGAACACATGGCCAGTGATGTTAATGGGATCTTGTTGGTAACGGAGTTTAATACGCATATCACCATTGGAGAATCTTAGGTTCGTGGGACGGATAGAACGGACCTCGTACGGTTTCAAGCAATTACCTATGATTTCGAGAGCCAAAGCCAGACAGAGTACCTTCCAACTAGCCGTCACAACATGCCAATTTTCTTCCCCGGCAACCTACCACCAGCGACCACCGTCACAGCACTATACGATACGATACGGCAACCGGCGGCCGATAACAGCCGGAGCCGTCGAGGAGGCGACGGTGTGGGTTCTGGGGGTGCCGCTTGACCATTGTTCCATTATCTTTTTGCTCTTTTTTGTCCTTCTTTCTGAGGCCCATCGAGTTGTTGAGAGGAAGGCATGTATAAGTGCCGATATTGAGCGTGCAATTCCAAAGCGACGATCGCCGTCGCGGACTTGGCGATGCTCTGCCTTGGTGTTGTTGCTGAGAGGACCGCTAAGATTATAGCTATCTTATCCCGCTGATTTTTTTCGACATGCTCTCTGCTCCCGTCTTCCCCTTTGTCACCGAGCACTTCCACTTGCAAGTAGGTTCGACCAACTACTCTTGACTGTTTCTTGAACACGTGTAGGTAGATCTTCAAGTTTTCCATTCTTTTCTTTCACGTCGCCAAGGGGGTGACTGCAGCCACAATGTCCGTCTTCCCTGCCAGGGGCTTTGCGTCCATAAGCAAAATTAGGAGAGAAGAGCGTTTGATTGAAAACAAAGCAATGATACAGGCTCTACATGTTATAACAGGAACAAACACAAGCAAAGAAACAGAACGCAACCGCAGAATGTCAAAAGCGCCAAAACTACAGTAACAGAAAAGCAAAAGCCGTGACAACATATGAGACCCCGTATTTTCGTAACCCATCACTCATAAAAACCCAAGCCCAGGCAAGCAACCGGAAACCCAAAACTTGCTCCCTCCAAACCAATCTTTCATGGCAAGCTGTTCTTGATCGCCATCACAATCGATAGCACAATCAACACCACCACCAACGCCAACAGCGCCATCAGCTTCACATTCTTCCACCACATCTTGCGCTTGAGGCCCCTGCTCCTAACTCTGAACTCGCGCGCGCTGCCACCCAGCCGATCCGTCTTATCCACCAGTAGATCAATCCTCTCGCCTCTCTCCAAAAGCCCCTCAATGTTCCTCGTCATGATACCCTTCACGTCCTCAATCTCCCTCTTGGCATTGGTAATCGCATCGTTCTGCCCCTGGCCCGTGGTGCCGTAGTCGACCATCAGCGTCTTGAGCGCTCCGTTGAACGAGGCCGCGCCGTAGTTGGGCATGTCGGCGAAGTCGTTGGTCGGCCCGGGGGGGTACTGCGCCAGGAAGCGCTTGCGGACTTCGACCAGGAAGCCGAAGGGGATGCGGCGACCTAGGGAGGAGTCGGCTACCACCAGGAAGGTGAGGCCGCCTGCCGAAGAGGCCGAGGGCTGGGAAGCCCAGTCCGAGGGCGACTCGGACATGTAGTGGATGTGGTAGGAGCCATGGGTGTAGGTGAGCTTTTGAGGGGTCGAGTGGTCGATCTTGGGGAGGATCAAAGAGGCGAGGGAGGAGGTCTGGGATGAAGCGGAGGTGGTGCACTCGGCTAGGATGGTGGTGTTGTGGGCGATGCAGGAGCTGTGGGAGATGGCTTGTTAGTATTGAGCTTGTTGATTGACTGCCCTAACATAGGGATTGTGGGACAAGTCAAGTGGTGAAATAGGTAACGTACTAGAGGAGAGGAGTTGCTGGAGTCGAGGATGAAGCCATTTTCGGATGCGCGTAGAGATCCTTTGTTGGGACCACCAAGTCGTGTAAGTCAAGTCAAATCTGTGTGGGAGAACGTTCGAATCGGTTCAGCGTCTAAATCTCAAGATGGCGGGTCGCGGCTCGTGGTGCTCGAATGGTATGATGGATGATCGATGTTGAGATCGAGACCGAAACTCTCGAAATGCTCAGCCAGCTGTCGGTCACGGTAGGTTACCACTGAAGTTAGTTGTACAAGTACAGAGCGGGCTCAGCGGCGTGTCACAGTCCACTCACGGGCTGCATGATGACGATGCAGGTCGCCTTTGACGGCCTTGTGGGCTTGGCGGGTGGGTCAGTTGGAGTCCAGCCGGGGTGCGCAGCGGAGCCCCAGGGGTTAAAGGCGGCACAGTGCCAAGAGGGCGAAGAGAGGGGAACCAAGCGATAAGGAAAAAGAATTGGATCCTCAAGGGTCACAAACTCCACGATAAGAATTATAGTCCCACGCTGTTCCGGGCTCAAGTTCACGCCTCTGAAAACCAACAAATCGTGCCGACTCGAACGACGAGCATGATCGCTGGCGCACCTAGTCCACCGTCATGAACGCGTTGTTAGGGCAGGCCTGGAGATGTCCGCGGAGCGCAGTCCTTGTTACTCGCCGCTTTCGGGTGAAGTCGACTTCTAAACCATCAAAGAAGGCTGCGCCGCGCAGCTCCAAGACCGCTTCCGACACTTCAGTTAAATCCTTCAATGTTCGACCCCTCGACATCTTCCCTCCCGAGCTCTCACCTTCCGGATTGCTGACCTTTCTTTCGCCACGTAGGACTTGCCAGCTGACGAGCAGCTACGACGACGCCTCAATGACCGGGAAAAGGCACAGCGAAGGACGACACCCTCCGAACCGGCGCTGCGGCAGAGATACGACGAGTTTTACGACCTTACAAAGCACCGACTAAATACCCTCCTATGGGAATTGGGAAAATGGGACCCAGAGCACCGGGAATATAGAGCATTCGGACTACACACCCAAGAGAGCTACTACCAAGAGATCTCCCTCTTCAAAGATGCCCTAAAGAAGTCGTTTCACCTGGCGAGCGCACTCGGCATGACGGCGCGGACTGATAACCCTCTGTTCTGGAACTTGCGCGCTGCCTTTATCAAGGGGGATGCGGCGGGGTTGACCAAAGAGCTTCGGTACGCGCTTCAGACCTTCTTGATGCGCAAGAAGTTTTCAAAGTCCACCACCGAGTTGCACCTGCGACTTGCCGATTTGCGCTTCCCTTACGAATGGTTTCCTGCTACTCGCCAACTGCAGCGCACTATTCACTTGCACGTCGGCCCAACAAACTCTGGAAAGACATACAACGCCTTGAAAGCTCTGGAAAACGCAAAATCGGGCATCTATGCCGGCCCTCTTCGACTGCTGGCTCACGAAATCTACACGCGATTCACCGCCAAGGGGAAACCGTGTGCCCTCATCACAGGCGAGGAACAGAGGATACCGGGAGACGCCGACATGTTCTTTCGGAGTTGTACGGTTGAAATGACGCCATTGAACTGGAAGGTTGATGTCGCCGTCATTGACGAGATTCAAATGATCGCCGACGAACACCGTGGTTGGGCTTGGACCCAGGCGGTCCTGGGCTGTCAGGCAAAGGAGCTTCATCTTTGTGGCGAGGAAAGAGTGGTTGATCTGATACAGGAACTTTGTGCTCGTTTGGGCGACAAGTGCATCGTGCACCGTTATGAGAGGCTGAACCCCTTGCTTCCCATGGAGCAAGCTGTCGGCACCGACTTCAAGAATCTCCAAAAGGGTGACGCTGTCATCTCGTTTTCTCGGGTCAACTTGCACTCTCTGAAAGCTGGTATCGAAAAAGCAACTGGGCGTAAATGTGCCATCGTTTACGGCTCGTTGCCGCCCGAAACTAGAGCGGCGCAGGCTGCCTTGTTCAATGACCCGAATAACGACTATGATTTCTTGGTTGCCAGTGATGCTATTGGCATGGGTTTGAACCTAGAGATTAAGCGCGTCGTCTTCGAATCGGCATTCAAATTCGATGGCATGGCGCATCGCGCCCTAACGATCCCGGAAGTTAAGCAAATCGGCGGTAGGGCTGGTCGTTATAGGACAGCCAACGATGCTGTTCGCTCCGGCCAAGAAGAGGAGGCTTCAGCTACGTCTGCCTTTAGCAAGTGGGGAGCGCCGGGCTTCGTCACAGCTATGGATGATCAGGATCTCGGTCTTATCAGGAAGCATCTTCAAAAGGACGCCACGCCCATTGCCGCGGCGGGTGTCATGCCGCCTTCGCACATCATCGAGCGGTTTGCCTCCCTGTTCTCTCCCGACGTTCCACTTGCGTTCGTTCTGTCCAGACTCAGGGAGATGGCACGGCTCTCGAGCTCCTTCAGCATGTGCAGCTTTGGCGATCACCTCGACGTCTCCGATGTCCTCAAGGAGTTCGACCTCAGCATATACGACCGTTCGGTTTTGCTGACAGCCCCCGTTTCACTCCGGGAAAAGGCCCAAAAGGACATTCTCAGGGCATTCGCTTGGAGTATTGCTAACTTGTCCGGAGGTCACTTGCTCGAGATTCCCGAGATTGATCTGGAGGCGCTCGATGTCGATGCTCCACAGCTTGATCCCCAGGAACAAAAGGACTATCTGCTGCGACTCGAAGGTCTCCATAAGGCCGTCACTCTGTATCTGTGGCTCAGCTACCGGTACCGTGGCGTGTTCATCAGCCAAAACCTGGCGTTCCACGTCAAATCTCTGGTTGAGGAGAAGATCACAAACTGTCTGGAAGCTGCCGATTACGAGGCAGACAAGCAACAAAGACGTCGTGAGATGCTCAGACGCCAGGCCCAGTCGCACAGCAAGAAGGAGGAGAAGCTTCTTGGCGTTGGCGAGGGGGTTGAGGATGCACCTGTCGCTGAGAGCGGCCCCGGTCTGTGGGACGCCGAGGGACACGAGGAGCCGTTGTATCGGGAGAAGAAGGAGGTTAATGCTGCTTTGCCAGTTCGCGTTCGCAGGACAACTGAGAGCCCCAAGAGCCGTGTCTCTCTAGAATAGAGACCTCCGATATCTGTACTATATGGACGATATCTGTACTATATGGACGATGTCTGTACTATATGGAAGCTATGGAGCTGGGCGTGTATGATGCTATGTGTAGTAGGTCTACCAAAACGGAATAAAATGCCAGTAGAACTACATAGATGGTCGGCGTTGGTATTCAGGGGCAAGTTGGTTAGCCTGGTCATTGGGGAATTGTTATTCGATGTATAAATGCTTCTCTGGAAATACAAATTCCTCTCTGTGGCTATAACTTCTAGTCTTCTTTTTGCCCTTGGTGTTGCTGACCTCTTTTCAGACATCCAATGTGGACAGCCCGAGGTGAGTATCATGGTTCCACTGAATGGTGATACACAGAGACACTGTGCTGTTCCTGGACCGCATACAGTGAGAACGCCCCTGTGGGAGGGCCCAGCGGGTTCGTTCAGCTGCCCCTGGGGCTGCGCTCAACTGTCGAGGTCTCCACAGTGTGCATATGATCTCATCATCACAAGGATGCCTTCGTTTCTCTCTCCAGGAACCATCACCTTGACAGCTGGCTTCCACCAGGAAGAATCACTGACGCATCAACCACTATCTTCCGCATCAAGCCTAGCAGGTGGAAAACATCAAGGTAAGTTCCAGACTTCTGTTTAAAGTGATCGGACCCTGGCTGGGTAAAGGTAGACCAGGGCGGGGTTGTTGTGCGCCGACCGCGGAGTCAAGCTTCATCAAGCTACCCTAGGCATTCTCGAGCTGATGGTCTCTTTTGAATACATCTCCAGGATCAACACCAAGCAAACGAACACATAAACCTACCGAAACACCATCATCATGGCCTCCAACGAAGCCGATCCCCACGGCGGCGTCCCCGCCGCTTCCGACCGTCCGGCATTCATCCCCCTCGAAGCCAACCCCGAACTCATGACCACGCTCCTCCACAAGCTCGGCCTCTCGACCTCCCTCCAGATCCACGACGTCTACTCCCTCACCGACCCAGACATGCTCGCCTTCATCCCGCGCCCCGCCCTGGCCCTGCTGATGGTCTTCCCCGTCTCCGCCGCCTACGAATCGGCTCGCCTAGCCGAGGACTCTCTTCTCGAAGACTACTCGGGCAAGGGCCCCCAAGAGCCGGTCCTCTGGTTCCGCCAGACGATCCGCAACGCCTGCGGCCTGATGGGCCTGCTCCACGCGGCCGGCAACGGGCCGGCCCGCCAGCTCGTGGAGGAGGGCTCCACCCTGGACAAGATCATCAAGGACGCGACGCCGCTGGATCCTGTTGCGAGGGCACGAGTGCTTGAGACGAACGCTGAACTGGCTAATGCCCACAAGAGCGCGGCGACCCAGGGCGATACCGAGGCACCGGCCGCTACGGACGATGTCGATTTGCACTATGTCTGCTTCGTTAAGGCTGAGGATGGAGGCTTGTGGGAGCTGGACGGACGCAGAAAGGGACCGCTGAAGAGGGGTGAGCTTGGGAAGGACGAGGATGTCCTGAGCCAAACGGCCTTGACGCTGGGTCCGCTCAAGTTTTTGGAGAGAGGGGGCGGCGACTTGAGGTTCAGCTGTGTGGCGCTTGCCGGCAGCTTCGATTAAAGAATGCGTGGAAGAGATGCGTGCCTCCCTGGCTCGAGTTTTTGGAAGACTCGGATTAAGGTCTTACACCGGGGTTCCGCCTTGCGTTGTGTTCTAGAACCAGCTCAAGGGACAAAAAAGGTTGAATATCAGCAAGCGTATGTATGAAACCCACGATTACTCCATGCGAGAATTTCTGATGGCGGCACAAGACCAAGAATAGTTTTACTTAAAATATCACAGGGATTACACAACAGCTACTCGTCGCAGCCAGACACTCGGAACCCGTATTGACCATGGAGTGTTGGGAAGCGTCAGTTTGGTAGGGCATCTGGAATGTCTGATAATAGAATTCCCCAGTCCCTCGGGACCGGGACTACGGGAGCTCTTGACCGGCCTTGGATGGAGTTTAGTTATCCCGCTGACCACTATATATGTGACACTTCCCCCACATACGAGTTTCTGGGGAAAGCTCAGGCATGCATAGTTGACAAGGACAAAGACCAGATTCGAGCAACATGACAGCGACACAGGTGCAACGAATACGTGATACGAGAAGCAACCTGGTTACTGGCACATCCGTGCAACTTGTTTCAGGAATCCGGAGCGATTTGCGAAAAGAAGAACATCTCAACAGCATAAAGGAGGCTAATGGGCACTTGAAGACTAAGAACACTCATCTCTATGGGTAACGGCCGGAGCAAGCGGGTAGAAACAAGGCAGAAGCCTTTTGCCGACGGGAACTGGCATGGCCAAACGGGAAGAAATTACCAGGGCTCTTGGAATGCGAGCTATTTCCACTTGGGCCAGTCTCTGATTGAGGAGGTCGGGTGGCTCCGCAGATAGTACGAACCCTTGAAGCTTCTGGACTTTCTGGTAAGAGATCTGATACCGGCGATCACGCCTGCTTTTCGCAAAACAATTCCCAGAGATGAGGTCAGGTCTAGCCTTGATAAGTATGTGAAACCTCTTTGTCGTTGATCGTTCACTCCTTGGGCAATATGATTACTGACCTTGAGAGCCCCTATGTAATTCTAAGTTTGGCACTATCATACTGTGCCGGACGTGACTTTGCAAACGTTTGTGAACCGAAAGAATACGAAGGTTGGCGTGCTTTTCTGAGAAAAGCCAAGATATCTCTGGCCCTATGGCTGATGAGTGACGCTGACAGGGGCGTCCAAAGACCCCCGGTTCTCCTGAACCGCTAGAAGGATGGAAACAGTCAGTTTGCTGCATGGAAAGAAAGTGAAGCCCCCCAAATCGGATGGCGACATGGGCTGTGATTCGGTAACGAGGCCTTGGAGGCGTCCACGCGAGAAAACGAAGCCCCCCAAACGTTCGGCTAGTGACCGCCCACGCAGCGATCCTTTGCGCCAGACATTGTGAAGATCGCTGAAAATAACCAGGTCAGGCCGCCAGGGGGGTCACCTATCTCCCTTACTTCTCAGGTAGTGTTCAACTCTTCAACTCTCTGAACAACTCGCCCATACAACCAAGTCTCTGTTCGGTTCCTTGATTCGGTTGTACTCTGTTTACTTCGATCACCCAAACCAAATGGGGTCATCAGCGATGCTTGTCTTGCTTGTGCGTCAGCCATGGTAACATGAATCATCCATGGTAATTTACTGCTGACCTAAAGCAGCAACTGCAGCTGAGATGATGACGCCGGACTAGTCACCGACCACAAACAGCGCCTTCCCGAATTCTGTAACAAACGCACCACTGCATCGAGGCGGGCGAGGCAGGAGGCGAGTGGCAGAAGCGAAGCAAACGCAGGACGGAGACTGAGGTGACCGAAGTAACAGGGTACCTCGCAGATTTCTCAGTGACAATGTTCTTCTTCGTTGGTCTAATATCGAAGATCATCCGCCACAGACGACTTCAAACAAACGCTAAACGGCAGCCGCAATACTCGTAAAGTCAAGATCCCAAACTTCCGTATGCCCTCATCATCCCCGAAAACGGTAGTCAGCGCAAGCACTTTTGGTAGTCAGCGCAAGCAACTACAAAAAATGCCCAACTAACGTACACCATCACTTGCACCACCAAGAACTTCAAAGTATCCAAATGCGCGCGCATACGAATCGAACTGAGAAGAATGTCCGACTCGAGCGACAAGGAAATATCCGACCCCAAAGCTGACGAAGAGTAAAGATTATTGGCAAAAGAGGATATCGGCGATAGATGGTCGTTTTTTGTCCAATTCTAAATTGCCCCACTTTTCGCTGCCTAGGCACGCCAAGACAAGGGGTCAAAACCACTTTTTCAACAACTGACATTTGCGCGAACACTTTGCACCTGCTTCGTTCAATCGCGCTCCTGAAAAAAGGGTAAAAGACTTTAGAGGAAGCTTGGAAGGTGAATATTAAAAAGAAAGCGAAACTCTAACGGTTATTTTGGTTGAAATATCTCAATTCTGAGTTGGAGACTTGGCCTTGTGTTTGCTTGCGCTGACTACCAAATCTGCCTGCGCTGACTACCGTTTTCGCATCATCCCCCACTCAATCCAAAGCTGGAGAGTTACCATGTCAAGTGGCTGTTGCTTGACGTTTCACCGTCATGAACTTCACCCAGTTAGTGACAGTGACCGCAGGCATAAACCAGCCAGATACGGTGTGAGAAAACGGAAATCAGAAACAGACACGCTCGCTCAACATGTACTCATCCTCCCGAGTGTGCTACCTCACGCCGGGAAACCCCAAGATGGGAACCATGACAACCCAATTTCAACCAATCCCGACTCTTCATCACTTGAACCAAGCCAGTGTCAACTCGTCTGGTTGTCTACTATGCAGAAGCAGATTCCACGGACACTGAGCCTCTCATGGCAACCTCCCGGAAGCCCACGGCGTAACCTAGCGCCTCAGCTGGGCATGCCGTGCCAGCGAGATGCTGAACATTTCCTTCGTCCTCAGCAGCCACTTTCTTGCGTGGGTAAGTAAGGTAATGGGGGCATATCAAGTTGGTCTGGAACGGTGGCTTGAAAATCCGTCCTCCTCGAAGAAATAACGGCTGCTTTTACTACTTTTCCTTCCTCCCCCTCTTCCTTTTCTTTCCTTCTGCTACTTTCTCGATCCGCTTCTGCCACCCTGTCACCTTTCCGTTATTGTTATTGTCCCTCGTTTTCCCGCTTCTTACACTTCATCTTCTACAGCATAGACTTTGTCAAGATCTCTGGTTTATCATTTCTGATATCCTACGCCGAGTGCGACATAAGACTCAACCCCAACCAAGATACTCTTCTGGAAGCAGGATACCAGACTCAGACGAGTTTGGTATCTACGCTTATCCACATAGCGACAACATCTTTACTTCCTTAGGGTGTTCACCTTAAGCCTTTGAACTGGCTCCAAGTCCTTTCTGGCTGCTAATGGCAGCTTCTGGTCATCACAATGGGCTTTCTTAGACTATTCTGTAAGAAGTCGGGTAACAAGAGCAAAGTGGATGTCTCCTCCAAATCATTAGATTATGAGTCTATGGTTGCCGGAACACCCCCTGTTCTAGGTAAGCTCTCACACCCATCCATTACAATGTCATGTCAACCATTTGCTAACAAAGACAGGAACGAAACCCGCACGAGGGAATGGACCACTCGTCATCAAGATCCTCCCGCGAGATGTTAGCCAGGCCCAAATTGCCGTCAGGACTGATGGGTTAGTGGACGATGGACTCCCGATGCCAAGTCCTGTTATCCCTGGCTTTCGAGCGGAGGATATCAAGAGACCAAGCTCAGCTCCAAATGGGTTTCGCACTCCATCTCGCTCTTTAGGGGCCGGTGGCAGTTTACGAGCTGCACCGGGCACCAAAAGTCCCCTCAAAAGACCACCTCCGCTTTCATTCCGTATGGCCAGGCCCGAGACTTCACCACTTGCCCGATCAGTTTCACAAAATGGGGTTGATGCCAGAGTCGTCACCCAGCCACAAGTTGCTCCTTCTGTACATTCAAGAAGTAACTCCATCGTCAGCAATACCGGAAGCCGTTACAGGGATATCATAGAAGCGCACTCCGAGATCAAGCCCATCAACTTCAAGATACGGATGAAAGCTACAGGCACCAGAGATTACGGTGAGGATGTTGCAGAAAGGAATTTGGGAGAAAATGGTCACAACCTGGACTCACCCTCGGTCAAGGCATTTTATGCCCGTTCCTCCATGATCTTTGAGAAGTCAAAGATGGATGAGATTACAAAGCAGCTTGAATCGGAACCGAACAGCCACAGAGCCAAGGCACGAACGGTGGCATCGAACCTTTCTATAGATCTGTCGACTAACTCGAGCAACTCCCGGACCACGCAACGGGCAACAACCTCGTATGCATCAAAGGTTCCTGCCTACGAACATCCAGATGGCGCTCTCTCTCTGGGTGCACGGCTACCGGCGAACTGCAACCTGCAACGATCCAAATCTGTCAATACATATTTGCCTGTTGAATCGAACAACAGCACCAGCGTTCCGAGAACAACCACCACCACTGAGCAGGATCTCGAAGTGCCAGACCACCCTCCTGTCATCGAATGGCCTCTCAGGACCATTGCTGCTAATACCCTGAGACCGTCTGCTCTTGATGCCACTCTGTCTTTAGCACCGCCAGGGTTTATTAAACCTGCATCATCATCCCGTAAGTGGCTACCCCGGCTTTTCGTTGTCCTATGAGATGCTCCTGTATCTAACATTTTGACTGCAGCAAACGAGGAGCAATCGTCCCCAGGAGACAGCAGCCCAATATCAAATGCACCGTCGGTGAAGTGTTTTGCGGTGAACCCCGAATACCATCACGAGCGACCATGGTCAAGCTCATCCTCCACTCTCTCGATTTCGGACATGAGATCCAACCCGTCTTCGCCTTCAAGATCCCAACACACAGCCGATACCTCTGTTAACTTGAGCCAAACGTCGTTCAAAAGCGCCCCACAATTACCGAGCTTGACATTCCTACCGGTACCAGAAGCTCCTGATAATTTCAACATTGACGACTACATATCAACAGACGCTTCCTCCATCAGGGAACACCAGCGTCACACAGGCGAAAGTGAGGAAGAGCTACTGTTCAATGACTTCGGCTATGGTGCACACGGCACACAGCTACCCGGGCTTCTGGACTCGAGCGCCCTTTTTGAACAAAGGGAGCCCAGCCCGGTTCCAGTTCCGAACAATCAGCATTGTCGTTGTTCCTCATGGACCACCACGCCGATCAATGCCGGATCGTTCGGGAGGGCTGTCGGCGGACAACAGCGATATGTCCTTGACACCGGGGTTGAGGATGATTCGGACGAGACAGATTATGAACACTCCCCAGGATTGATGTCACCTGTTCTTCTTCATTCGCCCAAACCTCAACATCATCACGCTCTCAGCGGTGAGATATACAACGGGGTGGTGGGACATGTTCCACGGACTCGGACGTTTGGGAGTGATAGAACTTCTTCGGTGCAAGGGTCAAGAGGAATGAAGAGGACGCCGGTCGTTTTGAACTGTCGAGGGATACAACAAAGTTCAGAAACGGCTACTACAAGCCGTCCTACCACTCCACTGTCAAGCGGCTTGAGTAAGGATATCGCCGCCGAAATCAAGACACCCGAGCAGAAGAGTGAGAAAGGAAAACAAAAGATGCAAGAAGAGAATGAGAAGAAGAATCACAGCGAGATCAGCAACAAACAACTGCCTCCATCAACACCAGATGTTACTGCTACTGCTGCAGCTATCGCTGCCGCCGTGAAGCGAAGGAAACAAATCAAAGCATGCAAGCGGGCAACAGAGCCGGTCAAAAAACGAAGACCCAAAGGACAAGGACAAGGGGTGGTTAGTAGTCCAAGGAGTCCAAAGAGTCCAAAGAGCCCAGGGATAAGAAGTAAGAGGTCGATGCAAAGAACGACAGTGATGGGGGCTCGGGGAGGGGAATACTCGGATGAGGAGCATCATGCTGATACTGAAGGATAGGCACGATAGGGTAGGGTGTTTGAGTCAGCTACGTTCTAGCTTTTCTTTTTTTTTTTTTTTCCCTTTGTCAAATCATATGGGGTTTTGTTCTGTGGTTTGTGGTGAGGAGGTTGGTTTGTTTGGTTAGCGATTTGGCCTTTTTTCCCTATATCTTGCGGTTGGGAGGAGGTGGATTGGGTTTCATGACACCGGTAGACATTTGGAGGAGTGGCTAGGGAGTGGGCATCACATAGATGGCTTGTTTACCTAACCCTAGAGGTTTGAGTACAACAAGTCAGCTCAAGCCTACCAAGACAATCTTTACCATCTGCTTTGTTTACATGGAATACAGCACAGCAGTTTTTTTTGGCTATCAACGATCTTCCAGGCACTTTATCTTGTGCTATGCAGATTGAAGGGACAGACACAATCAGTCAGTATTGCTTGGACATTACCTCACTGATGTGTCCACGTCCTCCCCCCTACTATCGGGCTCTGCTTCAATGGTTGAGACATTGGTCGTGATGCTTCAGACGCATGGACGGGACAAAAGTACCATAGAAGAAGGGGATACTGGATCACATTGCAAGATAAAATAAAGTAAGATTAGGGCATATCGATTGTACCTGCTTCCTGCTAGCCATCGAGTCTCGATATCCTGTACGATGTGAAGGCAGAGGAGGAGGAGGAACAGAAGGAGGAATGCCAAGGCGCCTTAATGAGCTTAATGTATTTATGGACTGCTTGGCCCAAGCGCTAACTGTTGCAAACGCTATTCCCAAAGGGGATAAGCGAGCTTGAGAGACCGCTCAAGCCTGCCCCACTTGATTCTCATTCGCGCACTCATTTCCCCCGACGGGACTTTCCTCCAGGATTCCCCATCCACTGGCAATCCCCCACGGACGGCCACTGTCTGAAATTGGATGATCTTTGGCCTGAACACGTTCTTTTACCACCGACACAAACCCAACTTTGAGGAATCCACGACTCATTACTCTTACCTGCACTCGTTTGTTCAACGCTCGACGTGGTACTCTGTGCCAGTTCCATTCGTTCTTCCTCTTGTGACCGTGACACTTGCCCTTCTCAAGGGACGCGCCCCCCCTTTTCCCGAACTGGACCCTAGGCACATGTTGCTGTAGGGATCACAGGCACTAAACAAGAGGACCCCTTTTCTGGAACCCCAGAGAAATCACGATCACGCTCACGCTCCCCATCGTCGTCCCCGACACCCGAACAGCTTCATACCAGACACGTTGATACTTCACCGACTTATCGATTCCTTTTTATAACCAAAGAACAAGCGGGGTTCATCCGTCAAAGAGGGTTTACGAGCTTCCCCGGGTATTCGGTCCGTTTTATTCATACTTGTACATCGATCGATACATACCTCTACCCGACGATAAGCTTCCCGTCCCTCGGGATCCACGTAACAGCATCACCCCTAATTATCGACACAACTCTAACCCATTGTATGACTTGACTTGCAACAACAATATTAACGGGGAAAATACACCGCCGACCGGGAACCACACAAACAATGGAGCGGACCATTGGGACCGTCGGGTTTCGGTGGTTAGCCTTCTTCGCCCTGCTTCTCTGCCACCAGGTCCATGCCTTCTACATCCCAGGCTGGTCCGTCAAGAGCTACAAGGAAGACGAGGCCATCCCACTTCTCGTCAACAAGGTCTACTCGGACAACACCCAGCTTCAGTATGCCTACTACGACCTGCCCTTCGTCTGTCCGCCCACGGGCGAGCACAAGTTCGGCGGACTGTTGAGCGGACAGAGCATCCCGCTCAACCTAGGCGAGGTGTTGCGCGGCGATCGCATCAAGGTGTCCGACATGGAGCTCAGGATGAAGCACGATTCCGAGTGCAACTTTCTCTGCAACCGCGAGATCACTCGGAAGGAGCTGAAGCGGGCCCGCCAGCTCGTCCGCGATGGCTATGTGGTCGAGTGGATCGTCGACAACCTGCCCGGCGCTACGAGCTTCGTGACCGTCGACAAGACACGCAAGTATTATGCTGCTGGATTTAAGCTCGGTTACACGGATCTGTCGTCCGGCCGTCCTCGGTACTACCTCAACAACCACCATACCATCGTGATCCGGTACCGCAAGGCCCCCGGCAAGGACGGAGAGAGGGGAGGCAAGGTCGTGGTTGGATTCGAGGTGTATACCAAGAGCGTTGGTCCGGATGTGAAGAAAAATGCCGACGGGTGCCCGGCGAACCTGCACGACGTGGAGCAAAACCTCGAGCTTTACCTGGCGCCCAACAAGACGCTGGAGTTGAGCCCCGGGTCACCGTACTATGTCGAGGATGACGACACATACGACGACGATGCGAAGCTCACCATCCCCTACAGTTACTCGGTGTACTTCCGCGAGGATACCTCGATCGAGTGGCATAGAAGGTGGGACCTGTACTTTGTCAATCAGGAGGATGGACACAAGATCCACTGGCTGGCCATCGTCAACTCGCTCATCATCTGCGGCGTCTTGACCGGTGTCGTGTTTATGGTCGTCGCCAAGACCATTCGATCCGATATCAGGGGATACAAGGCTAGATCAGCCGACGTCGAAGCCAAGCGCAGGACCAAGGCCACCTCGGCTACCGAGAAAGTACCGGGGCTTTTGGAACAAGAGGTTGGCCCCGACAGTCTTGCCGACGTCGATTCCGACGACGAAGCCCTCGAGGACATCACAGGCTGGAAGCTCCTCCACGCCGACGTCTTCCGCACGCCTGCCTACGGCCACCTCATCGCCCCGCTGGTCGGTTCTGGAATGCAACTGCTCTTCATGGCCATCGGACTCGTCCTTCTGAGCGCACTGGGCATCCTCAACCCCAGCTACCGCGGCGGTTTCGTCAGCTTCGGCGTCGGCCTCTTCGTCTTTGCCGGGCTCTTCTCGGGCTACTTCTCTGCCCGCGTGTACAAGACCTTTGGCGGCCAGCGCTGGCGCCAGAACATGGTCGTCACAGCCGTCCTCTTCCCCGGCCTCTTATTCACCATCGTCTTCGTCCTCAACTTGTTCGTCTGGGCCCAGGCCTCCAGTACCGCCATCCCGTTCGGCACCCTGATCGCCATCATCTTTCTTTGGCTCTGCGTCCAGGTACCCTTAGTGTATGTCGGCTCCTGGTACGGCTTCGTCCGCAAGCAAGGCGCCTGGGAGCACCCGACCAAGCCGAGCGCCATCCCGCGCCAGATCCCCGTCCAGGCGTGGTACCTCCGCGGCTTGCGGACGGTGCTGCTGGCGGGCTTGGTCCCGTTTGCCGTCATTTTTATTGAGTTGCTGTTTGTCTTCCAGAGCATCTGGCAGGACAAGAGCGGGTATTACTACGTCTTTGGGTTCCTGGCGGTCGTCCTGGCTATATTGGTCGTGACGGTCGCCGAGGTGACGGTGGTGAGCATCTACATCCAGCTCTGTGCCGAGAACTACCACTGGTGGTGGCAGAGCTTTTTCATCGGTGGTGGGAGCGCTGTCTGGGTTTTCCTGTATTGTGTGTGGTATTACTTTGCTAAGCTGCATATCACGGGATTGCTGAGCTCCATGCTGTTTTTCAGTTACAGCTTTATGGCGTGTTGTGTGTATGGGCTGTTGACGGGCACGGTGGGGTTCTTGACTGCTTATGCTTTTGTGAGGAGGATATACGGGTGAGTCTTTTTGATTTTCGTGTTGTGAAAAAAGAATGGATTGCTAACTTCCAAAATACAGAGCTATCAAAGTCGATTAAATCTTTTCAGTACTATTACAACTTTTTCCAGCGTGGGGACCTGTGGTGTTCGGGGTGTAACTTTGTTTTTCCGTTGTGTGTCCTACCGATGCACGACAGACAGCAGCGAGCGGCATTTCACAACATGGCGGGTTTTGAATATCGGTTATTACTTTTTTTTCTTGGAGTACTGCGGCGCACTGAAGGGAGGTTACACGTTGTAATGCCCGGTGGGAGTTTTGGCATGAGACAAGGCAAAGAGGGGGAAAAAAAAAGAGAATACCGAACAACAACAAGATAAGAGCGATCATTATACCCGCGAGTTTAGTTAGCGTTCCACTGTATGAGACATTAGAAGACATTGAATATCGTCGATAAATGTAAGGTGGTAGAATGACATAATCCTCTTGCCAACGGTTCGAAAGTTATCCTCGTGATACTTTTAATGAGGAGCTGCTAGGGGTAGCCTTGAAGACTAGCTTGAAACCACGTCCATGACAACGGAAGGAGAGTTGAAGGGAATGTTCTGCTTGCAGCTGTCACGGTGAGCTTGGTTACACTCTACCCATAGCTCTGGTACCCCTCAGAGTACAGGGCCATTCAGGTACCCTAATGCATTACCCGCAGCGGGGTAGGGCCCAGCCGGAGGCAGCTCGTCTCTTTTCACCCCTCCCGTCATCATCGATCCGGTCTTGATCATTTCACCTCCAATTTCCGCCCAACCATATCAGCGAGGGGCACCGTACCCGAACAGCTTACATCACTCTTTACTATCAACTCAAACCCCGTTGTTGGTAACCGCACTCAACATCTACCATCAAATCAAGGACCCAAGAGACAAAGCATACTTGCTGGACAACGGAGAGAACAGCTCTCGAGCGTTACTGCCCAACACGTCACTCCAGTCCCCACACCACCTACCGCTCTCTTCTCCGGGAATTAATCCGTCATATCCTCAACCTCCCCATCCATCTTCAAGTCTTCAACCCAACGAACCACCGCCCAAATTCAACTCAAAAACCAAAATGGGCATCACAAGCATCCTCAAAACCCTCCACCTCCTCCGTCCCTCAGAATGGGACCCCCCAACCCCTCTCAACCACCTCCTCACCAACCTCTCCTCCTTCCCCCTTTTCGTCATCCCCATCCCCCTCCCCCTCCTCCGCCTTTTTGTCTCTCACCTCTACCATTTATTTCTCTTTCTCCGGGGGCACGCCTTCCACCCGCCCTCTAACCTCCCGCCTATCCGGGTGGTCTGCATCTCCGACACACATGATCACGAATTGGCTCTAGAAAAGATTCCGGAGGGGGAGGGCGGACTGTTGATTCATGCAGGGGATTTGACGGATGATGGGAGTCGGGAGGGGATTCAGAGACAGCTGGATTGGTTGGGGGAGGTGAAAGCTAAAAAAGGGTTTGAGAGGGTGTTGGTGGTGGGGGGGAATCATGATGGGTGGTTTGATGAAGGGGGGGCGAGGAAACACTTGTTTGGGGATGGGGAGGGGAGTAAGGGGGAGTTGAGGTTTGCGGAGGGGGTGCAATATTTGGATGGGATGGCGGGGGGAGAGGGGGAAAATGGAAATGGGGGTGCGATGACGATTGAGTTTGAGGGGAGGGCGAAGGGGAGGAAGTTGAATGTTTGGGGGTGGGGAGGGGTGCCGAGGTGTGGAGGGCCGGAGCATGCGTGAGTTTTATTTTCTTCTTTTCTTTTTGTTTTCTCTTTCCCTTTTTGCCCCCTTCCATCTCACTTACACACATCCCAGCTTCCAATACGACCGTGCCTCCCACCCCTGGACGAACCGCATCCCCCTCGAAACCGACATCCTCATCACGCACACCCCGCCCCGCCACCACCTCGACCTCGACCTCGGCTGCGCCGGCCTCCTCGCCGAGCTCTGGCGCGTCAAGCCCAAGCTGCACGTGTTCGGCCACATCCACTGGGGCGCCGGCCGCGAAGCCGTCTACTACGACGAGTGCCAGCGGGCGTACGAGTCGCTCATGGCGCGCGGCGCTGACCTTCCGTTCCCGCCGGCTTTTCCTTCGGTGTTCTCGTTCCCGCCTTCTTCAGCCGTTACTCAGTCTGCGTCTCCGAATAGGGAGCCCTCAAAGATGCGGGAGAAGCAGAGGCCGACGAATTTGGTGAACATCTTGTTGTTGCCGGTTTATTTTGGGTTCGCGCTGAGTTTGTATCTGGTGGAAGTGGTGGAGAGAGTTGGGATGGACCTGATGGATGCTGCGAGGGTGATTTGGTATGGGACCACTGCTGTGGTGTGGAAGTGGGTTATGCAGGGGCCGGGGACGAATAATGGGGGGTTGTTGGTGAATGCTAGTGTTACGTATGGGAATACGGGGAGGGCGAGTAATCCTGTGCAGGTTGTTGAGCTGTGATGGGGTGGTTATGTTGGTGTTGTTAAACGATGGGGTGGAGGATGGTGATGTGGATGTGGTTTAATGCCGTTAACGAGGATGACTACACATACTAAGAGAGGAGTGCGTGCTCAGTGGTTGGAAAGCAACGTGGAAGAGTAAACACAACATGAGAACGGATTCGGTATTCTTATGTAAAGAGCCATCAATTTCCCGAATCGTGTATTATCCATTATACCCTTATCATCATCCAAGTAAAAAAAAAAAAAAAAAAAAAAAAGGGGGGGGGGGGGGGGGGGGGGGGGGGGGGGGGGAAGTAAACAAAAGCATACAATCTGCATCCTTGTCCAGACAAGGGAATTGCTATCCATATCCACGCCATGGTATCATCTTCCATCCGGTATCCGCACAAATGTTTTTCCATCCGTATATGCCAAAAGCCCACATTAACACGCCCATGGAGATAAAAAAAAGAAAAAAGAAAATGAAGACAAAACAACAAGACTGAAAGAAAATCACCTAGCCAGAATAGCCTCCCCATACCCGGGCAACCTTCCCCCCTCCGCCACCCTCACCCTCACCTGCCCTTGCCCACCTCCACCTCCACCTCCACCAGTAGTCACCCCCTCGCTTCCGAATCCTTCCCTCTCCCTTTGTTGACTCCCCCTCTGCATTTGCCTCACCTCCCTCTCCCGATACCACAAATCAGGCGGTAACCCAATAACCCTCGGCCTCAAATGCTCCTCCGCCGCCGCCCTTTCCTCCTCCTCGTTCACCCCCATCATCATCCCACCAGAGGTACCATAGCCATACAACGACTCAAAATGCGGCAACCCCTGCCCATCCACCCTCTGCTGCTCCTGCTGTTCGGAGTCCCATTCCACTGCGACTTGTAGTGGGAGGGTAAGGGAGAAGGTGGTGCTTGCGCCGGCGCTTCTGGCTTTGCTGGTGCTGCCTGCGGCAGCGGTGATGGATAAAGTGAGGGTGTACACGCGCGAGGCGATGCAGGAGTGGAAGGTGGGGATGAAGGTGCGGCGGTCGAGGGGGAGGGAGAGGGAGAGGGGGATGGGGAGGGTGGTGGTGAAGAAGGTTGGTGAGGTGGGTTTGGTTTTCTTTGAGGAGGAGGAGGAGGACTTGGGTAGTGGTGATGGGGTTGGTGGTGATGGTGATGGTGATGGGGGGATTAATCGTCGGGTTTCGGTGCCGATACCTGGTGTTGTTTCGCCTTCTGAAGAACCAGGTTCGCTGTTATTTTGGTACCGAGGCCTGCTAAAGTCGCTGGCATACCCAGAGTCTCGCCTCTCGAGCGAGTAATGGTGTTGTTGCCAGGTCGGCTGGACCACGGAGATCTTGCGCAGCGGCACGGATGTCGAATAAACTCCGCGCTTGTCTATCGAAAAGTCCGCGGTCCAGTTACCCATGTTAGGGAATGCGGGTACCGTGCCGGAGTTGAAGAAGGTGTGCGCGGTGACTTTGCCGGATATGTTGGTGATGGAGGGTGGAGTGAGAAGCTGTTGCGATGAGGTGGGCTCGTACTTGAGTCGGATCTGGGCCATGGGGGTGGAGGTCATCGTTCGACCGTTGGATTGAAGGATGGCGGCCCTTGGCTGGATGGCCTCGGCGGTCAGTGTGCCGACTTTGGTGGAAAGAAGTTTGCGCAGAGACTTCTTCTTGTACATGCAGTATAGCTTGTCGTTCTCGGTGATGTTGAGGGGCGGTTCCTCTGGCGAAGCGGGCAGCACCTGGATGGACTTCCTGGCTTCCATGATCCTGATTCTTTTTCCTCCCACGTTTGGTTGGCGAAATACCCTGGCCTTGATGGTGTATTCGACCGAGACCATCGTAGGTGACATGTCGTCCTTTTCCCATTCCTTTCCCATGCTTGGTGGTAAAAGAACATGCTGGTCTCGCACCTGGTCGGTTTGTACGTTGTGGTTGCAGGCACCAATGGTCAGTTGGTTTGGGATGACGAATTCGAAAGGAATCGTCATTGTCCTTCCAGTCTCCAGCACTCTCGGCACCGGATATGTCGATGATGGGATTGGCATGACCAGCTTGAGGAAGGTATGTGCAATCTCGGCGGGTGAGTTTACACCTTCTGTCCTTGTCCTTGTGTTTCCGAGTAGAATGATTTCGATGTCGTCGAACCGAACATCTCGCTTGGTCGTGATGGTGACATCGCCAACGATAGGCGAGGAAGAAGTGTAGACCTTGGAGCTGTAATGGTTCGTTATGTTGATATCGATGTTGGACCTCTGGTAAGGAGCTAGTTTGTTGGCGGCATTCGGTCCTAGCTCGCTGCCGAGTTCACTAGGACAGGAAGCGCCAGACGAGATGATTCCGGCCACAAGGCCCTGCCTGTAAACCATTGCAGTTGGTCGTGGCCAGACAAGCCGGTAAGATGGTTGATGAGAACGAGAATCTGGCACTGTATGATTGAAGACCGGCAGAAGAGGAAAGAGTCTGAAGAGGTTCTGGAGTGATTGTGAAGTATGGATCTTCTATGGGTTGATAGCTAATCGAAACGTCCAAGTGATGGGGACGCAGTGTGTAAGATGGAACTTCTGACTTCGAGCTGATGATATTCTGGGACGCGTGGAGGGGGTTTAGGAGTTATAAGTGATAACGCCAAATACAATATCCAACTAGAATGTGGCACGAAGGGCGAGGATCATCCCTTCCCTTATACCCACCACAGATAAGGTAGGGAAACTTCCCTCTGTTTGGTACACACTACACAGCTGCATGTCCACCGCCAAGAAACCATGATGGACCATGGGGTAGGTGTAGCCGCTGAGCTATCTTGGGTATAGTGGCATCGGACATTATAGAAAGGGATGTGATGCGGCTGGCTGGAGCTATGCCTAACAAAGAAAAAAAACCCTTCGAGTCACTTACAAAGCCAGTATGGTATTGTGTAGGACTTCTCACTTCTGAGCCTAACCGTTAAGGCCCTCGCCGAGCCTTGATGGCTTTTGGGACTCGCTTATGGCAGCTCTTTGGAGCTTCCCCGCGAAAGCTGACCGACGCCTCATCGGCTGGCGTGGCCGGACGACCCTGTCCGGTCAGGGAGTCACGGTCTCGCCTAGGTGGTTGGTCCATAGGCCATGCATTGCTATGCATTTACTTGAACGGAGATGAAAATGGAAGTGTGTTCTTCTGGTGGTTGTGGGTGTAAGGGAACGAGCGGAGTGTGGTTCCATGGAGACCAGCGTCACACATGGAGCATCCATTCGCCATTGACCCCATTGTCGTGGCAGAGGCGGGGGTGTCCTTGGTTGCTTCTTGGCCTGGGAATATCGAATACTCACCGGGCAGTCAGTGTAACCTCCCACAAAGTTAGGGACCCGCGGACACAGCCTGGTCGGGTACTTTTACCTCTGGTGTTCTAGCCCCCCGACGACAAGTCATCCATGAGACAAAAGGAGAAAGGAAGCAAAAAGGTGGCTTGGAGGCCAAGCTGTGATAAAAGCTGCGCCAAGTTGTTCAAGTGGACGAGAACTTGTCCTCGTGGTACCCTGTCTCTGCTGCTTTTCGGTTGTTGATGTTGATGTTTGAATGGGTTCCGGTAGTCACCGGTACGAACACGATAATGTTCGACTTCTACCTCCCATCTCTACCTCTACTCTTGTTGGATAATTTCCAGCGATGGGAAGCGTCATCCAACAAGTGAAGAAGCATCAAAAGTCAAAACGTCAACGAGGGAAGCGGAGTCCGTCCCTTGTCGAGATGATGCGATGCGTTTACAGGCCGCTCGTGCAACGCTAACTTTATTCTCATTAGCGCAGTCTTGGAATGATCGACGGATGACACCAAACCCGCCGTTAACGGAGGGCGTCTTCTCCACTTGTCGACGACAAGGCGTGGTGTGGGCCGTCCTGAGAATTATATCATTACATACCACGACAAAGAATAACCAAGAAACTCTTTAGTCATCCGGGTTTTTCCACTGTGAGTTCGGATCAGTTCATGGTATCTTTCATTGGAGCTTGGGCTGGGAGCTTGGCTCAGCTTGGTTAGTTGGTTACCTAGACTTGGCATATCGAGTTGTGAAGCTCTCCTCCTCGAGATAACGTTCACTGATGTGGTTTGTCAATTGGTCATCATCAGATCCCTACCTAGCAGCCATTCAGAACCCCATGGGAAACAAGAGAGAACGTGAATTCGATCGTCGCACCACTCACCACAAAGCAACCCCTAGCCGAACCCCCATCCCCGCCTTGTGCCCCGCGTGCCCGCAAAGGTCCTCTCCCGCAACCGGACCGTCGTGACCCTTGCCTCGGTTGGTTGGCCGGGTCCCCTGAAGAGGTCGTTGTATTAACACTTGAAAGCTGACATAGGGCGTTACATAGTCTTTCCAAGAAGTGTTGTTTGTCATCGGCTCCTTCGGTTGTTAGTCGGTCATAAGATGTCAAATACGTACAATCTTCACAGAGTTCAAACCCTTGAGCTAACAAGGGAAACTTAGAACCGGAGCTCCAAACATTTGGGGAGTGTCGACTGTGTCGTATGCAGTCAGCAATCATTTTCTTCCCGTCAACACCAACACAGCCGTGTCTGAAACTACGTAGCAGAGAGAACCTCCCGTCGCGCGGGAGACACGTCCGTCCCAGCTTGCGTGTGCGAGTGTTCCATTTACCGGTACTGAACTGCAAGGGGGCGGCCCGTTACACAGGCACGAGTACGACGGACAGGACAGGACAGTTTGCATGGCATTGCAATGCATACGGTACATGCAAGCTTTGAACGGTTAAGAGTCATCGGCAAGTTTTCAAGCAAAGGAATTTGGGTAACTCCAGCGGTGAAAGAAAAACAGAAAAGGTAAATAGGAACAGGGACAGAATGACTCGGAAGGAGACTAGGAGGAACTAACAATCGGTCATTTCCATTTCACATGGAGAATAGTGACGTTACTGTAGTCTCGCCGGAACCTCTGCTAACTGCGGGCTAGTTTCTTCTTCTTCTTCTTTTTCAATTTTCCTCTTCCGAAGCCGTTTCGAGAATAAACCACCGTAAACATCAGATGAAAGACTCATCCCAACTTGCAACCTCGTGAAGTTGTGTGTCATCCATTGCGTATTTGACACTAGAGTAGCGTACAAAATACCTTTATGTCAAAGATCAAAGAGACCAAGTTTGATTTACACTAGTCGGGCAACCGGTCATCCTCTTCCTATCAGACACCCTACGCCCTTCTCTTGACACGACAAGCTCTGTCTCAAATCACAGGGGCACCGAAAAGCATATCGACCTCATGGCGCTAGGTAACACAATACGAGCGTGATTCTTCTCCGTACCAATGGCTGCCCGGTCGATCAGTCCATTGTCCAGTTATACACTGAACAGGCAGGCCCTTGGGCGACATGTAGAACTAGAACGGCTGACACCCATCATCCCGTCACCACGCCCTTCACCCCCAGCAGTCTAACACCCATGAACAAAGAAACGTCTGCCCTGGATTCACGTAGTACATAGGTAGCCTGAGGCTCGTACCCGACCGAAGGAGTCATGCTTTGGTGCGTGCTCAGGCACCATGTTTGTTAGTACCGAGTTTTCGATCTTTCTTCCGTGCTTATGTGTCTTGTCTTTAGGGGCTGGTGACATTGATTCAACCAAGCAGTGCTTGGCTTGGAGCGTGGATGAGTGCTTGGTGACTGTGACCGTTCCCACTGTAACTTGGACCATGACCTTGTAGGTTCGGCAGCACCGAGATGAGATATTGTGATAATGTCTATTACCATTACCATCAATCACGAAGCCTTTGACCCTGCGGGCTTCATTTAGTTCATCATGTCCAGTAAGCCTTTTTCAGACCCGTTGATAACCGTTCACAAACATTCCATGCCGTATCCACATCTCCATGAACAACGGTGGTTTTCAAGGCATCCAAATAGCAACCCACCTACCCCTGACTTGACTAACCCAGCCGAAGTAAACAAACCCCAAACTGACTTCCAAACTCCCTGACTTAATCATGCCAGGAAATATACAACATAATCCCCGCCCCCACCGCAATAGCCGCAAACTGCACCAGTGTCTTCCTCAACTCCTTGGCCTTATCCTTGCCCGTCTCCAACAGCTCCGGAATGACCGCCACCGTGCCCACATACAGGAACGTACCCGCCGTGAACGGCAACAGCATGTCTCCCCAGGTCAAGCTGGTTCCCAAAATACCCTCCTTCATGCCCATCGCCGCTCCATTGGCATCGCCGGAGCCGCCGAATTCCTGCACGGCGATACCGATGAGGGTGCCGAGCATAGCGCCGATGGCGGTGACGAACTGGGCGCCCATGGCTTGACGCTTGGAGAAGCCGGACTGGACGAGCAGGGCAAAGTCGCCGACCTCGTGGGGGATCTCGTGGAAGAAGACGGCCACGGTGGTGGTTGCGCCGATGGTTGGGGAGGCGTAAAAGGAGGCGGACATGGCGAGGCCGTCAGTGATGTTGTGGGTGAAGTCGGCGCTGTTAGGTATTTCGTTAGCTTTCTCATGATCTTTGACGTGTGTTGTAACGGGTATAGTGGTGGTGGTGCATACATCAAGTTCAAGTAGCCGCCCAGCTTAGCAGAAGGGTTAACGTCCTTCTTATCATCCTGCTCTTGAACGTCCACATCCTTCTTCTTCAGCTCGTTCTTCTCACCCTTCCTGTTCTTAGCATCGCCCTTCTTCGCAACCTCAACACCAGTCGCCGCCGCGCCATGCTCATGCGAATGGGAATGTCCATGAGAATGATCATGCCCGCCTTCTCCACCCGTCGCGATCCTCAAGCCCTTATCCATAGCCACAAAAGTCATGAACCCAACCAGAATCGCAACACCCAACAACAAGTTCCTGTTCGGCTCGACCAACACAAATTTTGCGCTCTCGTGGCTATCCTCGCCAATGAAGATCTCGGGAAGCAGGTGGAACAGGGTATCGCCCAGCAGGCCGCCGACGGCAAAGGCGACCATGACGGACAGCGAAGACGGGTCGATGTTGGTCGGGCACAGGGCCAGCAAGAAGTTGGGCGGGCCCGAGATGTACAGGGTCGCGAGGATGGCGTTGACGGCGGGGGAGCCGGGGAAGAGGATGGCGAAGAGGCGCTCGGTGGCGGAGGAGGTTTGGTGGGCGTGGGCGGCGATCTTTTCGGCGGAGAGGGCTTGGACTATTGGGCAATCCTATGTTTGAAGAAGCGCGACGGGTTAGCAACGACATCATGATCTAGATGCAGCTGAGTAGGGGGGGGGCGGAGAAAGTAAACAAACCTGCAACAGCCCATCCAACTCCTCCAGACTCAAGTCCGAAGGACTCAGTTTCCTCTCCGTCCCGTACGTCTCGTGCGTGCTCCGCGCATAAACCTGGAGAACAGCAATGGACGCCAACGCGAAGAGCGTCATCAGGCACTTGGCTCGCGATATGCCCACCGCCATGATGGATGGAGCTTGCAATTGGGAATTGAAGCGCTGGGAAATATCGTCAATTGGAACCGAAGAAAGCAGAACACGACAATCTTCCAATGAACAACACAAGAGGAAAGCACAAAGATACCGGGGACGAAGAAGAGGGAAGAGGAAAAGAAAAGGGGAATTGAGAGAAGAAAGCGGAGACGGGATTCAGAGAGACATGGCCCGACAGCTGGAGTCCCAGGGAGAGTGGGGATCTAGTAGCTGAGCTGTTCATCTCTTATTGTTTCTTTGTCCGGCCGGCGGCGGCGCCAACACCGAGGACGGCACAGTCAAGACAGTGCGGTAAAGGAAGGGCACGCGACACGACACGACCCCGCAAAACCACTTCTGTTCTGAATGCTACGCAACCCCGTTTTTAGGGCTGATGTCAATGGACACAGGCCCACTGTGGGTTACTTGGCGTTGAGTGCCCTGGAGGTCGGGTGTCGCGTGCCGCACCGCCGCTATGCCGCCCGGATTCAAATCAGGAATTTCCCCGAGCCAATTCAGTGTTTGGGTGTCTTCACTTTTGCATCGTCAACTTCTCATCGATCTGACATCGTCCTTATCAACAGCGTGGTGGATGCTTCTCGACTGACACACCTCTTCATCCGGACTTTATCGTCGCTTTAACTTGGATGGAAGCTCCCGGCCAGCAAGGTTCTCAATGGTGGGGCATCACGGGAACAAAGCAACGAAGCAACACCATGGCCGAGATGATCAGGATCAAGATGGGCTAAGGTAGGTAAACCATGAAACAGTATAAGGTATCTAAAGTGTGTTATTCTGTAACCAGAATGTTCCAAAAAGCCTGTGTCTAGAACCCCAAACGATTGCAGATCAGAGACCAAAAAGAGCCATCACCATCATCACAACAGCAACCGCATCCCCCATCGACGCCATGACGGAGCTTGCCCTTCCGGTGCTCACGGCTGTGCTAGTACCCGAAGGAGAGCTAGCCACAGACATCGTACCGTTTGGAGCAACGATAGAAACGGGCATGAGAAATGTGGCAGTTGACATCGTCGAGATCGATGATGGCTTCAAAAAGGTCGATTGCGCCGTTTGCGAAAGAGCAAAGCTGATTCCAGAAGATGGACTGATCCATGAAGAACTGGTTCTAGCAAGTGTTAGTACACTTGCAGAACTTTAGTCTTTCATCAGTCATGTCACTTACTGGCCCAGCTTGCTACTGTTACAAGAGAGGTCAAAGAGGGGAGTTGTTGTCAACGTGTTACCGATCAGACCAAAACTTGGATTGGGAGTCGTCGGGGCAGAGTCTTGCATCGTGTACCACCAGACATTGGTGCTGCCGAACAGAGGGCAGCCAACCTGGTCCCAGTAATATTTGGCATTGGCGATGCTAGGGACGGCTTGGCCCATAGTTTTGCCGCTAAGAGGGAAGCCGGTTTCCGTAACCCACACGGGCTTGCCTTGGGATGCAGCCTTGGTGGCGCCCAGAGCGTCATCGAAAAGGGACTTGCTATGGCCGATGTCGTTTTGCTGCGTTTTCTGGAAATAAGGGTAGCCATCGAAGCCTAGGAAGTCGGAAGCATCCACGACTACTTGGTTGGAGCTGTTGACCCAGGCCGTCCAGGTATCAACATGACCCACCGGGGCACCGGAAAGAGCCGTGTTGGCGATTATGTCACGGACCTGCTTGATATAATGGGCAATCGTGAGAGGTGCGGCTCCGGGGTTCTCCTTATTCTCAATGCCGGTAGGTGAGATGCGATACAGATCCTCGCTACCCACGGAGATACCGGCCACTAACCCGCCAAGGGCAGCTCCGTACTGCTGAATGGCAGAGCTGAGGGCTTGTAGCTCGTTGGCGAATGCAGCATCACCAGCAGAAGCCCATAGGCCAAGAAGCAGCGATGTTCGGGTAGCAATCGCAGCCGGGATGGCCGAGATGGGAGCATTTGCCGTACCCCCTTGCTGTTCAACGAGTTTCATGGTCAGGGACTTTAGGCCAGGCACACAAGGAATAAGGTGAGGAGGGGTGGGGAGCTGAACTAACAATCATTGTGTATAGTCGGGCACTGGTGAAGCCTCCAGCAGGAGCACCGACGAGACCCTGGGCTGTTCGAAACTCAGCTTCAAAGTCAGACTGTTGCTTGGCAGCGCCATTGGTGAACGAAGAGCCATAGTTGAAACCCTGGTAGGCGCCCATGACCGTTGACAGGGTGGCAGCCAAAGCTGCTAGTCGCGAGAGGTGATACATTGCGGCAGGTTATGGCTGTAACTTTGCTGTCCAACTTTCAAAAAGAGGTATCGATGTTGAGGCTGAGTCGGTAATGGGTCAAAACCGTTGACAAAAGCGAGGCCCAAAGTTGAGCGACCAAAGTGACGAGTCCAAGAATCACCAAACAGAGTCGGGGTGGTGGACCAAAAGTTCGAAAGAAGACGGGAGAGATGGTCTGGGGCGAGGATAAACTGGCTTTATACACTAGCTTGGGACGTGTTACCGAAGAAGAAGACGCAGAAAGAATAACGTAAGTCTTGGGCAGGAACGATGTTTGATGATGGTTGAGGAATGCTGGTCAAGGGAACACAACGTATTGTGTTTAGTACACTGCGGCGATCGGAGGTAGAGGTAAGGTCTTGTATCGTGATTCTAGGATATTGATAGGTGCTGACTTGAAAGGAGTAGGAAGAGAAGTAAGGATAGCAAACACAATGCTGTTGATGCTTGTAAGGGACAAAGATGTCGGTGGTATGGGGATATATTGACAGAGCTACTCAGAACTTGGAGGTTTCCATCAAGATGGATATCATCACCCACGGATGGCCACCTTCCGATTGTCTACCGATCCTCTTTGAATGGAGAGCAAGAGCAAAAGGAAACATCATGGCACTTGCCGGTCTTATTGTTGCAAGTGTCTGGGGTTCCCGTCGTCTCTTGTGCTCCTTCCCTTGCAGTCAAATACTCGACCTGGCATCATGACTTCTTACATTGCGTCGACCCATTCAAACCAGGTATAAAGGCAAGTGGTTTCCACAGCATCAAAACACGAGGTTATGCAAGGAAGCTACACGAAGTCGATTCCAGCTTCTTGATATGTTGTGCAACGACGGGACACTCTCGATACAAAAACATGCTAAGTCCAGATGTTCTTGATTATCACTCGCTGGCCATCAAGTCTCTGCCCATTCTAACCAAGGCATGAGTTCAAGCCCTTCAACAACTACACTCATGCTAGTTTTGCCCCCACGTCTGAGGTGTCTATTTTGGGTTCGGGGAAGGGCATGGGTGATGTGGTGGTGTCAGTTTTCTCCAATGACTACCTGTGTCTTGTTCCCTTGAGACATCCTTTTCGAGAACCGGAGCCTCAAAAACCGGTTGTTCGATGGTCGTGCTATAACAAAGTGGAAGCCGCAACATCAAGAATATGAGAAGGAGCGAGGGAGGGTCGGGTATGTATGCCACCCAACCCACTGCACCTACCTAACACAACCCGATTAGGCCCGAGCTTGACCATTGACACCGTAGCATCTGCCTTTTCCAGGAAATTCGCGGAGTAACCTGGAAACATCCCAACAGCTGCCAGCCAAGCGCTATGACTGGCCAATTGACCACCCACAACCACGTCCCGCCTTATCTCAGCGCTCAGACCATCAGTCGGGGTTACTGTAATTTTGTAATTTCAATTTATGTTACTGCGTTATTCCCAATTTGGAATCTATTATGGTATTCTTCCTTCAGGTCTGAGTTTAAGACGTAGACCCAACCATAAAGATGTTCACAATCCAACCCAGAAATCACCAATTCCATCAAAACAGGCCGCATCACGTAGATTTTGAGCTCATTTTGATCTTTAGAACTTCAGCTTTCTATTGGTGCTTTTCTTTTTCGATATGAATTCAGATACGGACTTGAAGATGGAGGACTGGACCTATGACCACTCCTCAAAATTACCTTTTGATTAACTATTTATACTTCCTATACTCGTATTAAAAAACTAGTTACACTATTAGATTCCTCTCGCTGAGGCCATCTTCAATATGTATTTTATTTATATATATTGTATTGTTAATATGCTGTAATATGGTAGTGATTCTACAATTCTGGTTAGTCTATGACCACTTTTCTAAGAAAGTCCACATCGGGAACTCGGACGTCTTTCTTAAGCATTTAGTTCCATAAGTAGGTCTATACAGAGGATTACAATGAAAGATAAAAAAGCACGGACCCCGAAAGGGTCTTGGCCCTGGCAACCGAATACAAGGACCCAAACATACACATGCCCAAGAAGGACAATCTGATCACTGAGATAAGTCCCGCCAGGGCACCTTCCAGCCCAGGTTCCCGGGCCTTGCCGTAGTTTCTCATGACAGTCGTGCTCTGATGTCAGCCACCATCCGCTCCGCCGCCACACGTGGCGCAGTCTCTTTGTACCCTGTGGGTCCAAATGGTGTGACATTATAATGGGTGGGTGGGTAAGTGTGGTGGGGATGTCACAACCATTTGGACCCGCAGGTACAAAGAGAAACGCAAGGGCCATGCGTAGGTGGCTGAGTATGCCGTTCGGAAAGCCGTTCATCACATCCTCAACCTTAACCTGTATATAGGTATAGTTGGACTTTGTCCCTTTCTCCTTTTGTTTCTCTCTCTCTTAAATCAATCAAGACATTCACCACCACTTTCGTCGTCTCTCGCTTTCACTCGTAATCACCTCCTCCGTATGGTTCAACAGTTTGAGTGTCGAAAATATCTAGCCATGTATACAATCCAGCCCTGGAGAGTTTGTTGGCGTGATACAGTACTTTGGAGGTAAGTACGGGTCAGGTAGGATTCTCTCGGCAGGTCAACACCATGAGTGGTGCTTGAGACGGTGGAAGTGGGGCGGCGAGGTGGTCGTTGTGCGAGAGTTCGAAGTGTTCTTCTCCACGTTCGCAGTGAAATAGCCTCCAAGGCCAATCAATTCCCCTGTTTCTATTCCCTCAGCTGCCGAGTTTCGCGCTAACAAACTTTCCAGTACTGGACTGTAGATCGTATCCACCTTGTGCCAAGAAAGGAAGCCAAGACATGGTGATGGCTTCAACACAAATTCCCATCGTCACTACACGTACACCCGCAAAGATCATCCGTTCCACCCACACTCTGATGTTATATCCACCAATCCCCGGGTGCGACTCAACGGCCAGGCCCACTCAGCTGAATGATAATGCACGCCATCGTCAAACAGTTGCTTTCAGAGTCTGGCTCATAAAAAGAGGTTGCCAACAACACCATGGTCCAGCGATTGTTTGGCTTGTCTGACCTCAACATCATGGATTGGGCTCTCCGTTACTGGGCCCCATTGGGCATCCCAAGTCGCGATATATACCATGGCCAGTTTCACGTACAGAGGTAAGTCCATACGAGCTTCTCTCACATGTATCATCTGCTAATGACATGGTTAAAAGTCCGGACGCTGACTGGGTCCTCGAGGCCTCGCGCATCGCCAAGTCGGGCGTCATCCAGACTTGTTTTGCTGCCTTCGTCCTTCTATGGACAGCAATAGAGACCACCTGCCGCTACAGTTCCTTGGTCAACATCCCAGAAACCACAAAGGCAGTCCGATTCAGTCTGCCTTATGAGATTTTTTCTCAACTCTCACGCGGCGCTGCCTTCACCTTCACCCTTATTAGCGGGTACCGCTACCATCAGTACTGGTACGATGCTCTTCCTGTCGGCCTGGCTTTTCTTCTAGGTCTTGCCCGTTTGCTAGCCACGCCAAAATGGCAGCGCGTGAGCTTGCATCAAATCAACTTCCTCCTCTTCACCTCGCTAGTTACCTTGACCACAGCCCATCTCCTCCCCTCTCTCAGGATGAGGTCGGACGAGGAGGTTGAAAACGCGGGGATTGGGGCTATCGGAAGTCTAGCATTCGCATCGCTCATTGCGCTCGTGACTCCAAGAGAGTGGGGACCTCCGCCTGCCACCGAAAATATGGCCGTGTACAAACACATCTCCGAGGCACAGCCTACTCCCGAAGAAACAAGCAGTTGGTTCGTCCGCTACTTCAGCTTTGGCTGGCTGACTCCGCTGATCTGGAAAGGTTGGCGCACCCAAGTCGACATGGATGACATTCCAGGACTTCCTTGGTATGATGAGCCCTCACTCCTACTTGACAGGATTCTCAAGGTCCGTGAGAGATACAAAACGACCTTGTGGACAGTCCTCTCCTTCCAGCGCAGCGAAATCGTTGCCATGTCTTTTTGGATCGCTTCCTCATTCGCCGTCGAACTTGTCGCCCCTTTTGCCATGTACCAGATCCTAACCTATATATCATCCCCCAATGATGCTGTGCTACATCCCGTCATTTGGCTTGCACTGCTCTTCATGGGTCTTATGGGAAAGTCAATCACCACGCATCAGTACGTCTTTACGTCAACCAGACTCGTCGTCCGCCTCAAGTCGGCCATGACCCAAGAGCTTTACCACAGGGCCTTGTCGAGTATGGAACTCGAAGACGATGTTATCAATGACATCGCCACAAGGGGTGCCAAAGAGCAAAGAACGCAAAGCACGTCGGCAGGAAGATTGGCCAATCTGATGGCAAGTGACGTTGATGCCGTGTTTAAGGCTCGAGATGCCGTCACGGGCTTTGTCGGGGTGCCCGTAGGCATTGTCATCAGCATCATCGGCCTTTATAAGATGGTCGGGTGGACGAGTTTGGTCGGTCTCGCCTTCTTGGTGCTCTCCATGTCCTTCCCAGTCTGGATTGCCCGCATGATGGGCAAGACGCAACGCAAGGTCAAGCTGGCGCAGGACTCACGCATATCTCTCATCTCCGAGTACCTCGAAGCCATCAAAGCTATCAAGTACTTCTCGTGGGAGGATGCCATCATTAAACGCATTCAGGAAGCGCGAGAGAATGAGCAAAAGGAACTTTGGCACATTTGCCTATGGCACGCTCTTCTCGGACAGTGTGTCGAGCTTATCCCCGTCATCACCCTACTGCTCATCTTCAGCCTGTACATCGGGGTGATCAAGCAGCCTCTCACTGCTCCTATCGCCTTCACCACTTTGTCCGTGGTTACGATCCTGCGGCGGAATCTGGAATTTGTATCCTCGATATCACGAAACCTTACTGACGCACATGTCTCGATTGAGCGTTTGGACAAATTTTACTCAAATACAGCACCGCTAACCCAGTACCCAGAAGGTCCCTTGCAGATCGAGAAAGCGACTTTCCGGCGGAGCAAGAGGGCACCTTTTCTGCTAAAAGATATCTCCATCGACTTTGTAGAGGGCGGCCTCAACATAATTAATGGTCAGAGCGGGAGTGGGAAGACGAGCCTTTTGTTGTCTATCTTGGGAGAGACCACCCTTGCAGAGGGAACGGTGACCAGGCCCGGCGACGTCGCTTTTGCCTCCCAGACACCGTGGCTTCAGAGCGAGACAATACGCGACAACATCCTATTCCACGCTCCTTTTGAACAGGTCAGGTATGACAGGGTTATTGAGGCATGCTGCTTGGGCTTGGACTTTGAAGAGCTTCCCAAAGGAGACTTGACTGAGGTTGGAGAAAATGGCACCTCACTTTCCGGGGGACAAAAGTCAAGAGTGGCAGTTGCCCGAGCTCTCTATTCCAAGGCCCCCTTACTGCTGCTGGACGACATCTTCTCTGCCCTTGACGCCAAAACGGCTGCGTCTCTGTGGAAGCATTCCTTCTGCAGTGATATGCTCAAGGGCAGGACCGTCGTTCTGGTAACTCAAATGCCTTGGGTAGCTTCCCAAGCCGATCTCGCAATCACAATGGAAGCCGGAACGGTCAAGAACATTGAAAGGAACATTGGTGTTGTCCGCACACCTGTGGAACTGGAATACGGAACCACCAACAATGAGGAGTCCCAAGAGAGTACAACCACCTTAAAGGGCGAAAACCGGGCGGGCTCTCCCAAGATCAAAGACGAAATATCCAATGAGATGAGTGCCAGCGGAACATCAGGACGCTTTACTTGTAAGACCCATACCCACTTTTTACATGTTTTCCTCCCGCGCCGGGGTCTTAGCTGACAATGCTCCATGCGACTAGTCCTCAGGTACATGCTGCACTGGGGTGGCCCTGGGTACGTTATTCTAGCTCTCGCCAGTAATGTCATTGCCAATGCTGTCCTTCTTGGAACGACCTGGTGGCTCTCAGTTTGGGTCAATGCCTACAACAAGAAAGAGGCTGTTAATGTTGCCTTTTATATCACCATTTACGCTGCGTTCAACGTCGGCCAGGCCTTCCTAAGCGGAATCAGCTGGTTGATCTTCAACCGAGGTGCATGGCTGGCCGCACGCAAGTTACACAGGGGACTCATAGAGGGAGTGTTGAATGTCTCGCTGGGCTGGTGGAAGAACATACCAGTGGGACGGGTTGTTAATCGGTTCAGCCGAGATGTTGGGTCATTGTGAGTATTTGTCCTTTGCTCTTCAAATTACGAAACCCAATGCTAACCAATCAATTCCAAAACAAACAGGGACAGTCAACTAAGCACAGTCGTCCGATATTTCATCGACGCTGGCATGGCCATTTTCTTTCGTGTCGGAGCCGTCAGCTCCATCATGCCTATCTTCATGCTCCCTGCCCTGTGCACGGTCGGAATAGGTATCCTCTGCGGCGAGATGTACATCCGAACAGCTGTCGTCCTCAAGCGGTTGGTCTCATCCAGCCAGAGCCCCGTCTTCTCCCAGTTTAGTGGCAGCTTGTCTGGTCTAGCGGTTATCCGTGCCAGACAGAACATGCCCGAGACGTTCCGTGATCAGTTGGCGGACCGGTTAAGGTCTTTCTCGCGGTCCCAGGAAACTTCGTTTAACCTGAATCGGTGGGTCGGTGTTCGGGTCGACTTTGTCGCGGCGCTGGTCACTGTCTCTGCTGGTGCGATTGCACTGTGGAAGGTCGGTGTTGTGGAGGCTGGATTGGTGGGCTTTTCGCTGAGCAATGCGACGGGCCTGAATACGCAGATTCTGGTTTTGGTGCGGTTTATGAATGATTTGGAGGTCGAGCTGCAGAGTGTAAGTTTTGTTGCTTCTATTTACCTTGGTCACAAGCATCTTGATGGACCTGAGCTAATCCCATGACAGTTCCATCGCGTTGAGGAGTACGTCAAGCTTCCTGCCGAAGACGAGAAAGGCGGCTTGCGTCAACCCGACACCGATAGCGAAAGCCATGAAGACTCTTCTTTGCTTGAAGTTCCTGAGGATTGGCCAAGGGCAGGCGCGATTGAGTTCCGCAACGTTACGGTCAGATACGACCCTGACGGCCCTGACATCCTGAAGGACATCAGTCTTAAATTCAAGGCTGGTCAACGGGTTGCCGTTGTGGGACGTACAGGCTCAGGAAAGAGCACAGTAAGCGACATCTCCACATCTATAACTCCTTCTGCCCATGTACTTCTCATAGAGAACAGCTAGGCTAACCATCCCGTTCTATCCTCTAGCTCGTCCTCTCCCTCCTCCGCTTTACCCACATCGTCTGCGGGCAAATCCTTTACGACGGCGTCGACATTACGAGAATCTCACTCAAGAGACTTCGGCAGGCACTGACCATCATCCCCCAAGAAGCCACACTATTCAACGGCACCGTCAGAACGAACCTCGACCCATCCGGCACCGTGCCCGTTCAAACATTAGAGAGCGCCCTGAGGTCCTGCACCGGCATTGCGTCCTTTGATTTCCGCGAGAGCAGCAGTGATAACAGTATCAACGGGACCGAGACGATTGACGGCAACGACCCGATGGTACCAACCGAACGAACCCCCCTTCTCTCTTCCTCCCCTTCCTCCTCCTCACCCACCCCCGGCTCCCTCTCCCTCGACACCCGCGTCCTAGCCAAAGGCGAGAACTTCTCCCACGGCCAGCGCCAAGTCCTCTCCCTATGCCGGGCCCTAGTCCGCAAGTCCAAGCTGATGCTCCTAGACGAGGCAACGGCGAGCATGGATTACGAGACGGATAGGGGGGTCCAAGTGGCACTGCGACAGGAACTCGACGCCGGGGATGAGAAGACAAGGACGCTGGTGACGATTGCACATCGGTTGAGGACGATTATTGATTATGACATGGTTGTGGTGATGGGCGGAGGGAGGGTGGTGGAGGTGGGTTCGCCGGGGGAGTTGTATAAGGATAAGGGGGTGTTTTGGGAGATGGTTAGGTTTAGTGGGGAGGGAGAGGATTTGGAGGGGGTGTTGGAGGAGATGGGGGTATGAGGGGGCTTTTTACTCTACCCGTTGGGGAGGTGGTCAGTGCCTGTCTGTTTCCCCAACTCTGTTACCGATATTTTACTTTATTATATCGTGTTGCGGAGGGTAGATGCGAGGGTTCGAAGTTTTGAAGTTGACCGACGAACATTGTTATTGAAAAGTGGGATTTCCCAAGTGCGATACGCTCGCACCCCCCTGAGTTGGAAGCATGATTGGATCTACATGTTCTAGACCGATCTAACCGACTAGCACTGTTTTTGATTACGTAAACCATTGGAGGCACAGCAGTCATGCATTACAAGGATCATGCATTACAAGGCCCCGTTTGGTGTCGATAATGTATGTTTCCTCGTCATCATCTATCGCGATACCTACCATGCTTATACCTCCGACCTGAATCAGATGCCAGCATCTCATAGACCCCGCCGACTGCTGCGAAATTCGAGGGCATGTAAGGCAGCTGGCAGATTCAGATGTACAAAGAGACCTTCGCGATCCAGCTGACATATTCTCAGGTGATTTTTGCCATAAACGTCGGATCAAATGCCAGGAAAATCTGCTAGACCCGAGTCGTTGTCAAAACTGTGCCGAATTCGATATCTCATGCACCTATCTTCGGCCCTTGAGGCGTGGCCGAAGCTCTCCAAAGACGGCAGGACCAGGCGATCGTCCAGATGATGGCCAAGGTATCGCTAGCGAAGCTCGACGGGTTCATCCTGAAGAGCTTGTTGCACTTCCATCTACTACTCAGCCACCCCAGGTCGGCGACGATGACCGTATGGACTTGGCCGACGCAAGCAGCTCCGCTACAAACGAGCGCCGGAGTGAGCCTCTGAGCCCAGCATGGCAAGGCTTCGCCCGAACTTCCACCTCAGTCATCAAGAAGCTGCTATCTGTCTACCACAAGACCGTTTACCCCATGTGAGTCCCCTGTTTGACGTCGCGTTGCAAAAGTGAATACAATTCCTGATACGCGCGGGTCTAGCTTTCCCTATTTTGACCCCGTCAGGCTCGATCAGAGGCTTGAAATGCTGGAACATTGTCGCAGCCGTGCATTCTTCTGTTCTGTGATGGCGGCTTGTGCGCTTGCTTCAGCTCGTGTGAGGGACGGCGCGCCAAGTGGTGGCCAGGATGTGGTGGGAATAATGCCAGCACAGATGTTCTTTGCCGCCGCAGAAGAAGCACTTCCCAAAGACCTTCTTCAATGTCAGGACTTTGACTACCTTAGAGGCCTTGCGCTATTGGCGCTCGCAAGCCTTCAAGACGCCAGGATCGGAGCGATGCAGATGTACATCGGCCATTATTTCACCATGCTTGCCATCAACCAGTGGCACGACGAATCCAACTGGCCGACTGGATTACATCCCACAGAGAGAGAAGAGCGTCGGAGATTGGTATGTTTGTTGTGCGCCGCGGAACGCTCCCGACTTCCAGCACCCACTCTACTGTAGTCTGTACTGACAGATGTAGTATTGGTCATTCTACACGCTCGATGTCCTCTCGTCAATTGTCTGGGATGGCTGCATCCATTTTCAAGAAAGCCATGCGAAAGTCGAGTATCCTACAGGCAGGAACTGTAACGAAACTGAAAGCGCGCCTTTGGAGAGAACCCATTGGATAGTCGGGTGGAACTTTACCACGGATCTATATCGTATCTTGGAGCATAACTTGAGCAGGTTGCGAACTCGGTCTTCGAGATTCCACTTGGTGGCCGAATCTGTATCGACTCCATCCCTCAACGTGTCCAGCCAGGATCGCGTTAACGAGCTGTACATGACCTTGCCGCCCATTTTCAAGCAACTCCAGCCGGCTACCGGCGATCCAGCTAAAGATATTTACGGATTCCAAGCCGCCAACATTCAAGCGACGATGGCTCTCCTGAAGATGGTCTCCCTTTCTCTCGAGGCTGATCTTGATGTGGAAAGGAAGTGCTCCGTTGTAAGTGACATATTGGCTACTTTCCACCAGGTACCCAAGCCATACCTGAGAGCAATCAGCGCGCCTCTGATATACCACATCGGCGGGATTGGCACCATTCTGGGGTCGGTCATGGAAGGACCGCTATCAGAAAGCTCATGCTGCGTCGTACGGGACCTGCTTCTCTCCATGGCCGTGCTGCTGGAAAGCCTGGAAGCTTGCCTTCATCGAAGTGGCGGCGCTGGGCAGAGGATTCGAAGTCTTGTTGGGCGCATTGAAGAGTACATAGGTTCCCGAGGTGGTGGGCGAGCTACCCAAGCACAACAACATCCCGCGGATATCTCTGCTTCCGACTTTCGAGAGGGCACATCGAAGAACAGTTGGGACGAAGCGGCAGTCCCTGACTTATCGGCCCAATTCCAACTTCCTGACGAGCTGCTGCAAGACTGGACTTGGCCGTTTGCCATGTCAAATAGCTATCTATCTTTCTGAGCATGTAATGGAATGGCTGCCGGCAACAGGTGTAATGGCGTCAAGGAGGGAATACAAAGATGCCTGAAAACGACTCGCTTTTTGTTTTTTTTAAAACTATCAACATCTATGCCCACTTGTTATCAAACACTTTACCGTCCACATAGTTGATCATTTCCTTCACGTGGTCCAGCTTTTCCCGTCCCGCACCGAACAACATGCCTTTCGTCATCACCTTCCGGTAGTTCTCTCCCGGGTTGACTTTTCCAAGGACGTACGGCCGGCGCGTCTCGACCCTGTCTGGGACCGGGATGCTTCGTCCCACAACAGCCTCCATACCCTGCCACGCGAACGTGACTGCCTCCTTTGCACCGCCCGGAATACCCGCGGCATCCAGCATGAACATCTTGACCTGCGGGAACTGCTCCTTCATGTAGTCGCAAATGTTGGGGTTGTACGCGCCACCTCCGCACATGAAGACCTCGTCAACCGGGCGATCCTTGGGCGCATAGCGGCGCCAGTGATCCACGATGGCCTGGGCAGTGATTCTGGTGACAGTAGCAACAACGTCATCTGGCGACATGCCCAGCTCGGCACCCTCCTTGATCAGGTCGTCTGCCAGAGTATCGCGGAAGACCTCACGGCCTGTCGTCTTGGGCGGGTCCCAGCTGAAGTACGGTATCCTCGTGAAGAAGCGGTCCACCATTTCCTGGTTGATCTTTCCTCTCTTGCCCATCTCGCCGTCCTTGTCGTACTCTTGCACTCCGTCGGTGTAATGGCGGACCACGGCATCGATCAGAGCATTGCCCGGGCCGGTGTCGAAGTCGTAAGCGTGCTCTGGGCCCTCGGGGGGGATGAAGCAGACGTTGGCAATACCGCCAATGTTCTGGCACGCGCGCAGCTTGCCAGGGTGATGCAGCAGAAGCGCGTCGAAGAAGGCAATCAGCGGCGCTCCCTGCCTGCCGGCGGCCTGGTCGGAGACACGGAAGTCGGTCACGGTGGTGACTCCTGTCCGCGAGGCCATGAAGGTACCCTCGGCCATGGTCAGAGCAGACCTGGGGATGCCCTCGTCCGGCATGCTGGCCAGCCAGATGGTCTGGCCGTGGGAGCCGATGGCGTCGAGGCTCTTGATGTCCACGTCGTTCTCCTTGCAGAACTGGATCGCGGCAGCGGCGAATGTCTCGCCAAGGTGGACGTTCACCTCTGAAAGTTCGGAAGCAGATGTCCGGTCATGCTTGATGATGGACAGAACACGCTTCTTCAGGTCTAGATCCATGGGAGCCTCTCCGTACTTGAGGAGGGAGAAGTGCATGGGCGAGTCTGGTGTTTCTTGCCTGAAGTGGCACAGCGCACAATCGATACCATCCTGATATCATCATCAGTTTTCATAGTCGGTATTTCGTTTCAGTTTATTCACTCACCATCGATGTGCCACTGTTCATCCCCAATACGAGGAGATCGAGCGGTTGCCCGCCGTTGGTCGTTGAGTCAGCCATTGCTGTGTTGTTTACCTCTAACCAATGGAAAAAAGGAAATAATGTCTTGGAGATCTGCAGTTCACGAAGTCGTCCGAAGCGCAGCGACTTCTATTTCAATTCTCCCGGGAGGCGGTTAAGAGGCGAGTAAGAGCCCCAATTCACGATCTGGAACGCCGTCAGGCACGAATCGCTAGGCCGCGTAACCGGACAGCCAGGGCATCTGGCCATCTCAGCCTTCCTTTTAACCGGCCGCTTACATGCCATATTTCTTGCGCGAGCCGGGGCCCCATTCGGGACAAGGTTCGCCAAGATCCTTGGTTTTCGGCCCATCGACATCACACACGGCGCTAACCATGGTGGACGGTCAAGCGGTTAAGCGGTGAAGAGCACTGCTGGGCCACGGTAAAGCGGTTACACGCTCTGACGGCTAAGCGGTTATACGGACTTGGCAACCCTTTCACGACTCAAGTAGACAGGATCACCTAGTCACCAGACACTCTTCACCCACACCTCCACATGATGGATTCTCCCCAGTTTCTGGGGATGGCCGGAAAATCCTTGGAATGCGGGGACTCCGCCGGGGAAGCGTGAGACGTTGATCCCCGTGGGGAACAGGGACAATGCACACTCGCTTAAGGTACGGAGTCTCTCGTTCATGACAAAATTATGGTTACCGCTACATCGGGTTTTCACCCTGATGAAGACTGGACGCATTCTCTTCACGACCACATATCCCAAGTCTTAAGAGAGTGTATGAAGCTCGAAGGAGCATTGACTGCTCATGAAGTTGCAGTAAAACCCATGTTTTTTGGTGAATTAATGGCCGAGTTCTGGATCATCAAAGTCCGGGGTAACCTATGCGCGGTCACCATAATTTTGTCATGAAGGGGGTAGTTAAACAGGATGTGCAGGATCTAGCCTTGGTCCTTCCAAACTGCCGGGTTCCTTGGTCTTCAGCTCTGTCGGCATTCAAAATGTTAGCGCGGCGAATGGCGAAGTGGCGATAGTTTTATTTTCCTCACAGAAGATGGGTGCCTTGCTCACCTCCAACCCCCTCATTATTGTACGGTGGCGGTGCCACGCTAACAAGTTATATGCCGGCAGAGGTTTTGGTGTTGACACTCGACCGCGTGAATAGCAGCATATCGTAAGCAAGCGATTGCTTGCGAGTCTCATACATAAGGAGCGCTATGTCCCTTTCAAACATTTCTCCATCCATCCACGTTTTCAATATCGTTCCACCCCCATCATCATCATGGGGTACACCACTCTCTGGAAGAGGCTGTCGCCTACACAACTCAATCTCGCCATCCAGACCTTCTCCCTCATCAGTATCTTCTTCGAAGGATATGATCAAGGTGTGATGGGAGGTGTTAATGCCTCTCCACGCTATGTCACCGAGGTTGGTATCGGCTTGCCCGATGGCACGGTGACGGACGAAGTTCACCAGGGTGGTATTGTATCAGTCTACTACGTCGGATGTATCTTCGGTTGCTTTGCCGGAGGATGGCTTGCGGACAGGATTGGACGCATTAACGGGTATGTGCTCCTACCTACTACATCTTAGAAGCCACTCACTGCCTGGTCTTGAAGAAGTAATGATCTGATAGCTAATGCTTGTTGATGGAATCACCTTAGTCTCTTCATCGGAGCCGTCCTCTCTCTCATCGGCGGCGCTCTGCAGGCGGCAACTCAGTCGAGCGACTTCATGATCGTGGCCCGTGTCGTGACCGGTCTCGGCACCGGCGCCCTCACCGGCATCACACCCGTTCTCGTCTCCGAGACCTCGACAGCATCACACAGAGGCGGCTTTCTCGGCTACGTCTTCATCGCCAACTATCTCGGCATCGCGGTCGCGTACTGGATCTACTTTGGCATGTCCTTCCTCGACAACGGAAACTCCGACGTTCAATGGCGCTTCCTGCTTGGCTTCCAGTGCTTTCCCGCCATCCTCCTGGTCCTTGGAATCAAACTTCTACCCGACAGCCCTCGGTACCTAGCGTCTGTTGGCCGGCTCGACGACGCACGAGAGGTCCTGGAACATGTTCGAGGAAGCGACGATCCTAATTCTATTGAGCTCGAATTCCAGGAGATTGCCGCTGTTGCGAAGCAAAGCCAGAAGAGCTCCCCTATTCAATTCGCCCAGATCCTAGCTGGGCGAGGCGTCGGCGGAAAGCCCGGTCACCATCTTGGCCGCAGGGCGTGGTTGTGTCTGCTCTTGCAGATCATGGGTTCCTGGACCGGCATCACAGCCGTGACGGCTTATGCCCCTGTCCTACTCTCGGCCGCGGGTTACGACCGTCTCACACAGAACGGCCTGACTGGTGGCCTCAGCACCGTCGGCATTGTTGGAACCATCATCAGCGCACAGATCGTGGACCGACTTGGTCGCCGCAAGTGCCTCATGGGCGGATCTGCCTGCTTGTTCGTCGTCAACCTCGTTGCCGCCTGTGTCTACGAAGGCGCGAGAGCCCATCCGGAGCGCGCTTCTTCATTTGCTCCTGCTGCCGTCACCATGCTGTTCCTCTTCAACCTCTGCTACGCCGCAACCTGGGGTACTGTTGCGTTCCTGATCCCTACCGAGATCTGGTCCTCGGATATGCGAGCCCAGGGCAACGGTTTCGGTATCACGGGGTGGGCTATTGGTGTTGGTTGGACCGTGCTGGTCAACCCCATCATGTTCAGACATCTCGAGAACAGGACCTACTTCCTCTTTGCGGGACTTAACCTTCTTTGGATTCCCATTGTGTACCTTTGTATGTTCAAATCCTATCCTGCCACCGCCCCTATATCGCTCGATGACTCTAGACATAGTCGCGCTAACTCATTCACTCACCAGTTTACCCGGAGACGGCGAACCGATCATTGGAATCGATCGATGTCCTCTTCTCAACGGACAGCCCATTCTACTCGGCCATGGAACGTGCTTATCGGGAGCATGGTGACATTCTAGCCGACATGGACCATTCAGATGGCTCTGCGACAAAGAGCGGAAGCGATCCGCACGGAAAAGAGGATTCTGTTCATCGCGAACGTGTTTAAGAGCACAAGAGCAGTCATTTGAAGCGGGATTATTGGGAAGGAAAAGAACACCACAATATCATGATACACCCTGATGAGGGAAAAGGACGAATACTGGATACTGGGCGCCATGGGACGTAGAGCCTGTTGTGTCTGTTGTATTCTAAGTAATGATGATGATGATAAATAAGGATCTGGAGGAAACCAGAGGTTTCCTGTATCAATACCAAGAAGATATATCGTATGGAGCCAGAGTGAAACTGACAAGTGAAATAAGATGGATTGTGAGGATGGCGATGCTTGAAATGTGCCGTAGTGGGAAAATGCGTTTCTGCACATGGGTTGGACAATAGGGACAAGCCATGTTTTTTATAGGGGGCAAGCGCTGTAAGGTAGTGTCCTTGGGTTGGGTCCGAAATTCGAAATTTTTCAAAGTCTCAAAGTCCTACCTTCCCCCTTAACCTCCAACATCCCCTTTATCAACGGAAAGAACCAGCCATTCTTGCAGAAACAACCAACCGGCTTAGTGGCCAAGTGGTTCTTGAAGTAGTTCTTCAATTTCATTCGTGCTCGTGATGTTCGTTGGATTCCAATCTGTGACTTTCATTTTTGACAAGAAATTTCGATGTCAATTCCGATATTGACGGGAACGCCGGCGTTCAACCTCTTGGCCTAATACCTCTAGGTAGTTTTAGGCCTGCTAGAGCCTAGAAGATTACCCTATACTTTTGCCTTCCAGGGGCCTGGGAGACAATCCATGTCTAGAAAACAATTACTGTTTTCTTTATACGCATTGTCTCCTAGACAAGACTTGTTGCAACTCAGGGTTTCCCGCTTCGGTGGTTTTTTTTTCACCCCCCAACGGATAGAGAGTGTGGGAAAACGAATTGCAAGAAAGGAAAGAAAGAAACGGAGGAAGGAGTAATAGGGGACAAAAAGGTTATAAGAGACAAGAGATAAAAAAAAAATAAAAAAAAATACATCACCTGGACCACGTAATCAAAAGATTCTGTTCATATCCTTCCACCTCCGACACAAACAATCTTACCGATCGCCTACCTAGTTGTTGGGTCGGTGACGACCAGCGAATCCCAGGTGCTGTATGTCTTTTTTGTCTTTTTTTCTAGCTGTGTTTTGGAATTTCGGTAGTTGAATCCGGTGAGTTTTTTTTTTTTGATCATTAAATACACTTTGCAAGATCTCCATCATCTGCCCAATGTTAAAGGGAAGTTCTCATTCTATTTCATCAAGTAGAACACAACAATAGATAGAGTTGCTCTACTTGTCTAATCATCAAGCGGTGACCTACGCGGTGTATAACCGTACAAGTATGATGGCGATGCGTAGTCCGTCTCTTGCAGATTGTGCGAGGATTGTCTCTGCTGAGACTCAGTAAACGTCTTCACTCCTTTACCAAAATTGACTAGACAGAGCACCGCCATTCCGATGGTGCAAAGCGTCATGACCAGTGTGATAGCGGCGAAGGCTCTGAACATGAAGAGCGCTCGAGGGATGTTCGTAAGCTTGTAGCAGAGAAAACCAGCGGCCGCGAAATGGGCAACCTGGAGAAAGCTCGAGTTAGACACGGGGAAGAATATCAACACGTCGATTTGTGATTGGCATGGATCCAGTGACTTACGATGATAACAAGTGTGCCGACCTTGTTCTCCCTCAGGGCACAGACAACTGCAAGCCAGATCACCAAGAGAACGAGGAGAATTGCGCCGATAGACAATCCAAATTCGGGTTTGCCCATGTTGGCAGAAGCGTAGATCATGTTCTGGGCCAAAAAGCCTAGCAAGAAGAACATATCGAACTTGAGCAAGGCCACATAAGACTGGTTGCGGGCCATCGTTATGTATTAGAAGTGAACAGAACCGAGCTAACATGGAAGGGAGCCATACCTGTAAGATCAAAACCCGCTTTTTCATAGACAGATCCGCATTAATAGCCTTATAAACCAGCCAAGCAAACTCCGACCTCAGCTTCCACGCTACAGAATAGAACATAGCCGTCGCCACCGCCACCACCAGCGCCAGCGCTACTAACGCCGGCTTACTATCCCCCCAAGCATCCGTCCCCGGCGTTAGCAGCGGCTTGCCATCCCACGTTCTGTTGCTCGCGAGCGACTCAAGCGCGTCCTTGATCTCCCAGGGCTGGAAGATGGCGTAGAGGAGCAGACAGAGGTTGTACAGACACAAGCCGACGATCTGAATCATGCTGCTCGAGCGCAGCGCGTCGTACACTAGGAAGAGCTGGTAGACAAAGCCGAAGATGAAGAGGGCGAAGAACATGGGGACCGTGTGGCCGCGGGCTACTTGGATTACCTCGGGCTCGAAGCAGCGCTCGACGGCTATTAGGACGTATCTGGAATATGTTAGTCGAGGAAGGAATGGAAGAGTTTCGGATCAAATATCATGGGATGGGTAGAGGTAAATCTCACTCACGCTTCAAGTGACGATGCGACCAGGGCTTGGACGACCGCGACGGCTAGGAATGCGCGTGTCCATGTCGTTTCGGGGGCGTACATTGTCCCGGCGAAAATAAAATCGAGGAGTCAGCTACGGCTGAGAGTCCCGATGCCTCGAGATAACAAAAAAGAAAGAAAGAGGATCCTTTGAGATCACAAAACCCGAATATGTAGCATTTGTCGAAGTTGAACCGGGGCTAAAAGGGATCACCATCCCCAGGCACCCACCCTGGTTAGTACAACCTAACTTTTGAACAGCCCAAGGTTGGTGTGTATTCGGTGCCAAGACCGTTGAAAGAGATACTTCTACCGCTATTTTTCACTCGATGTGGTTTTACTCAACCTGCGCTAAGATCCGGACTAGCAAAGCCTGACAAGGGCTTCGACCAATCTTCTAGTGAGTTGATACGGGTCGCAAGGTTTCTTGGGAGCGATCCAGCAGCAGGATTGGTTGAGTAAAACCACATCGAGTGAAAAAAAGCGGTACTTGGCGCGCTCACTTGCGTGCAAATAGGGGTTATCTGAGAGGCTCAGGGATGAATCGAGGGGGTTCGATATCCATGGGCGGTGCAGGCCGCAGTGTGGTGTTTGAACAAGCGTAGCCGTCAACGTCGTCATATGGAGCTCCGGCGTGATCTTCATGCATCGTAAGTCGAAGAACCTCGGCTGGTCCGCCGGAGGCTGGAAAAAAAAAACCCTTATGAAACATGGAGAGCAATGTCAAGGAAAATGGTTGATTGGCGGCTTGAGGGGAGAGAAGAGGAATGGCGAGCCAGGCCAGGTCTAAATACTACAACAATGGAAAATCTGGGTGGGGTGCTCTTTCCCAACGTCACACTTATCTGCAGTTTTGCCGAGTCTCTGGTGCAGCTGCAGGCGTTCAGCTGCTTCCTAACACTGCCGCGCCTAGAAAGGGGGAATTAGCATGCGATCTGAGACGAAGAAAAGGTAAACGAAGCCAAAGATGGTGATTTTGGTGGTTCGTCGGATGAGTTGAGAAAGAGGAAAGAGCATGCCAAGCTCAGCCCAATGCCCTAGGCAGCTCCGAGTGGAGACAGGTAGCGTTCCAACTCCGGAAGATGTCTGCCGAAGCGAGAGTTCAAACTTGGAGTGCTTGGGCAGGAGTCGGGGAGGCCGCCCGCCGAATTTTGCGATACTATCGTCATATTCTTTCCTTCTCGGTTAGAGAGCGGAAAGAATCGTCAGATCTCGACTTGACATCGGCGACGACGAAAGCCGGGCCCATAACTAGAAGTCGTAAAAAGATCGAACGTCGAAGACTCGAAGCCGCTGAATGCAACATAGCGGACCAATCACATCCAACATCGTTTCGAATTCCGAAGACAAACTTCAAACAAGTCTCTCTCGTAATTCGCCCAATTAGGAAAGGGCACTCGGTCTGCCCAGTAGTAGTCGAAGCCTAACCATCGTCTCACGGTCCATAGGGGGCTTTGAAACCGTTGTGAAGCTCCATCGCATCCTCGCATTCTCTCCGTCAAAGGGTGAAATGTGACTGCTTGAATATATGAGATCCACCACGACGATCGATCGGGTCTTGTCCATCCAAGAGTTGGGGAGTCTTAGAGGTAACTCGGTAATACTGAAGAATAGGAGGAACAAGAACAGAGGAAGAAAGGAACATGCAAAAGGGACGGTCACTGGCTCATGAAACGCAACGCATCGGTGTGAATAATTAAGCAACCGAGATATCTGACAACCGAAGAACTGCAAGATATTCATATAAAATCCAAGGGAAAAGCGAAAAAAGAACACGGCTCAAGTGGCCAAAGCAACAGTCTCAAACTGCCAAATCAAGCCAGGCGTCTCCTATACACTCCCAGCATCCAACTAGCCCTCAACACCGCCAACCCAAGCGCCATCTTGACACTATCCTTGACCAGATTCATCTTGCTCCCGTCCACCTCATGCCACCCAATCGGCACCTCAGCAACTTTGATCCCATAGCTCGTGCCAATGACACTCCCATCGCTCGCCAGCACGGGCGTCGCCGGCGCCGACTCAGCCAGCATCAACATCTCGATATCGAAAATCCACCCCTCGGTATGCATATACGGCACAATATGCGGCAGCGCCGCCCTGGAGAACAATTTAAACCCGCATTGCGTGTCCCTGATCCGGCTCGTCGCCGGCGGCGTGAGGATCATAAGCACAAAGTGAAACGAGCGCATCAAGAAGTTGCGGATGGCTGAGCGTTTCACGACGGCTTCGCTGCCGACCAGGTGCGCGCGGCTGCCGATGGCCACCCCCCGGTTGGACCCGTCGACCACGTCCTCGCACCCCTCAATCAGCTTGCCCAGGTCGCCGAAGCGCGAGGCCCCGTCCGCGTCGGCGAACACGGCGTACTCGCCGCGCACGTGGCGGAGGCCGTGGGTGACGCCGCCTCCCTTGCCCCGGTTTTTTTCTAGAGTGACGATGCGCAGGATGTCGTGCAGGTTATGCTGGCGGGAGAAATCGAGGGCGACGTCGACGGTGCGGTCGGTGCTGCCGTCGTTGATTAGGAGGATCTCGTAGCCCGAAGGCGGGTGCTGGCGCTTGTGGGCGGAGGCGTCTTTGAAGACGTTGCGGTGCGGCTTGGGCGTACCGGTGCCCTTGGAGGTGGGACGGGAGCTGATGCCGGAGGTGGAAGAAGTGACGGGACGGCCAAAGTTCTCGTCGAGGTAGGCGACCATTTCTTCGAGGGTGGGGATGAGTCGGTCGGCTTCGTTGTAGGCGGGGATGACGACGCTAATCTCGACCTCGGCGGGCTCGACGGTGCCGAAGTCGGGGACGGGGAAGCCGGCGGGGATGGTAGGGTAGGAGGCTGTTGAAGAGGGTTGTTCCTTCAGACGGCTCTCGGCGTGCCAGCGGTCATACCAGCAGGGCAGTGGTCGGGGCTTGCTGATGGTGCCATCAGGGTTGGTGGTGATGTAGGTCTTCTCGGACGGGTACGGTAGGCGAGGCTTGGGCGCGACTATGTGCAGGACGATGTATATCTATGCCAGGTGGAAGCAAGATGCGAGTGTTAGTCAAGGTCTTGCATAAGCGGCGTGAAAGGGGCAACTAAGAAAGAGAAGGGGCTCATACAAGTCCGAAAGCAAGTCCAACGAGCGACACGAAGATTAGAAATAGAGTAGGAGTCGAGGTCTCGGCGGCGACGTCATAGAGAAACCAGACCAGCTGCAATGGCGCGCCGACAATGTTGGAGATGGTGGAAGAGGGCGCCATCTCTCACGCGCGACACAGGGCACCCACCCCCTATGTAGCGACGAGACTAGGGAATTGCTGCGCAGGACAGGACAAAAGAGAGGAAGGTGGCAGCTAGACCGCAAAAGACAAAGGCTCAAAAAGCATCGGGTGGTAGGAGTAAAGCAGTGCGATTTCAATTGCTATCGAAGTGGAAGTGGGAAAGGTAAACAAAGCAAGCGATTGCGCCGGTTGGCGATGATGATGATGATGGCATCCGTCAAGGTTCTGGATGTTGGAGCTAGGGGAAGCTCCCGTCGCGGCGCGATAACGATGATAACGCCGCCAAGGCCCAAAGATGCCACATTCCACTTGCCACGGTGTCGGTGCGTTATGGGGCTTGGGTGGAGATTATCTGCAGTTGGGGAAGTGGGTCCGTGGCTGACTCCTCCCCTCCCGCAATGCCCCTGTCGCTCTGTTGACCTTCCATTCTTCCAAACTTCTACGAGACACCGCACCTTGCACATTCCAACCATGTTTAGGTACACTACATGAAACGATCGCCAGGAGTCGCCAACGTCATTGCATTCCAATGTCGGCATCCACCCGCGCGGTCTTTCAAGAACGCACAACGCCGCTCGTCGACTCGGGGATCGAGTGAGGCCCAAACCAACCTACCTTATCTCACCGTTCCGGTGTGTGCGATGTGATGAATGCCCGTAGGAAACCAACGGGAGGCAATCTCTGTTCACCGGGTTTTCTCCTGGCTATTTCACCCTGCAACGGTTGCGCATTGGGTTCTCTAAACTGGCGCTCCGAAACAATTCACCAGACACCGCATTGCACGAGGAAGCGAGCTATTATCGCCAATAAATTGGCCCACGAGCCATGTGCTCCTGTTGTACTTCGTCCATCGGTGCGATGGTCTAACCCGGGCGTCTTCCACGCTTCCCTTTGCGGATAGGCACAGATTCTATCCATGTTACAGCGAAACCAGGCCAGGCATCCCAAGCAACACATGGTCTTGGACCCTGAATGCAACCTCGTCAAAGAGATTGACCGACCATCTTCTGGCTGTCCCGCTGTCGAACCATTCAACCACGCTTTTCGGTTTTGATCTCCCCGTCTTCCGTCGTAGGATCCCCTCTGCCTATGAGCCTCGCTTCCCAAGAACCGCGAATGCAACAGGATTCACACCGGTGACAGCAGTGCTGTCATTCAGCTCCCCACGATCAGTGAGGTGGCATGGAGCAGCCATTAAGCCATCATTCGGCATCTAGTTTGGACTGCAAAGTAGACAGCAATCTGTACACTGAACACTCCTTATGATCCCACCCCCCACGTTTCGTCCACGAAACATTGGATCCAGAGTCCAGACAACCCTCAAAGGACTGAATGTTAACAGGTCCAAAAACGAGAACCCCTCACAATTACTAATCCGGTCAAGTCGGCCTCCCCTCATCGCCATTCCCCCCAGCCCAAATAGGCCAAGCAGGCCGTCCTGGGGTTCGTTTCAGCTGAGCTGTAGCAACGGCCACCAAGCTCAAAGCACGCCAGAGTCCAGACCCCTCTGGCGTCGGCCGCCGCATGAAAAACACTAAAGCTTGTCAGATCACGCCTTTTTCCCTTTCTGGGTAATTCGGAACGAAGGGGTAGCATTGAGCATGGATACGCCCGCCTAGGGCCTAGAACTAGGCATCTGTTGAAACTTGGGGACCATCACCACAAGTTCCCAAAAGGGTCCGGGTCAATGCGAATTTTGCATTGACTGAAGTGAAACTTGAGAGAAAGCTGAATAATCAGGATAGGTAGAGCTGGACGGACTGGCCCTACATACAGTACGTATTCGGTTTTGCCGATGGTTTGCTCATCTAGCGAGAAACAAAACACACAGACAAAAAGAAAAGGGAGAGTTTCAGGACGATGGGCGGGAAGGAAGACGGGGAGATTCTTTCTTGGAGAGCTGACTTGTATAGGTACAGGTACATACTCTACTGCTCAAACATCAAACAGCATCCCCGGTGGTGCCCCAGTACAGGATCACAAAAAGTGAAATGCAATCTGATTCATGCCGCTTTCTTTTGCGGTATAGTGCTTTCAGGCTTGGCGGATGTTAGCTGTAATGAAAGCTGACAAAAAGAAATCACACCACCACAGACATGTTAAGAAAATCACCTATCATCCATCAATTCTTCCATCCAACTCTCAGAATGAAAAGACAAGAACGAGCCGAACTGTACACACCTACTGTTTTGAAAGCTGGCGTCTCCCGCTCCCGCTCCCGCACCCGTGTCAGTCTTGCCGTCCATCCCCATCCTATCAATTGGATACAATCCAGCCCTGGTTTGTTTGTTAGTTTGGTACAAAAAGCCAACGCTTTGCTGGATATAGGAAAGCGTTCGGCTTTCTATCGGTTAACTACCGTAGACCGATATCGTCCAGTCTTGAAGGAGTCGGAGAGAGACATAAGAGGCTTCTGTGGCGTCTTAAACCCTTGTCATTATCCCATAATACTTCAAACGGAGGACAGTTCCTCTCTTCAAAGGCCAATAAGAGCTCCAAAACTCCCCTGTTCAACCTATGGTCGAAGAACCAAACTAACAAACAAACCAGTATTGAATTGTATGGATGTTTTTCAAACTTGACTCATTGGGAATAAATCCGATACGATATGATCCTCGCTAGGGAGGCACTGCAATCTAGGCCTCAATGTTCAGTTCAGGCGCAAGAAGCCACCACCACCCAATATTCACATGTGAAGGAGAAGGCGTCGTAGGATCAGAAATAATTTGTTCGATAAGCATCGCAAAGTAGGCAGTGGTGGTACTTCGTTCTTCAAAGTTGTTAAAGTTCAGCCAGGTTCTACCTAGTGTGGTCGGATATGCTGTGGGTGATGATATACTCTCTCGGAATAAGAATAGGTAGAAAAAAGATAGTAGTCATTGGTGTCCATCATGCCAGTGTAACCCAGTCTCAGGATTGATTACCTATCCATCATTCCATCATCCATCAAAGAGAAATGCGTGAGAGAAACCCGCGTTTTCAAAATGCCTCCACCGTGACCTCATAAAAGCACACTACCTCTACCTAAGAAAACCCCGCTGTGAATCCAGATTTCCAAATAATAATAACTCCTGGCGCCCGTTTTCCACCTAGTACACACTAAACAAAACAAAAGGGAGAGAAAGAATGGGATGTTAAGGAGCGCTTCGCTGTTGTGTTTAAGCCACGACGATCATTGATGACAACGCATTATAAACGAGAGAAACAAAGCCGCAGCAGGTTATACAGCAACAGCCGTCCGCCTACTACTCATAAAGCTCCATCGACTCTTCTTTCTTCCCTCCTCCTTAGAGGTAGTATTCTTCGGCCGTTTCCCCAACTTCGCCGGTTGCTGAGGAAGCGTCACCAATTGCTGAGGAAGCGTCACCAATTGCTGCGGAACCGCCAAGCTCGCTTCGTCGAATGATGTGGGTAGAGCGGTAGTAGCGACGAATGACCGTTCCTTTTGGCTGGAATACTTCTTGTATGGCAAGCCTGATCCGGAGTCGGTGTGCGTGTTGTCGGTAGTGTTGGATACGACGTTGGATTGGATCGGTTCTAGCTCGGCGCCGAACTGGGTGGGTTTGGTCTTTGGTGAGTTCGTCCGCACGGCGGCGGCGGTGCGTGCTGTGGGACCGGGAGCCGTTGAGACGGCGGTGCCGATGGGGGGAGTGGCGGTGCCGGTGCCGGTCGATTGGAGGCTGTCTTCCGAGAGTTCTGATGCATCTTCTTCTACCACCATGGGCGGTGGAATTGGGTGCGAACTCCTGTGCGAGGAGGAATTATTACTCCCGGAGTTGTTGGAGCTGGATGACGACGAGGAGGTGGGAAGGGCGAGAGTGCCACCGAATTGCATGGGAGGGATTGATGGGACGGGCGGGATGCCGGCGGCACTCAGCGAAGCGCTGCTGTTGCTGCTTGAACCTCCTCCTGCCCTGGTCGGACTACTCCTCGAGGGTGATTGTCTGGGCGACGAGGATCGTCCTGCTTGTTTGTATGATGAGTTCGACATGTTTCGGGCATGGCCGGGGTGAAGACGGTGGACAGAGTCGGTGTCGCTTACCGGCCGACTCGATAGTCCCGCGAGCGGACTTGAGGTTGTCACCGCGCTGGTATATTGCTTCACAGGCTTAATCTCCAAATCGTCTTCCGAGCTGCTGGAGTTGCTGGAGCTTTGGACGGGGGAGCTTGAGCCGTCCCTCGTTCGGGGGGCAGACCCGGACCCTCCTTCGAGGAGAAATCGTCCACCGGCTGCTGAAAGCCTGCTTGAAGATCTGCTGGTTGGGCCATAGTCGAGCCTGGGACGCCGAACTTCCTTCTCTTTCCCCTTTATCGATGTTCCACTGCTGGCAGCTCCAGCCATGTCGATCGAGAGATAACTGATCTCACCGCCATGATGGCTCCACCCCGGGGTCGTGCCGTGGTAGCTGTATGCTCGGGGAATGTGAGGGACGGGTGTGGCGTAGCCGCTGGGGTTGCTGTATGAGACGTGTGTGAGACTGGTGTTGGAGCGGGTGAAGACGCCGGCGTGGACTGGAGTTGAAAGCCCGCTCGGCATGCCCATGCCGTTTGCTGTCATCGCACTCCTCCTTCGGTTCTCCTCCATGATTCTGAGTCGATCGGCCTCCTTCCAGCCCGTTGGACCACCCATGAGAGCATCAACGGCGGCATGCTTGGGTACGTGCTTGTATGGGACCTTGGCCTCTGCCTTGTCCTTTTCGGCCTTCTTTGCGTTTTGCTCCTTTGCTGCTTGCCGACTCCGTTTGATCAGAGAGAAGACCGACATGGTGGGCCGTCAGGTGTCCAAGCGGCACCTGATACGATGTATATGAAGTGTTGCCGTACAGATCCCCCAAGATGTAGGTAAGATTGGTAGCGTAACAGATGGGTAAGTGTCTTCGCTTATCTAGTTGGTCAGATGAATGGACCGAAAATAAGTGAATGTAATGTCGAGGGCCGGAGGATAGATATATAGACACGGAACTGGGAAAGAATTATTGATTAAACAGGGATAGGAAAAGGCGGGTTGGGGTGGGAGGTTATATATCCCGCCTGCTGGTTCTCGGCTGTACAAAGAAGTGGCGGAAAGAGAAAGGAGGTGACCCCGGGAAACTAGAAGCCAGGGAGGGGTAAACTTACATCAAGGCGAAGTACATTGGCTGACATTTCAAAGGTCAATGGCCTCACCCACCATGGAGTTCTCCCCATCAGCTACAGCTCTGACCGGTCACGAACCCGGAAACAGATAGCACCGCTGCAGCTTACAAGGGCATATTCCACATCCGAGCAGCCAGACATTTGGCTGGTTTCCCCATGGGAAGCACCATGACCGATGAGTACCTACACGGTACGACCACGATGACTGGGCATTGGGAATGGAACGAACGAAAGAAGCAGAAGGAGAAGCACGAAGCGAGAAGCTGCAGCAAGGAGCAACAACACAACAACAACGCCGTCAGCCACGCGGTGGGGGGTCACCACCCACCACTCGAGTTCCCATCTCCCGCTCCCGAAAGAGGAATTGAGACTGAAAAGATGGGTACGCCAACGCATTGAACGAGTCCCTGGGAATCGAATCAGTGGAAGAGAAGCCGCATCTCCCTCGCTGCACGCCTGGCGGGGTTGGTTGCTATCGGACCAAAGAAGCGGGCAAAGATGGTTGTGAGTGAAGCTGTACCCAAGAGTTGAAGTAACCTCAGCAGGGCAAAAAGATGATAGGGTAGAGGTACCTCTGTACACGGGGCCGCCGGCGGTCCTTCGTGAGCCCCTGTCCGCTCATTGTGTACGTACAATCCAGCCCTGGAAAGTTTGTTAGCTTGGTACGTAACAGGGATTTTGTACCTTTTCTTACAAGGGGGTTCAGCCAGTAAAACTGCCTCGATTTTGCATCGATTTTGAGGGTTGCACTCAAAACGACGACTTTTGAAGAGAGTGCTGCAATAGGGAAAGCTAGACGGCCAGCCAAGCCCTCTGAACCGTGGGTAAAAGTGGGTAAAAGGGGAGACTGTGTGCAATTGACCGGAATCCGTGCACACGTAGACCCATTTCCGTCCGCACGTAGACCCCCCCACTTTTTACAACTAAATAAGCCCAACTAGCCGCCCAGCCGCGCCGCCTATACCGCCGTACAAATAAAGTCACCAAATCGAAGCCCGCGTATCGTTAAATCTACATCTTTTACGTAATCTTTTTTATATAAGAGTATTTAAAATTATTAATCTAATCAATTATCTACTACTAAAGAGGTTAATACTATGGTTACTAATAATATTACTATCCTCTATACTAGCTTTATTACTATATATATTATACTTACTACCTAAAATGTACGTACCTACACTAATTTTAATACCTGCTATATAAGTACTACTTAAAATACTAGGAAAGTAATTAAAAATTTGCCCTCCTATTTAAATTCCCTAACGCCTATCCTCTACTCCGTACAAGTATTAGAGGTAATACTATAACTATAAGAGTTTAATTATATTATATTATTAATATAATATAACTTTATAAATTATATTATAATTAATTAAAGGGAGGAGGAACGAAATTTCTAATTAGGTCTTTAGGAGGCGCCTAAATAATAATAGAATTAATTAGCTTAGTATAATAATTTATAGTATAAATTACAAGAACCTCCCTTACTTCTAACCGGGCAAGTATATAATCCCCTAATTCAACCGTATTTAGCACCTAATCCCTATATTAATTCTAATAACCGCCTAAATTAAGGAAAAAAAATTGTAACGGCTACCTCTATTATTAAATTTAGGGATAAGGAAACGGGGAGGGTGCTAAAACTTTTTATAAGGGAATTAGAAGGTAAAAAAGCGAGGGCGAAGGAATTAGAACCGTCAGTAATAGTATTAGAGAAGGTGCTAGAGCTAGAATTAACCGTACTATAATAATTTTAGCCGTATTATTAGTTATATTATTAATTACTTTTATAATAGTTCGCTATAAATTATTTTAAGTAATATAATTATTATAGGTATAGGACGCTCTCTATATACCCCCTCTTTATATACCCCCCCTTTCTATATATTCCCCCTTTTTTCCCTCCTCTTTAGGTATTTTATTATATTATCCGGCGGAGTTCTTTATTATAAAAAGAAATACAGCGGTTATTATACTGGTTATAGTCGATAAGTTAAGTAGGTTAAGTAAATTAGGCAAATTCCTAATTACCTTCTAAATTTCGTAGTTTATAGACTTCCAAGTTTATAAAATCTCGCTCCGATATTTTATGTATATAATTTATAAGGTTTAGGTTGGAGATAGCCGCCTACTTCTAGTAGCTAAATAAAATAATAGGATTTTAAATTATATAAGTTTAGCGTTTAGCTTTAATTAGATTTATATTCCTATTCACTTTTAATTACTAATACGTAGATATATCCTCTATAATTAATATTAATGAGGGACGCATTTATAATAACTATAATATAAAATACTTATAAAGTAAATTATATTAAATTATAAATACCTTTTTATACGTTGTATTTGGGTTTTAATAAGGGTCTTTTAATTAATTATTATAAATATAGCAGTATTAGTACTATATAAATTTGAAAGTATACAGCGCTACTTATATTAAAAAAAACGAAGTTAATTAATTAAACCTTTAAAAAATAAAAAAGAATAAAAGAGGTTAATTATATTTATAAGGGTAATAATAAAAAAGTATATTTTTACGTACCTTTAATACTAAATTATTAAATATCCCTACCCTTTTATACTCATATATATACGTTTACTGCGCTATAATATATTATAATTTAAATACTTCTCTTTAAAAACGGTAAATAGAATGTATATATTCGTATAGTTAATTTAGAAAAGAAAAATAATTCTTAAGGAGGCGTTTAATAACTTTATATACAAATTCGATTTTATTAGTTACCCTAATACTATAATTTTTAAATTTCGATATTACGTAGTTACTAAATTCGTCAATCTATAGAAAGTAATATTTATAGAAGTAAATTAATAGAATTATAATAAAAGAGGTTATTAATTAATAATAATAAAAACAAGCAGGCAAAAAAGATATATAATATATTATAAAGAAAGGAAATTAATACTTACGAATTTATCATTTAAATTTATAAACTATTAAATACTATACTTATTTAAAGTAATCCTTATCGTTAATATAAATCATTTACTTCTAAGCCTTTTAGAAACCTTTATACGAATTTTAGTAAAATCGACGAATAGGGTTAAAAATAAGCACTTTACAATTTTATAGAGCGATAACTTTATTTACTAATTTATTAACTATTTTACAAACTCTTTACTTATCGTTCAGTCACTAAATAAAGCGGCTAATAGCGGCGGTGTTTTTTACTTCCTCTAGGTCATCTTCTTCTAAATCGTCGTTAATATATTCATTAAATTTATTGTCGTTAATTACGGTTCTGGGGCCTATATATAATAGAGGATTCAGGCCGTTACTATCTGAATCCTAAATAATTAATAGGAAATTAAATAAATTGTTTTTAAAAATTACTTTAACGTTATTTAATTAAACTTATTTCTTCTTAACATAATAATTTATATTTTTTATAATATACTAAGTATATAATTAATATAGAACGTTTAAGTAGGTAATAATAACGGCCTTTTTAAATCCCTTACTAAAATCGTTAATAAGTATTAATAGGCTAGTAATATTATAATCTTCTTAAAGCTTTTTAAAGTAATTAAATTACTATACGAAATCTTCTTAACTTTCCCTACTTAAAAAACTAAAATTTATATTGAAATTATAACCTAGGGTATTAATATTAGTAATATTAAAGAGGGGAATATTAAAACGGTTAATTTGCAAGGGAAAAAAAGGGGTTAATTAAATTAAAGACCCTAAATTTAAATAATAGAATTAATAAAGGTAGAAATATTTCATATATATTATTTACTAATAATATATAGGGATTTTTCCTCTATATCTCTATATATTAATCGAAAGTCTAAAATACTTATATAACTCTTTATTCGTTAAGGAATAAAAAATTATAATCGACGAAATATTCGATACTATATATATTCTTATACTATTCTACCAAATCGATAAACATTTCTATCAAAATATAAAAACTATATTTTACCCAGCAAATACCCTATTAAATATTTTAAACCTCCTAAATAATAATAAGGGCTCAAAAACTACGTAATTTTATTACTAACTGGTTATTAATAATAGTAGGAAGAAATATAATATTTTCGTCGTCCTTAAGAGTACTATTTAAATAGTAGGCAATTTAACGTACGTTTATTCTAATTATACTAAATAACCTTTCGATAATAATATCAATAGCCTTGTTATAATAAAAACGAACTTATTACCAATAAAAAATATTACTAGCGAAGTTAATAACGTCGATATTATAATTATAAAAATTCTTAATTTCTTTAACGAATTATTAATTACCTTACTTCTTCTTTAATAAAATTTTTACTTAATATAAATAGCCTAGCCACTTCGAAGCTATATTTCGAATACTTTATTTAAATTTTATATAAATATTACTATATATATAATAATAATCAATTTATACGACAATTCTCTCCTCTCCTCTCTTCTTACTTTTCGTTTAGCTATATAATATTAAAGTAAAACCCTATTATACGGCATAATTATATATGGTATTGAATATAGCGACCTTATTATTATAACCCAAGGAAGTAAATAATAATTTCGCTAATATTAGAGACCTTATTAATACTAAAAATTACTATCTAATAATATATTCGTTAGAAGATTATAGTAATTATGATCTTTCGCAAAGGCGGCAGCGGATTAATAGTAATAGAAATCTAATAAAGAGAGGCGTACCCCAGTTAGAAATAACTATTCGAAGCGGAGTTGAAAGTATATTATTAATAATTCTATTTAAATCCCGTCAGCGCTAATTGTTTTAATCAGTTAGGATGTTTAATTTATTTAGAGGAATACGTAACGTACGGCAGGCAGGCGAGGAATATTAATACTACGAAGTTAAAGATACTATATAAAAGAATAATAAAGATAATAAATAATTGCTATAAATAATCGCTTAATACTAAGGTAAAACCTCGTAGTAACTTTATTTAATTACACTATAAGACTAGCGATCGCTAATAGATAGCGCAACGGTAGCGGCAGTTAGGCAGCAAAATCGCGCGCGGCTAAGTGGCTAACTGGGCTTACTCAACTGTAAAAAGTAAAGAGGTCTACATGCGGACGGAAATAGGTCTACATGTGCACGTTCCGGCAATTGACCCGCTAAGGATAGGTACCAGACCCGTTGGAATCCACTGGATTTGACCTCTTTAGCGATAGTTATGAAGGATTGAGGGTGGGTATAGCTTTGGAGTGGAGTAGAAAAAAGGCCTTTGTGCGCGAGAGAGTTACTGATTCTGCCCTCAGATCACTTTTCCTCCACTTTCAGACCATTTTGGCCAATTAGGACCCCTGTACCCCCTGGTTTGGAAAAGTGGGGGAAGAACCAAGCTAACAAACTTTCCAGCATTGGACTGTACAGTGTCCCCCCCTTGCCTGACACTATTTCCAGCTCGCTGGATCCATTCAGAAGGTAACCTTGCCGAGAGTCTGAGACTCTTCGGGGCCCTAGGGATGGCTTTTTAGGGCTTGGCTTGTCTCTACCTACAGTAGCTTGGTGAGAGAGGCCTACCAAAAACCTCGATACCTTATCCACCATTCAGTCCACCATAACACCGAGAAAGATTAACACAAGGGCTTATTTGTCTTCTGTTCCACGCAGTAGTGTAGAACAGTCGGGGTTTTATATGTGTGTTAGTTGGTACTTCGTAGGCTTCTTGGCGTTAGGTAAGATTTTGTTTGGGTTTCTGGATCCGGTCAGCAACAACAGTTTGTGTCGGCAATTTTCTTCCGCTCCGAAGAAGGGGTTGTTCGTTTCCTGAAGCATCATCAAACCTTTTCACAAACTCGTATAACATCCTTCGCAGTCAAGCAGATCTCAAATTGCAATCGACAGAGCCCATTCCTTCTTTTCCTTGTTGTTATCCCGTTACACGAGGTTGGTGATGGGCTGCTTATCAACAACACCGAGAAAGGGTAAGCTGCGACTCTGCGAGAGTGTTGCGGTATGTACCTCTGCGAGTCCAACGCAGAGCTAGAAAAAGCAAAGAAGCAGAGCGCCGGATAATTGAGTGGACGCCCGAGACGCCGACAAAAGTGCGGCGGCGGGGGTAAGTAACGAGGGAACTCTTGCTGTCCCCCATCCCATCTCGTATTCAACGGTTGGTTAAGTAACGCACGCCGTACCGGTACTTACAGCCTCGTGACTTTGCTGTATGTGTACAAATCACCGCTTAGTAAGGACGGCGGCGCAACATGAACGACTGTACCAGATGCACGCACGTACTGCACATCTAAGCAAGGAAGTAACCTTGGTGATAACCATCTCCGAGTTATAGGCCATGGGTTTTGGGGTTCCACGGTGCCATTCAGCGTGGTAAAATCCATACGAACCCTGACGCCATGTCAGCCGCAGAGAAGCGAGAAGGATGTTGCTGCTCAACTGCGTAGGGCCGTGGACAACTCAGACCACACCCTCAGGAATTTCTTGAACGACATAGGCACAAAAATACGGGAGGAGTCATTGGTTCCCCTCTGAAGCATTCCCGAGACACAAGTGTCCCCTCTTGGCAGGGCATGAAGAACATAAGCTCATTGCTCCGGTGTTTGTGCCTTGTGTGCCTGGAGTGTGCGAGTGTGCGGGTGTGCCTGAGCGTACCTGTGAGAGCTTACGAGAGCCTCGTCGTGTTCTTCTTCTTTTCCCCCCTCCAGCCGCACTTAATAGGCGGGCGCCGAAGGGAAGCAGCATTCGCCATATGATCGAGCCGCCACGGCGTCCAAGTATTGCTTCCTTCATCATTGGCCATGATGCGTGTAATTTCCTCCCTCACCGAAGGTTCCTATCAGTGTAATCAGTGACCCCTCCTCAAAGGGAATCCCCAACTAGTCGTACTACCGTAGCAGCCCATGTATCAAACCTATCACCAAGTCTTCAGCACCACCCACCTCGCGCATGCGATGCGGCCCGAATGCGATGACGGTGTTGAAATCCAGATCGAGGTACTCAGCATCGATAACAAACTACCGGTCTGCCAACAACGCAGCACAGATATGTAAGCCATTACCAGGACGTTGGAGTGCCACTATCGATGTGGTAAATGCTGCTTTATCGGTCAGCGCGAGTGAATGACTGCAGAAAGACATCTCTTCCCTGCCTGCCTCACGCTCTGTGGTTGGCTTTGGTTGGCTTGTTGTGCGCGCCCCATTCCTAATCTGGCAGCACAAGTCAATAGTGGCAGCCGCCTTCGTCTTCCAGCTTTCAACATAATCGCTCTTTGGGAAGCGAACATGCATGACCGTGGCTTGCGTTGATGACGGTGTAAATGTCAACACTCTGATCAGAGAAGAGTAATTTTCCAATGAACGTGGGTTATACTTTTCGGCTAGCTCCTCTGCTGGTGCTGCAGCAATGGTGCCGTCAAACCGTCAGGATGGGATGATAGGTGCAAGGGAGTTTGTTCCCAAGCAGACGCACGCATGCAATGCGTATTTGACAGGTGATTGAGTGCCGGAACACCTTTCAACCGAACTTGACCTTTATTTCTCCCTTTGTTGCACGTTTTTCTGTTCGTATCTCAGGATTGGTATAGGTATCATATCAGGGCGGCTTATAGCTGACGTCGTTGTCCGCCGGCCGCCCCTAGCAGCCCAACCTCAATACGATGACATGGATTAAAATAGAACCCACAATACCTGGCTCTCGGATGTTACCGACCACCTCCCTAGCAAGTCATTACAGGCGTCGAGAGAGCAAGAGTCTTGGGCGGTTTAATGACCATACTCTCCGAAACCTTGATACCATGAGGCATCGTGCTGGATCAAAGAGGAAAAGGCTTCCTGTGGTAGACTTACCTATCTTATCGTCTGATACAGGTCGGCTTGATGGCCAGGCAGGGGCATGCTCCAATATCTTGGTCAGACAAAGATGATCTGCCAATTGTCCGCGACGGCGATACGCTTGCTCGACAAGAGAGATACTCAAGCACGAATGATGCCTCCCTTCTCACATCCTGCATCCGACCAGCTTTGGCAGGTCAAAGCCCACACGATAACCACACCGCACACCGATTGTTGGCTTGTTTGCCCAAGTGTACGATATGTATGTATGGATGGGACTTGAGTCAGCGAGGAGGATATCTCGGCGATATCATCAATGCCCAATCCGACATTGTTCCTTGCTTCTTACAGCCTCGAACAGGCAGATGCAAGATAAGGTTGGTTGGTCGTGGCTCCCTATTCGGACAGGAGGCGATTGGCCGAAACGCATTTGTCCGTCCAGGGCATACACGAGCCTGACGGGTTCCTGGCGTAACCGCAGTGCCGGCATACGCACACATGTTCAGCCTCCTGCAGCCTGTTCCTCGAATCACCTTGCGGCGCATATCTTGCTGTCACCTGGAGCTGGCGGCCAGTCGCGAATCTCGAGTCCAGGTGAGGCAGCTGGCCGGTGCTGTGCCGATTCTGTGATCTCTGACGATATATCGACGATCCCGATAATGCCTTCTCACCAAGCCAGGGCCACCATGGATGGTGTATCATCTCGAAGATCGTAAAGCCAATCCGCTTTGGTGCAGCCTGTGACAGTGAGAAATTAGGCGTCGGGGCTTGAAAATTGGATACGGCGTGACCAAAACCAAGGCCCGTCACGATAAGATGTGTTCCCGCGCTGTCTCAGGTGTTTTCCATGGCGCGGATATGATTACGGCCTTCTGAACCTGGTTCGTACCACATCGTTAGCAAAAGAACAGGACGTGAGAAAAGAAAAAGAAGAAAAGAAAGACAAAACACCAAAACCGTATAAAGCCATGGCGAGGCCTGTCTCAAGAAGATCAGCGGCCCAGCCGCTGCCCCCATCCGACGGATGCTGTATCCGCTTGTGATGGTCGTAGATGTGATTTCTATCACCATGTGACCCTGACTCGGAGGAGCAGAAAGCTGGCGTGGGGGTTGGAGGACAGATGATAGCTCTTGTTGCAGATGGTTCGCTATGTTTCTGGTGTCCAATGTTCCAAGTGTTTATGGCGTTAGCTGCGGCAATCCCGAGCCACAGAGTTAACGCGCAACGAAACGCAAGAAGATGTTTCACTTGTAGCATCAACCCTCGGTGTATCATGCCTCTAGGTCATAACCTCTTGAACGTAGAGGCACGAAGCCTACCGTTGCTTTGTGAGTAGGTGACATTGAATCATGTCCCATCATTTGTGTATCTCCCAAATATCGTGCGGAACGAACAATGCCATGAAGACACCGCCTACGGCCGATATAAAGGCCGGGGACAAAGGAAGGACGGATTTGAGGATGCAAACCCTGCCGGTATAAAGACGTGGTTGCCCGGCGCTGGCAGTCCTGACCCGAGTCCGGGAGCGGGATGAGGCTATTCCCAAGTGGGTCTGCAACCATGATGTCCCGATAAGACTCCAATAAGACTCGGAAAGGACGGCACGGCGGGGTGGCGTGGGAGCGGGGAGATGCGACGGGAACGCCTCTGGAGTCGGGTCTGGACAGCGGAATGCCCCTGGGGCCTTGTTGCCGGCGAGAAGGCGTCCAGCGAGACAAAGGCAATTGGTGAACGAAGGCATTCAAAGGCAGGGCATGCCCAGCTTTAAATCCAGTGCTATGTACCGTTAGGGATGGGGAACGGGAGAAGTGGAGCTTGAAATGTGCTCCATGTTTCTGGCAGCTGGAGACGTGCTTCTGGCAGCAGAGATAGGGCGGAGGGGGTGGATCTCGTTGTAAAGTTGAAGTGAAAGTCTGGGAAGGTGTCAAGTTTGAACCCCAATTCCCAAATCCCAACATGGAGAAGCTTTCGGAAGAGCAACCGAGGTGCGCGTCATGGTGCGTGCACTGGGCGCGTTAAAGTATGCTTAATAAGACGTTATCTCTGCGCTGCATTGACGTCAGCATTGGTTTCATCCTCAATTCCAACCGCAATGAAACCAGACAAGAAGTGGGGATTGACAGATATCTTATCAGCTTCCATCCGACTTCGACTTCCACTTCCATCCAATTTCACCACACCTTCCTGACCTTCCATCTGGCCCTTGCCTGTTGGCACCTGGCAGCCTAGGGGTTCCGAGGCGCTAAGCTTGATCTGGCCTGTTGAGTGCAGAGATCCATCACAGTACATGTCACACTGAACCGGCGCTGGCACTGTCGGGCACGAAGTCTCGCCGAGTTTCGCAGCACTCGACAAGGCGGCGCTTCCACTTTGCACGCACATTGCTTCACAGTTTCCACTTTGTTCGACCAGCGAATCTGTTCGCGGCTCTCTCCCGTTCGGCCCCCGTCTTCCCCCGCGGGTCACCACCCAGTCACCCACTGGTTTTCGTCAACAGAGAGGACCCCGTCGCCCCATTGCCCCGTTGCTCCGTGCCCTGTTCTTCCATTCCCGTAAGAGTTGAACCTGGAAGCCCATCGGCCATCGCAACCTTGGGCCTGCAGCAGGAACGGGATTCCCAGCGCGATTGACCCCGATTTCATCATATCACTTTCCCAATCTTGCGACAACGCCCAAGCCACTTTCTTCCATCTGACCCTGCGGCGCGCTTAGTGTAGCCTGGCCTTCAATCCAGCCTCGACTTGACACGCGCGCTTCTCCTCGTTATCGTCCCGGGTTCAACAAGAATTCATCTCCAAGTCGCCATACTAAGTTTTTTTATCTCTCGTCTCCTAGCCATCGCGCCATTGCTCGCTACCATCGACTTTGCTACTCCTGCTACATCCCTCTACAGTATTACCCTTGGTCTCCGGCGGATACAGATACAGGATATCTCGACCTTTTCTTCAGCCGACCTCGCCCCAAGGCTCGACCACTTGCTGCCTGTCGGGTTATCAGAAAGTCCTACCTCTACGTACCCGTATCAACCTGGCGTTAGAGCAGAACTCAATGACGGGACGATCCTTTTTCTAAATTAATATTGGTCTATTTTATCCCAATTTTTCTGCGACGTCACACCCCTCGACGCCGCTTGCGCCAGACGCCGTCTTCCAATCTCCCCCGAAAGCCCAGAACTTCGACTTCTCCACACTGTCACCCCGTCCCATCAGACCTCGGCCTTATCTAGCGCGATTGCTCCCGTGCGACCCTCAGCCCTCACCCATCGCGCGCAGACTCCGGCGCGCATCGCTCCGATAAAAAGTGGCGGCACTTGCGGTTATCAGTCACGCCGGGGCCGAATTACCTCTTGAGCACCAACATCTCGATCTGTCCGACGACCTGCTCGACCACGATCAGAGCGTCCCAGAGGGGGACGCCGAACCCTTGATGATGGCACACCCGGTGCCTCATCACACGACGGACAAGAAGCGCGTCAAGGTCTACGAACTCCGTAACAATGACTGGTTTGATCGCGGCACCGGCTTCTGCACCGCCCAGTTCGTCCCCGTCCAGGAGAACCAGCCAAAGGAGCCCCGCGTTATCGTCGAATCCGAAGACCACCCCGACCGCCTTCTACTCGAGACCAAGATCGTCAAAGATGATGGCTTCCAGAAACAACAAGGCGCGTTCTCTCAAACCAATACCGTCGGCCCCACCATCGCATCGCTAACTGTCTTTGCAGATACCCTAATTGTATGGACCGAGAACAATGTGGATATGGCCTTGAGCTTCCAGGAAGCCGAGGGTTGCGCCATGATATGGTTGGTCTTATCTTCGCGATTTGATAATGTATGCGCCTGTTAACCGCTGTATCAGGAAATTTATTGACGGCGTTCAACAAACCTTTCACAATGTCCTGGGCGGCGCCGACGACAGTCTCTCCGAGGATCTTACTATGGATATGTCAACCTCGACTTTCACGCTGCCCCCGGCTGATTTGGCGAACCTACCCGACCTCGAGAATGTTATGCGCCAGATGTCCAATACGGCTAATGGGCGCGAGATGCTGGTCAAGTCCATCATGGAGGCCGACATCTTGCCATCATTGGGCAACCTAGTCGATATGGCGGAAGATCTTGAGAGCCTCGACGACCTATTCCGTCTTTGCAACATGACCAAGACGATGCTCCTCCTGAACGACACTGCAATCATTGAAAAGGCTGTCTCTGATGAATGTGTCCTCGGTGTGGTGGGTGCCCTCGAATACGATCCCGACTTCCCGAAGCACAAAGCGAATCACCGGCAGTGGTTGAGCAACCAGACCCGTTTCAAGGAGGTGGTTAAGATTGAGGACGATACAATTCGGCGCAAGATTCAACAGACCTTCCGCTTGCTGTATCTCAAGGATGTGGTTCTGGCCCGAATTCTAGATGACCCGACCTTCTCCGTCCTCAACTCCCTTATCTTCTTCAACCAGGTGGATATCATCAACCATATCCAAACTAACGGCGGGTTCCTGAACGACCTCTTCTCCATATTCGCGGACCCCTCTGCGCAACATCTGCGCAAAAAGCAGGCCGTTACTTTCCTCCACGATTGCTGTGCCATCGCCAAGAACCTTCAACCGCCAGCAAGACAAAATCTGTATACCAACTTCCTTGGTCATGGTCTTATTCGTGTCATTAATTTCGGCTTGTGTGACCACGACGTCACTGTAAGAGTACATGCTACTGACATCCTCGTCGCCATGATTGATCACGATCCCCAGATGGTCCGACATACGATTTACCGACAGCTGCAAGAACGTCAGAAGCCACTCACCGATGTAATCATCGACCTTTTGTTGGTTGAGGTTGATCTCGGCGTCAAGTCGCAAATGCAGGATGCCCTTCGAATTCTGCTTGATGTGGCGCCGATCATGCCGCCAGATGCAAGAGAGTACCCTCCCAACCAGCAGGGGCAGCGAGTGAGACAGCTTCACAGCACCGACCCGCAGCAAGAACTTCTGATACAGCACTTCTATGAGACCTCAGCCGCCAGGCTTTTTAAGCCACTGCTCGAACTCGAAGGGCAGACAGAGTTAAAGTTTCAACCCATGCAGGAATACATTTTCGGCTATCTGAACGATATTCTTTGCTCCTTCATCCGACAACATCAGCATAGGGCCAAGTACTTCCTCATCACCCACAACCTGGCACAGCGCTTCGTTCAGTTGCTTTCATGCAAGCAAAAGCATCTGCAGCTCGGTAGGCACATCAGCTTTGGAACAACCGTCAAGTTGATAAGCACAGGAGGCTAACCTGCATGTTTTACCTTTTTAGTGGCCATACGATTTATCAAGCAACTTGTATTGATGAACGACGAATTTTACATGAAGCATATTGCCGAGAAGCAAATCCTCGGCCCTATCCTCGACGTGCTTTTACGAGCAATCACCCGCGACAACCTGCTTTGTTCGGCTTGCCTCGATCTTTTCGTCCTCATTAATAAGGAGAATGTCAAGGACCTGATCAAGCACCTCGTGGAAAACTACCGTGAAAAGATCATGGCGCTGTCGCACATGGATACTTTCCGCGAAATGGTCAGCAGGTACGACCAGACAGAAGGCTACACGACCAACCCGGAGTACTTCATGGATGAAGACGAAGACGAGGGACCAACTGCGGCCGAGAGCGAGAGGAGACCGGCGAGGCCGACTGCCGGTCTGATGGAGGAACAACTCACCGTCGACCAGGCTCAAGAGGAATACTGGAACAGTGTATCGGACGAAGAGGACGAAGGGCCGCAGAACGGCCCTCATCGTACCAACGGCACCGCCACTACTCTTCCTTTGCTGAAGCCCTTGGTCGAATACGGCTCGGACGAGGAAGACGGCGTGGCGGGTGATGAGGCAGCTGCCCAAGAGAAGAAGGACGATGAAGACAGCGGCGCAAAGGAAAACGGCGAATCACCAGTAACACCAACAAAAGGTGGACCGGCCGCCGCTGCAGCTGCCGCCGTTGTCGCGACGCCGCCGGAGAGGATATCTGAGAAGCGGCGCCGTGAAGCAGACGAGGACGACGATGTGTTCGACAAGCTGCTACACTCCAAGCGCCGAGGGAGCAATGCCAGTGCCGCGAGCGCCGGTGCAGACATTCGCAAGAAGATGGGAATCTCTGGGGATGATGGTTCTGTTGCTGCCGTCGGTTCCGCTGATGTTGCCGCGGAGGAAAACGGCACCTCGGAAACTCCAGCTCCCGACGCCGCCGCCGCCGCCGCCGCCGCCGCCGCTCCTGCTGCTACTACTTCAAGTCTAAGCACACCAAAGAAGATTGCCTTCAACATCTCTTCCAAAGTAAAGAGCATGCTTGGTGGTGGGAAACCTTCAGAGCCAGAACCTGAGTCGACGGCCAGCGCAGATGAGAAGGCGAAAGAAACAACAACAACAACAGGTGCTACTACTGCACTAGGAAAAGAAAATGTAAGGATAACAGAGGAAGGGGATGACAATAAGACTTCAAAGTCAGTAGTAGAAGAAGAAGAAGAAGATCCAGACGCAATGAAAGACTAGAGGTTGCTTTGGGTTGGGTCAAGGAAAGTAAAGCTAAAGGGAAAAGGGAAAGATGGACCAGGGGAAAGCAGAAAGGGAAGGGCGAAAGGCGGAGGAAGGAAAGGAAAATAGGGCGAAATATATTCTTCGAGATATCATTGGTACCCAGTTGATTCACACACAAACACAGCCAGATAAATATAGCCTTGTATATTTACCACTCAACATCTTTTATCTGGAACCTGTTTGGCGTTGGCATTGGCGTTGGATGACACGGTTTCGGCTTTGGTGTTAGCGGACGGTGGAACTGGACTCAGGAAAGGATCCATGATGCTCCTATCTACTACTAGTAGACAGACAGTAAAGAAGGGGATCGCATACAAACATACCTTGGGGCAAGCGGTTGAACGTAAATACGTACGTAACGTATAAGACGTGCTCTTCGTACTTCGACCCTTGGAGGTCGTTAATATATACGTAGGTAGTGCTTCATATACTACAACAGTCAAGCGCAATATTGCTCTCTTCTAAAATAGACACATCCAGTCGTGCGTGCCAGTGTAGAACTAACTCGGTTATACTTTGTTCCATGACATCATCACCTGCCTCCGTAGTACTTACCTTCCATTTGAACCATGAACCATGAACCACGAACCACACCAATTCTATTAATTCAAGCAAGAGAGCATTCGCACCCCTACCTAGGTAGGTAAGGTAGCTGGGAGTGACACAGAAGGAACCTAAGGAACAACCATCAGCGCAATGCTTCCATGATCCATCCACTTCAGATGAGTGATACACTACGGGGGATATCCCCGCTCTTCCTTGCCATGTTGGATCCCGTCATGATAGCACTCCGTCGCGTCCGACGATCCTCTTCTTCCTCCCGTCCTTAGCTTTTAGCTATCTCTACCTCTAGTCATATTCATCACCATCATTGAGTACTTGTAGCCATCTACGCAGCGTTTCCGTGCATCAATGCTCAAGATGGACGGTTGTTCTTCTTTTTCTTCTTTTCTACTTTCTTTCTTTCATTCATTCATTCATTCATATAAAATTGTCCTCCACACGGGTGGGGGGTGTCAACACATGCAATACGATACGATACGATACGATACGTTAGAGCCGCGAATTCCACCCACCCGCTGCTCTATCTTCGTTTCTCTCTCAGTACACCGAGATCTTTTTGAGAACTGAACCATTTTGAATATGCTATGACATGACATGACATGACATGATAGGTAACCGACCGACCCCCCTTCTTCTTCCATCTCAGATTTTCATCTGTGAACAGAACATCGCCAGTCAGTCAGCCGATCCACACACATCCTTCATTTTCCTCATTTCGTGAGAAATACCAGTAGTCTGTGACAGTAAAGAGAAAGAAAAGAAAAGAAAGAAGGAAAACAAGATTTCAACCAGCCGCCTAACCGCCGCCCATCCATTGCTGCCGTGCCCATCCATCCCATTCATACCCGATCGATCCCTGATCATAACTTCCGGTATTTGCGGACGAAGTAGGTAACTTGACGCTTACATAGCCAAACAACACCGATTAGCTTTTGAATAATAACGTACTAGTATAGCGGAGGGAAAAGGAGGTGCCAATGTCACATTTTTATCGGGTTTCGCTTCTTATCTTTTATCATAATCTCTTTTTGCATCCTTACAGTAGATCGAAAAGACAAGAGGAGGGATACCCACACCCATAACCGTAATCATAACCACCTCACCAAACAGCACCCATACATACGTAAATTGATCAAGAACAGATCTCAAAGTGTGAATCGACAAGAGGGAAGAAATGATGAAATGTGTCCGCTTTCCACGAACATCATGATTACTGCCACAAAAACCTCGAATTCCTTCTCATCTCATTCCCATCCGGCGCCGCCTGCGTCGTCGTCGGGCTAGCCGTCGCCGCTGCTGCCGATGAAGCTCTCGAAGCTGCTCTCGCAGCCGCCTCAGCCGTCCAAGGCTCGGGTGGTAGGTCGTGTCTTGGGGGAGCGGGAGCGGGAGCGGGAGCGGGAGCATATTCGGATTCAGGGGCAGCTGCTTGACGAGGAGACAACATCGGAGATGGAGAATGAAAAGCACGGTGGTAACGCTGCTGCTGCTCCAGCTGCTGTTGCATGATTGAAGAAGAAGAGGATGGTGATGGTACAGGCGATGCACCAGATTCCTCGCTTGGCTGCTGTAGAGCACCACGGCAAAAGACTGTCCCTGATTGGGATCGATATTCTGGTCGTGACTCGAATCCGTGTTGTTGTTGCTGTGGTGCCGGTGGTGGTGCATAGGGATACACTCCCGGCGTGTGTTGACGTTGGGCTGATGCAGGACCAGCACCAGCACCACGACACGTACACCCGCTTCCGCTTCCACTACCGCTCGGGAGCGCTTGTTGCCCTGGGGGATATTCCAGCGGGGACGATGCCCTTGCCGCCGCCGCCGCGAGAGACCGTCCGTTGTTGGGGTTGTAATATTCCCTGCAGTTTTCGAGGTGGTGATTCAATGCTCGACTGTCTCGCCTCCCTTGATACCGACCATCCGCCGGCGGCTGCTGCGATCCCTCATCTCTCGGGAAACCGTGTGCGTAGTTTGCAATATTGCCGTTGATGCCCACCAGGGCCCAAGCAAAGACTGCGACATCGCGAATGGACCGCATCAGCTGGTCCATCGGTGGGCCACCGGCTGCCCTCACGTTTTCTTTAAGCGGCATGTGCTGGGGTAATAGGGGGGGTCTGAAGATGTGTATGAGTTCTGGCGGCACAGAAGGCTCAATTGGACGGAGACCCCATGGCGCAGCGAAGAGGCCGTTCTCGTAAGTGAAAACTGGTACTGGTTGAGGTACGTGCTCGGGGACCTGTGGCCGTGCTCTTCGGAGCACCACGACAAGCCCGTCCGAAGTACAGGACACAACTGCCTCCAGCTCAAAACCGGAGGGTCGACGGTCTCTTTCTTTTTCCGCTTCGCCCCTTCCTTCCCCTCCTGACGGCTTGTCGTCAATATCCATCTGGTCATGGTCCTGTCTGACGACCCTGCCTTTTGAACCTTTAGCTCTACTTCCCAAATATTCCACCTCATCATCGTCCTCGTCATATTCCTGATCTGACTCGTCTTCATCTTCGTCCTCGTCCTCTAGGTCCTCGTCATCGTCCTGACCATCTGTGCCTATGCGTGGATCCCGAAACCAAAAGCGAAGATATGCAATCGACTCGTTGGCCTTTGCACTCTCTAAAACCTGAATAGCTTCCTGTAAACAGTTCTCCTGAATGCACTCATAGAAAGGCTTGTCCTTGATCTCCTCTGGGCTTATTCCAAGGATAGACTCGACTGCGTTAGTGGCGAACATGATGCTGAGGTTCCGAGTGAAACGGTTGAGGATGAGCGCCGCACGAGGTTCGCGGCCCGCTGGAGGCATGGTGAACTTGGGCGACATGTGCTCGAGCATATGGTACCTGGGGTCTCGGGGTGCTGATGAGAATATGCGCTCAATATGCGGCGCATCCAGCTTTCTCCCTACACGCAAGGGTTAAAACTACAGTCAATACTGGATGTCGAGGTTACATACTCTCGCTTTTCAGACCACCTCGGTAGATGCTTGTGCTCGCCACCAGCACATCGTGGACGACGGTAAAACAACATTCGCAGTTAATCCACTTGCCATCTCTCGAGGCGATTCTGGTATAGTGCAGAACAGCTGCCTTATCGAGCAGCACGCCCTCCTGATGGACACGGCGGGCTAGTGCCACGTCATCTGGATGAAAGTGGTCAAAGCAAGATTTCCCCTTGACCTCGTCTGGATGATAGCCAAGAATGTCGAGGATGGAGTCGGACGCGAAAAGGATGTTCGCCTCTGCTGTCAGGTCTGCCCGAAGAATTGGGAGTCAGTCAAACCATTGTACAAAATGCTCGTCATCGGGAGCGTGCCCGCCGCATTTTTTTATTTGAGCATCGAGACAGGGTGACGGGGAATGTCAATTGAGTCCAACCCACTGTGAATAGTCATAAACGTCTGCTCGAGATCCATGTTGTAGGCGGGTGCTTAATGCCGGCCGCTCCAACGAGCTGGCCTTGCTTGAGCTTCTGTAAGTAGGATGACTACAACGATATCGCCATGCGTAAACGGGGGAGTCGGGTATGATAGGCAGCTCCAACGCTTGGCTGTGGGGGGTGGGAAGCTAGTTTCAGAGAGATGCCCAAGAGCCAGGTAGGGGAGGGGCACAGGAAGTCTGTACCAAGATAGTAGCAAGATAGTATCCTCTGTTTTTAGTGCGGTGTACCGCGTGAAGGACAAGAAAGATCCAAGGGCGAACCAAAAGCAGCGGAGTTGCAGAGGAGAGAAAGGCCAGGGATGCCCGATGGCAGATATTGGGACGCTCTGGACTTTGGCGAGCTGGACCGGGGAACCTGGGACCTAGGAGGTGGGCGAGGAAGAGAACAGCGAGACGAGAGAGAGGGAGAGACAGAGTAGGGCGAGAGCGACGGCGCACAGCTGGCTGGAGGACGGACGGCAAATGTTTTCTGATTTTGAGTAACGTCAAGCTCACGGCGGTATAAGGGTTCGGGTGGTTGAAATCTGATTTGGCAGGTGGTCCAGCTCCTTTGGGATGACTGGATGGGAGGACAGAGAGCAGAACACCGGCCACTGACCAGGACCTTTAGTAAGTAAAAGGATTCGAGTCGACAAGCAGGACAGGACCTCAACGCGTCTGGTCTGTTGTCTGTTGTCTGTTGTTGCAAGTTGGCCGGGAAGGGATCCGTATTGTGACAGAGTGACAGAGAGGAGAGTAGGACACAGATGGCGCCGTCACGTCGTCTTGTTGTGCTAGTGGTCCTTATCCGTGCTTGTATGGGTTGTGTTGTATACAACGGTTACCAGGACCGGCACAATGCAGCAGCCGCGCTCTGACTTTTTGGAGGTAATGTTCCACTGCACGGGAATGTCGTCGGTTCGGTGCAGACCCAGAGCGAGTCTTGACTGGTGGTGAGCTCTGGTGAGGAGGTGGTGACTAGGTGATGACTGCTCCGGTTCAGGGAAGAGCCTGGTATGGGCCTGGTATGGGCCTGGTATGGGCTGGCTCTCTGGCTTGGCTATCTCGTGAGTGGGCAATGGTTGGCTGGCGGGTAGGAGCTTGACGATGGTCTCAGTCTCCCAGGGCGACAACGGCCGACGGTTCGGTTCGGAGGTGGAAGGGGGGGGGGGGCGCGTCGAGGCCCTTTGTCAATTCTCTCTCGCTCTAGACTTGACCGTTACAAGGTAGTGTTTGCTGTGTTACCCAAGGAGTTGTAGAGGATAACCTCAAGACGATGGTGAGCAGTTCAATCGGTTCCGCTCAAATGTCCTGCTTCCGACGACAGCAGACGATGAGATACCGGCAGAAGATGGTGGCCCAGAAGAAAGGAAAATGCAATGACGGGCGGCGCGGGCAGCGGAGCGGGCAGGCGGGCACTAACACCCACCCCCATCTTCGGTTGTTGTTAGTGTGGGTGGAACTTTCCACCTCCCCGCCCCTACCAAGGTACCTCTTCACTATCTCTGCACTAACAGATTCTCTTCTGTGTACATACCTTGGTCTGTTAACAATACGAGTTCATTGTCAGCCCGAAAGTGAAGAGCCCGCATGGGTGGCTAGCCTCTTCTGACTATGGCTCGTCAACCCCCCGGCAGTAGTTGTTATTGTTACGGATGTTGATTGTTTCTGATGATGTTCGCGCCGTGAAGGTAGTAAAAGAGATTATCAAATGCGTATTTGTTACTATGAGGTGCGCCGTTGAAGTGATTCTGGAACATCAGTATCCAAACACCAAAGGTCCTCTTTTTGAGTTGTCGTCGGATGCTTCGGTACCGGGCTCGCTGTCCACTAAAGGTTACTCCCGAATTCTACCTGCCTCTCGCCTGTGATTTTGACTTGGTCTCTTCAGTCTTCACTACCTTCCGTTCTAGTATCGGTTTCTACACTACCGTATGGGTCATAGACTCCATTCCACTGTAAATTTCGGCGTCTTCTCCGGTTGCTTCTCTCCCTATCACAAAGCCGGACCCGTGAAGTCGAGGCGATCAGGGAATGTACTGTGTACTTCGTCAATCTAAAGCTCTGGGCACGTTTGGCACGTCTTTTATTAGCAGAGTTCCATCGGAATGTACTTACTGTGTATCCCCGCGAGGGACACTGGGACATTTTGCAACTGCCTGCCCCAAGATCGAAGATGAAAGAGTTGCCTGCCCCGAACCCTGGACGCTGGACAACGACATGGATGGGAACTTGAACACCACATGCAAGTATACAACAACGCACATGAGTTGTGTGTTTTGTGTGAGAGACGGTAAGACCGGCCAGAGGAAAGAGCATGAGGTGACTCTGAGACCCATGATGCGTACAGGCCGTCACGGGTCGGGGCAGGCAACTAAATAGCGAGGGAGTTGGACAGTGAAGGGGCAGGCAAGGCAGGTAGGCAGGACACGACGACCACGACGAGGATGAGGACAACAACAACAACGAAGAGATGGCACTGTATCACTTGTACGACGTGAACCGGACAATCTCACAAGTTGGAGCCCAAGCTTAGGCAATACCCAATCTAGAGTCTAGGAGGGGCGCGGGGGGCAGGGGATCCTAAACGACCCCTTTCGTTACTGTTGTGACACATGCCTCCTCGAGACTCGAGAGTGTCCGTGTCCAAAGTGAGGAGTGTTATTCACCTGTCTAGACGCCATGACTTGTTCTTTTTTCCGATCCAAGATAGAGCTGATATACACCGAATACACGTCCGCTTAATGTTTAAGTATAATACAAATAATACACAGAGCCCACCCGTACCTCTAAACAAAGTCTTCCACATACAAACAGCGCGATCCCATGTCCACGCTTGCCCGCATACCTGACTGATACCATTTCTCCAAACTGGCTACCAAAGAGAAGTGACATTAACAAGCACCATCCTCTCCGTCCTCGGATCCACCATCTCCCTCTTATGCCACGTCCTGATAAACCTCCTAGCCTCGCTCACGTCCGCAAACGAGACCACGAACCGTGAAAACCCGTGCATCTCCCCTTCCTCCATCTGCCCGCCCGAGAACTCATCCAGCTCGTGCTCGATCCTGTGCTCATTGAACTTGCTGAACTTGATGGTGGAGAGCGTGGACAGGATGGGCTTGATTGCCGCATCCTTTTCACCCTTCTCCTGCTCTGTCTTGGTCGTCGTTGCAACCGCTACATCATCGTCCTGGAGTAATTGCCACGGGTAGTTGCGCGCCTCGGCGTCGATTTCGATGGCGGTGCGCAAGCCTCGGATGGTCATTTTGGTGCCGACGAGGTACACTAGGACGCTGTTTCTGCTGTGCTCTATCTGTGGGTCCTCGGCATAGTTCATGAGGTCCTTGGGAGGCGGTGCTACGAAGGAGCCTGTTCCGCTACGCTTAGATTTTGGTTGTGAGAGAAGCTGCTGAGGCCGCAGGCCCTTGCTTGCCTCCCGTATGTTCTCAAATTCGAGGATGTTGTCTCTGGTGAAGATTTGGTAATGCAGGGGCGCTGTAGGAGGCAGTAACGTGTAGCGAGCAGCGTCCAGGCCGTCGTCGTCTGGGTTGGAAGTGGCGGCGGCGTATTCACCGTGTTTGCTGAGGCCATCCTCCTGCTGTTCATCCACGTCCGGAAGCTCGTCGGCGCTTTCTTCCACAACTTCTGAGCCTTCTGGCTTCCCAGCAGGTTGAACCGGTGTTGGCGTGGCCGTGGTCTTCGGTCGCCATTCCTTCGGCAAACCCTGACGTGACTTGTTATGCAAGCGTTCCAGAACATCCATGTATGCTCGAGCATTGGACTCGTTGTCAAAGAAGAGGAAATAACAGCCTTGTGGTTCGTGTGTGGTTCGGGATTGGGATTGGACAACTGGTTAGAGGAATCAATGTCAGTATTGAGAAATCGCAGGTGGTTCCAAGAAACCCAAGATGCTGCAGTAAATAACAGAAGTCTTACGAACGTACCTTTGACAAGGCCATAAGTCCACCCGTCCACATGCTGGCCATGACCGGCAATGTGACGGAAGTCGGACTCTAGAAGGGACCGGGAGACACAATTGAGCACAATGATTGCTGGACCGCCGTCTTCGTTGTTCTGCTCGACTGCTGGCTTCTCCTCCATGTCGACTGAAGACACCAGAGTGTCGAACTCTTCCCTAGGTTGACGAAAAGTGATGGGCCCGACAGTCCCATGACGGGGGTCCATTTTTATAGGCCCTGAAAACCCCGTTCCCTCGAGTCTCCTCATCTCCTCCTCGCTCTCCACCTTGTCATGTTCAAAGGTTTTCTTGACGCGCATTTTTAGAAGCTCCGGTGGTGCTGACTGGGCGGTGGCTTCGGAATTGGATCGCTCGGACGTGAATTCCTTGAACCACGCTATAAGGTCGCCTTGCGAAGGAAACGCCTCTTCCGAGCCGGTCTCTGTATCCTTCTTGGCTTTAGAGGCTTCGGCGCTACTCCTTTTCCGCTTGGGGTTTTCCAACGGAGAGGTAGCCCATGCTGGCTGTTTAGCTGGCGCAGAGCCTGACCGAGAATCTGCAGTCCTTTCTCCAAAGAAGTCTTCTTTCCGCCAGTTAACAGATCGTGCTGCTGGACGGACCTGTAGCTCATGTTGTTCTTTTTTCTCGTCGGGGTCTCTTGCCAAGCGGCGAAGAATTCGTCGTACTGGCGGATGGACCTGTAACCCGGGTTTTTTTTCTGTTTTCTCGATGGGGTCTCTGGCTAGGTGGCGAATAATTCGTACTGCCGGACGGGCCTGTAGCTCAGGTTGGTCTTCTTTCAACACGTTTTCACTTTCTAGTGAGGAGCGAGCGGTTCGGGCGATTGGACGGAGCTGTTGCTCAGACTCTTCTTTTCGCCCGTTGGTGTTTCTTTCCCGGTGTACCACATCATGATATCGTACTAGCGGACGGGTCTCTTTTGGTTCGAAGGAAACACGTCGTACAAGCGGACGGGCCCGAGTTACATTTTCTTGGTGTCGCCCGTTGGTGTTTCTTGCCGTGGTGCGAACAGTTCGTACTAGCGGACGGTCCTCTGGCTCAGGTTCTTCTGGATACCGGGCCTGTAGCTGAGGTTCCGGAGCCCTGCGGCTCCTCTCATCATCGGTCTGTCTGTTGGGGTGTCTTCTGCATCTGGTCGGAGACGTGGAGAAGGCGATGGAGGGGATGGTCGCGGATCGGGCAATATGCAGTCTCACGCATGACCGGTTGAAGGGCTGCGACAACTGCAGTCCTCTCGACAGCATCAAGATCGTGGACGCCGAGCGCAAACCATAGAGGCAAGCTGGAGGCGCGGGGTAGGGGGAGGTAAAAGTCGAAGAAGGAAAAGACGTGAAAAGTGTCAAGATGAGCTTCGTGGGAAATCAGTCCCCCGCAAAGACATGGACTCTGCCGCCGGCAAGTCGACGCTGCCCTGCAGACAAGGCCTTAACCCTAACCCTAATACCATCGATAGAGGGGAGCGAAGGAGAAAAAAAGTTAGGACGGCAGGAACGAGAACCTTGGCGTCCTTAGATCAGCCGGATGCAGGTACTGCGGAAGTACTGGATACATAGCGAAAGTGTCACGTAGTGTGATAATGCAGGTAGAGGTACCGGTATCTTTCAAGGTGGCGTCCGGCCCCACTTACCACCGGTCTTCAAAATCGGAAGCCGTCAATTTCGGAGACAAGAAGCCGCGATGAAGTCGGACTTGGACAAGACACACTGACCGTGTCCGGGGCTCAGTCTCCGTTTTAAAGGCGGTTCCCGGGCCAGCTACGGTAAACGCTCTGATTGCGCTCCGAGTCAAGAATCACAAGCCGGGCACTCCATGTCGACGGGCCCTCCGAAAGACCCCACCCGACAAACCCTACAATAAACGGAAGTCTGGACATCAAGGTCCACTGAGACCAAAGTGAGAAAGAAGAGACAGTGAACTGTTACACACATACGCCATGGGAACGAAATCCCTCGAGTTCAAGGTGCGCAAGTTGCAGGCCAACAGCACCACCGAAAAAGACCTTGCGAAGAAACAACCGTCGCGAGTCTATGTCAACGAGGAAGCTCTGCTCGAGCTGACCGGCTCCAAAGACGGAGGACGGGCCATTACCATTGAGAAGATCGACAAGAACTCTTCCGACGACCAGCCTGTGCGACGAGAGGCAACCCTATGGAAATCGCCAGAGAGGATAGACAAGGCCAGCATCCAGCTGTATGACGCCTTCAGAGATGTCTGCGGCTACCAGACTGGAGTTCAGGTCAAGGTCACAGTCCAGGAAGGGAAGCTTCCTGAAGCCGAAGAAGTCGTCCTTGAACAGCTACCTCCCGAAAAGGCTGGCAAAGATGCAGAGACTGCCGGACCTATCGACCCATCCGAAATCCCCGGCTGGGAGTTCTTCCTTTCCGGAAGGCTTTCTATGATCGAGCACGTCCACGCCGGTTTGACGTTCAAGAACCTCTACGCTAGGGGTCCGCAGAGGTCGTTCGTGGTTGCTTCGGTAAATGGGCGACCAACCGGCAACGCGCGCTATTTGGATGGCAAGACGAAAGTCAGGATAGGGGCGCCTTCCCCCGCTGGCCAGGCGGACGGAGTGCGCCAGGGGAAGCTGGAGGTCACAGGTGTTCGTGGACTGGACACTCAGATCGAGAAACTCAACGACCTGCTGTCTCAGTTCACCGACCCCTGGGTCTTCAAGGGCAAGCCCAGGTACCGCGGTATTGTCATCCACGGCGGCCACGGCACGGGAAAGAGCATGCTCCTGAATACCATTGCAGCCACCGGATGGGGCACAGTCTACCGCATCCAACCCAAGGACAAGCTTGCCGAGATTCAGGACATGTTCCAGAAAGCCAGACTTGAACAGCCCAGTATCATCTTGATCGACCAGCTCGAGAGGCTCATCGACAAGGAGAGAAACAACCGCACATCTGTGATACAGGCCCTCTGTGAGGCCCTGGATACCTTGGGGGCCGATGCCCAGGAATCCGGCGAGATTCCCAAGGTGGCTGTCATCGTGACTTGCTTGGATTACACAACCGACGTCCCCGAGGATCTCAAGGATCCCGGTAGGCTCACGGGTGAGATCTACCTACCGCTGCCTGACGTCGATGGCCGCAAGGAGATTCTCGCCTCTTTCAACCTGCGGGTAGCCTCCGAGGAAGAAGACGCTCTCCTCCGCAGCCTCAGCGAACGCACGCATGCCTACAACGGCAAGGACCTCCGCCGTCTCGTGGACGAAGCCGAGTTCATAGCCAGGACGCGGATCAACAGGACGGCGAAGAAAACAACAACACCACCATCAACCGAGGACTTGGTTAGCCTTAATGATCAACCCGCAGCAGCAACAGAAGAAGTCGCATCTCTCATGAATTCCCTACAACTCTCCGACGCCAACGCCAACGCTAGCACCACCACCACCCTCGTCGCTGATTCGATAACCTCACCCACGGAATACTTCCTCCCCGCCGACTACGAAGAAGCCCTCCGCCTCGTCCGGCCCTCCGCCATGCACGACGTAAACCTCAAGCCGCCTCCCATCCACTGGTCCGACATCGGCGGGCAAGCCTCCGTCAAGGTTTCTCTCCGACGCGCCGTGCGCATGTCCACCGAGCCCGTCCACGTGTTATCTCGCTTCTTCGCCCGTCCGCCCAAGGGTTTCCTCTTGTATGGACCCCCCGGCTGCTCAAAAACCATGGCGGCGCAAGCGATGGCGACCGAGTCCGGCCTCAATTTCTTTGCGGTCAAGGGCGCCGAGCTGCTAAACATGTACGTGGGCGAGTCGGAGAGGGCGGTGCGGAGGCTGTTTCAGAGGGCGAGGGAGGTGGCGCCGAGTATGATTTTTTTTGATGAGATTGATTCTATTGCGGGGCAAAGGTCGGGTTTTGGGCACGGCGGATCCTCTACATCATCTGGATCGGGGGGAAGTTCTAGCGGTTTGAATGTGTTGACCACACTGCTTAACGAGATGGACGGCTTCGAAGCTTTAACGGGCGTGGTGGTTCTGGCTGCTACCAACAGGCCGCAGGCGCTGGATCCGGCTTTGCTTCGCCCCGGGAGATTTGACGAGTTGATTTATGTCAGTCCGCCGGATGAGGAGGCGAGGGCGGCCATTTTCGGGAAGGAGGCGGAGAAGAGGCAGATGTTGATTGGCGAGGAGGAGATTGAGCGGCTGGCGACTATCACGGATGGGTTCTCGGGCGCGGAGATTAAGGGTATTTGCGCGGTGGCGGGCACGAGGGCTTATGATCGCTACCTTAAACTGGATTCGGTTGAGGAAGATACGCCGGTGGGCATCACGATAGAGGATCTGGAGATGGCGGCTAAGGGTATGATGAGGCAGATTACACCCGAGATGATTAGGGGTTTTGAGCAGTGGGAGAAGCAGTTTAGGAGGTATTAGATCGGGAGTTTATGTTGAAGAGAGGAAATGGGTATTTTATTACTTTTATAGAGGCGGCATGGGTAGATAAAACTCGCTCGAATTCATCATCACTACTACCTTTTTCACCCCATGTGAAAAAATATTAACACCACGAACAGACATTCCGTGATAAATCAAGGTGTTTATGGCATTTAAAGACCGTGCCATCTGCCACTTGTAGTTTAGAGACAACCTAAGCGTACCCTAGCTCCCCAAAACCACCAGACTGCGTCGCCTGGTTTTGGGCAACTTGGACCAGACAACAAGAGAAAGACAAGAAAAAGAAAATAACGGAAACACAAAACAGAAGCGAACGAAACAGTGACTCCTATCCCAACTCAACAGTCCATCCACCCAGCAAACCAAAAGAACGTCCAGCCCACACGCACTTGGAGACTCAAAGACCGCGCCCATCTCAACAGTACCCAGTCACCACACGACATGGATAGTCCAAACCACCTCTAGTCGGAAGGTTTGCCCTACACAGTAAACCTCCTTAAACGCACTTGTACGACTTAGCCTTATCATTCCATCCCTTATCATGCAAGTCTCCGATGCCAGGATAGGAAATATAGTCGAGATGATCGCCAGTGCAATCCTGGTTACTGTAATAAAGTGAGAGTGTGTCAGCTACTACATACGTCGTTCGGCGAGGATAGATACTCGGTAGTTTAGGGGTAAGGTATTCTCACCTGAAGAGGGAGCAAGTGAGTCCAGGGTCGGGACCGAAACCAGTGAGGGAGGAACCGAGATCGTCCATCTTGGTCAAGTCGTCTGTTTCAAAATAATTCACGCTCCAAGTCAGCAAAGCGATGTCCCCAGATTCGGTCTCATGGAATGTGTCAAGGAGAAAAAAAAACTTGCAGCATTGCCCGCGGTTGGCATCGAGAACGCTGCAACGGTTCCAGCCAGTGGTGATACAAACGTAGACGTGAGGAGTCCACTGGCGATTGGCGATTTGGGCCTCAGGTGCCGGAGCAGCCATGGTAAAGCCAGCAAGGGTGGCGAGGGTAGCTGCGATCATGGTGGTCCTCATGTTGATAATAAAGCCAATGTAGTTGATGTCTGCTGTTAAAAAACGGTGTGAAACTGTTTGTCGGGGTTGTCGGTTGAGTGTTGTTCAATTGCTTGGGTGAAGAAGCAAAATCAGCCGAAACTATGTGAGCCAGGAGTCAGTATTTATAGTTCAAAGATTCAAGCATCACAACTTTGTGTTGATCAAAACTTGTCTCCTCTCAAACTCCATAGTCTTGTCCTCGAACACATGTATCTCCGTCTTTTGCGTTGCCCAGTTCAGTCACAAATACTCGGGACTGTCACAGTAGCATATCTCTTCCACGACAGTGATACCAACCGAGAATCTTCAGTCTAGGCCTCGTTGATAGGCAATCGATTGTATGTTCTCATCTAACACCTAGCGCCTTTCTAGCCACATACTAACTGTAGCTATTTCTTTTTTGACCTACGGCGTGGCTTTGTGGTTGTGGTTGTGATAGGCTTTTGTTCTCTAGCTAAAAGCGTTACCCAAGTCATGCTCCTGTTGTACAAGTCAGTCAGTATATTGAATATTACGCGCAAGAAATGATCATATGGTAGCAGAGGGTGACCATCACTCACCTTCAGATACTCAGCTCCCTTCTCCTGATACTCCTCCCTCGTAACCTTAGCCCTCTGCCAATCTTCGCTGCCCGCCCAGCCGGCAGCGCCCTTCCATGCGTCGAGGATGGGATCCTTCGCCTTGCGGACGGTAAGTTGGGTACCAGCCGGGAGCAATGGCACAAGGCTAGCGCGCATCCTCTCGTCAAATCCTTGGAACATGGTGTTTCCACCGGTTAAGAAGATATCCTTGAGGAACGAGTCCCGATCAAGTCCCGGGATACCCACCAGTCGCTGATTCAAGATATCACCGGCTATCTCGATAATACCGGCCTGGTCAACACCGGCAATAGCACTGGGCTGGAAGATCACCTCGGGTACACGAATGCGCTCGACGTTCAGATGGAGACGATGCGTCTCTGCCGGTGCTGCCGCATCAAACGGCCTCGGCCCGTACCGGAAGGCATGCAGGAGGGACTTTGTCCAGTCATTCTGGGCTTCGAGTGTGTGCTCGTAAGTGAATTCCTTGTCGTACTCCAGCAAGTCTTGCTCAAGCGCGCGGACCGACGCTTCGAGGTCCTCTTCGGCTTCATCCTCGTCATCACTGTCGCCCTTGTTCGCGCCAATGGCCACACTGCGGTAGACACCCCAGTCGGCGTCATCGGCACCGAAGTCGTCATCGTCACCACCGCGACGCCGCTTGCGACCGGTGGCCGCGGGCGTGTCTGAGGCAAGATTTGCCAGATTCTTCATGCGTATTTGGTTAGCCAGTGACTTGCGGTTGCCGAGATCAGCCTTGAGGCGATCACGCTCTTTGATTTGAGCGAGTTTGGCAAGACGAAGCTGGCGCTTCTCCTCAAGCCATCCCTCTAGATCGTTGGTCCGCCTCTCCTCATCCAACCTGGCTTCCTCCGCTATCCTGGCCTTCTCTGCCTCCTTCTCGGCCTTGGCACGTGCTCGAGCATCGTGGTTCGACTTCATTAGACGTTGTTGTCTCTTTTGCTTGAGTCCCGCCTCATCCAATTGGTCATCAGGCACATCAAGCAGGCTGAAGTCGGGCGCCTCTTGCTCTTCCTCCTGTTCGCCTCCAAGATCCTTGGTCCGCGCCCGCTTGATAGATTTTTCCAGCTCCTTGACCATCCGGTCCAAAGCAGCTTCATCCTTCACCTCGGCATCATCAAGGATGCGCTTGATCTCCTTCTTGGTCGTCTGCTCAGAAATCCTGCGTTGTACGTCCTTGTAGTACTCAAGCTCTTGCTCCTTCTTCATCAGTCTTTCCAGGCGCATCTTTGTGGCCTGTTCTTGCAACCTTCGACCACTCTCCTTCTTCCTCTCAGCTATCCGGGCCAGCTCCTCCTCTGACTTTTGGATAATAACCTCCTCCGTATAGGGATATTGAACAATCCGTTCCCTATCCTCGAGTCCAGTCCACTCCAGATAGTGTGCTAGTTCACTGTCGTAGTCTTGGGAGACGTAACAGAAATCCCGAACCATGTTCTCGGCTTGTGATGAGTTGAGTTTACCGGGGAACCCGTAATAGTATTTTAGCCTTATGAGCTTCAGCAGATATTCCGCGGCATGCCAGCCGCCCCAGTTCAGTCTTGTCGCCTGAGCCAGCAATGGCTTCTGATTGTAAACCGGTATGAGATGGGTAGCGCTGTGTGACGAAGAGACGACGATACCGGTCTTGCCTTGATTATGTCGGTATGCGAACAAAGAGTCGATTCCGTAGGTGAGGGAGGGGGCGCCGTAACATTCGAAGATGATTTCAGTCATGGATTTCCTCGAGTAGGGCAAGTTTGCGACAGCCTCGGTCATGACAACCGGCATATCAATCGCCCCATCGACACCATTCATCCCAAGCTTCAAGAAGACGTAGTCCAGCACGTGCTCCATGACGTCCCAATTGCTCACAATACCGGTCCCAGCCTCGAAAGCGTTCCGTATGTGTCCTCGTGCAGATGTATCGGCATAGCAGTCTTGGCCAGCAAAAGAAAAGGTCTTGCCTAACTTCCTGTCGCGATACTTGGCCATGATCGGGGGAACCGCTAGTCGGGGGGCATTTTCGAAAGACCATCCCGCTCGGACAGCCCAGGAACCTGAAGGTGCGATAGCAGAGGTTAGCGACATACGCCGACCAAGCTTGGCTGGTGAGAATGTGCATGGGCAAATGGCCTCAATCCTTAAATACGAGCTTACCATTATCTATGACGATAGCAGGATTTCCTCCAGACTGAGCCTTTGCGCGCTCGTATCCGTCCGACTGTGGCTCGATGTACTTTTCGAATTTGGCTTCCTTGACTGGGTACAGCACGGGATCGGGGAGAGTCTTCCAGACTTCCCGCCTGCTGACGGTATCATCAACTGCGGAGGGCGCCATGGTGAAATAGAATGATTTCAATAGCAGTTCAAGTAACAGGTGTATTCGAGTTGTGATATTCGGTAAGTGTGTCCGGTTGGTGGAAGATCGTGGGCTGTCGGGAGCTCAGCGCTGAAGTATTGCGATTGTTCGGGCCCAGCGCATTCTGATCCTCACAAGATCTGGCGATGATAGCCGGCGAGAAGGCGATAGTTGTAGAGGCCGACGAAGAATCGATACTAGAGTGTCGGGTTTTGGTGTGTCTACAACTTTTGGTGGAAAGTGGAAAAGAAGGAGTGAAAGCAGCAACCTTCGACGAGGTGCTTTGCCTGCCACAAAGTCCCGTCGCGCTTGCTGTCCCATTGACGTTCTTATAGTGGCGCGGCTTGGCGCGTCCCACCTTTTAAGCTATAGCGAGCATGCAAGGGGTGGATATGGGGGAGCAACTGCCTACCCCAAAGTCATGTCATTGATGGAAAGTTGCACCAGTGATCACCACCTCATCGTACCAAGAGCGTTACGACTAGCAATAAAGGTACGGGAAATAACCTCACAGGCACATAGTACGATGCTAGCGTATCAATTCTGGAAAGAGGACAACGTCGACCACGTCTTCTTTGCTTTTTATGGTTGGCTTTCTGTCAGTCTGTTCGGTATCTGTACGACTCCGCCATCTTTCAAGATGGTCATCCACGACATCCACGACAACCACAACAGTATCAAGAAGGCTCTTTCAGGTTATCAGTAGCTATAATTCGACGAGTTAGTATGGTCATTGAGACAAAAGGATCTGGGGAAAGCAATGTGGTGAACTCACCCTCAAGGTGAAATAACACATTAGACTGGTAGTTCTTAAACATCTGCGCAACAAGCTCAATGTTCATGTTTTGAATGTTGATTTCCTAAACAACAGTCAGTAACCACACCAAGGCAAAGTCAATTTGCAGCCAAAGTTACCTGCAAAGCCTTGTTCATCACGACAATAGCCTCGTTGAGTTTCTCCTAACGGATTTTGACATGAGCATTAGTAACAGTTCCGGTGGCCTTTGTTTGGGTTCAATCATGCTGGTAACTGGAGAGCTTACCACGTTGGTGATGATGCGTGACAGCAGCAAGTTCTGCTGATGCTCATGAGGGCTCTCCTAAATTTGTGTGAGTGAGATGCCAGAATCTAGCAACGCTATATGAAGTTCTACGAACCATCTTTTAGTGAAAGAGTTCGTTCCACTTCGTATCAAGATGGATGGTGGTGAGGTGTCAAGAGACCAAGGTGTGTCCAAAAGGGTTCTCGATGTTACAGGCACTGACATGTGCCATGCGTCCACTAAACGCGACCAACTGCAGGTGGCGGGGCATTCGCTGCCGCAAACGCGATGGAAGAAGCAGCCCGGCTAAAAAGTGGGGCGGTATGACGCGGCAGAACTCAAGGACCCCTGCACTTACCTGTTAGCACAGCAGCCTCCGGCAGGCATACCTCATCGGTGCCCTGCCAACGCCTACAGGGTGACGGGAACTGTGACCTCGACCACCTCAACTTGTGATAGAGCGAGATCACCTCTTCGATATCCAAACAGCTTACAAAACCATCCACAATGTCGAACCAAACCCCAGAAGCCCAAGCTGCGGCAGCCGCGCATCTCAAGCTCATCGAGCAGCTTGACATCCATTCCATCCACAAGTCATTCCGCAACACACACTGGCGACCAAACCAGCGCCGCAACAAAAACATCAAGACCATCCTCGGCGACGCGCAACGAAAAGAGGCCAATTCCATCCTCGCGACTCCCCAAGATGCCAGCGGCGCCGCAACCCCCGCTCCAGTTGGCGACGACGGTCTTTCCACCAGCGGAACCTCGACACCAGCCGTACCCTCGACCAATGGCGCGAACGCGAATGGCACAACAGTCAGTCTGGCACAGGCATCTAGGAGCTTGTCCAAGCTGGTGCTAGAGAAGAGCCTCAACGTGCCATCAAAGGGATCAAACGGACTGGCCGCGAGTCTGTCCTCGGCACCGGTTGCGACGTATACCAACATCGAAAGCGCACCGAGCCTTGCGCCCATGAGGCGCTACTGTGACATTACTGGGCTGTCGGCACCGTACATTGATCCCAAGACCAGGCTGCGATATCATAACGCGGAGGTGTTTGCCATGATTCGGAGTCTGCCGCAGGGCGTGGGAGAGCAGTTCTTGGAGGCCAGAGGTGCTCATACCGTTCTTAAATAGTGAGCTGGAAGCGGATGTTCGAACCCGGGCTGGTTGCCTTGTCATTTGGCGCCTATTTACTATGGCGTACACATCTCGCTCACGCTACTTCCGGGTTGGAGGGACATTGAAGCAACTACAATGTAGGATGGGATATCACAAGGAGGCGTTGACAGGACTCAGGAGAGCATTTGTTTCGAAGGCGTTAAGGGACAACAAGGAGGACGGAATTGCACGGCGTTTTCCATCTTGAACAGACCAAGGGAGGAGAGCATTGTTAATGTGTTGTTATTACTATTCACAACAAAGAATCTATCTAATCGCAGAAGAATATGTTCGACCAACAAAGTCAAGTCCCAACTACGTACTCGCTGTCTTTCAACAGCAAGATACAATCGACACTCCGGCTTAATCGTGATCATTTGCTCTTTGCCCAAAAGCCAAAAGGCTAACCGACAGACCACCGAGAACGAACGGAGAGAAATCGAACTCAGATTGCTCTAGCAAGAAGCTAGAGCCGTCGTGGCAACAAGTGTAAGGGAAGGAAAATAATAGATGGTACCTACCGTGGTTGACCAAGACACCGGGAGTAACAACAAATCAATGTGGTTGAGCGTCTTGGTCATTGTAACCTCTCCATGCTAAAAAGCATATAATCCGTGATTGAGGCGTGGTTTCGTAACAAAACCGCCATGTTTGCTGTTCTGAAACACCTTCATCTCTGCGCGACAACTGAGAACGTAAGAAAAAGGAACGAAAGGAAAATTTCCCGAACTTCGAGAAAAGGTGCTTTTGCTCTTCGTTGGCCCCTCTAATCCTGTGATCAGAACCAATCACAGCTGCAGAAAGCTAGGCTAAAAGTGGATCTGGTTCATTGACCGTCGTCGGCAGGCCCCCCGAGGCCAGTGCCGGCCGCGCCAGGGACGCGGCGGGTGCTGTTAGCTGCAAGCCCCTTGATCGCATCGAGGCTACCGTTTTCGATCGCCTTTACAACATCTGGCCAGCTAGTAACTTTCACGAGCCAGCGTATTTATGCTTTTTACTACACATACATACTTTATTAATTCATCAGCGCATACTTTTGCGCTTCTTCAGTTCTATTCGCCTTCCCTCGAGTTAGCTTCAAGTTAGCTACTTTAGCTGTCCTCGAGCTGTCTTAACCTCGATACGGCCAAAAAGCTCCCCAAGTCACTACCATCAAGATGCCTACAATGTGGTTGTCCGACTCCCAAAGTAAGTGGTGGACTATGTACCGGCGCCCACTGCAAGTATGTGATACTGACAACTTACTCTCTTTTCAGAAATTGGAGTCGCCTTTTGCTCTGGCGGTATGCATTCACTATCATCCCTCCCCGAACCTCCCTCCGCGAATCCCCCTTCCCGAACCTCTATATAGCTCCTTGCCAGACCTACCTACGACCGAGTATGTACAAGAGGGTGTCTTTTTTGCGCATTGATGCGCCGCCGGTCACGATGCGAATTCTGTTGCACGCGAGCTTTGCGCAATCTCGCGAAGGGATCAGATCGAACATACACACTCTCTCTAAGAGCAACATGGGACCAAAATGAACTGACGGGACGAATTCTCAAATCAGGCGGCTTCTTCCTCATCGGCGGTGTCCTCCTCTTCTTTGACCGGGCGATGCTTGCCATGGGCAATGTATGTTTCTTCCTCTTCCCCTCCCCTCTCCCCGTCCATTCCTCCCCTGCCCGTCCTCCATCCCATCATACTAACAGTAACCCCTTCTCCCCCCCCCCCCCCCAAAAAAAACAGATCCTCTTCCTAATCGGCCTAACCATAATAATCGGCCCCCAAAAAACCATCACCTTCTTCGCCCGCAAGCAAAAGGCCAAAGGCACGGCTGCTTTTTTCTCCGGTCTGGCCTTGATTTTGATGCGCTGGCCCTTGATCGGCTTCTGCGTGGAGCTTTACGGGATCATGATCCTCTTTGGCGATTTCCTGGGAACGATAGCGGGTTTCGCGCGCAACATTCCTGTTGTTGGACCGTATATCGGTACCGCGGTTGATCGGAGTGGCGTGGTGGCGAGGCAGAATGCGGATTTGCCTGTTTAAGTGGAGTGGGTTGTTGAGTGTTGAGGGGAAGGGCGAGGGCGAGGGCGCTGTGGCATAGTGAAAACGAGCCGAACGAGGCATATGGTCTGGGATATGGCATCGCTCTTCGAAAGCCCACGGATGCTCTCGCTTTGCCGTTTGGTTGAATGACATCAGAGGGTCGGGCGCAAGACAGGTTCAGCGCTCGCGGTTTGAAAGGGGCGGCAAAAGAAGAATACTACGAGGCGAACGGGAACATGAACGAAGAGACGACGGTTGGAAAACAAAAAGGAGAAGGAACGCATAACGGCGCACGAAGGATATAATGCCCACGCTAAACATGCACATACACACACAAAGGGGCGTTGGAACGAACTTTGGAATACCCAAGTTGTAATACGAAGAGAGAAGTAATAGGCTTTCTTTTCATGTATGATTATGGGGAGGTAATCAGATACTACTATATAGACGGTGGGGTTTTAAATGGTCTATAAAATCGTAAGTCTTTCAGAGGAAGCGTTGCGTCAAGTTTCTAACAAGTGGAAGCTTCAGCTTTGAAGAAAAAGCAAAAGTCGCCAAAATGTGTTGTCAGTTAAAAAAAAAAAAAAAAAAAAAAAAAATTCCCAAGGGCCTATGCCTATTTAAAGGATATCATCCATCCAGTACACCAGCCCCCATACTCCTTCACAGGAAAGTCCATCTTTCGTTTCTTTCCGTCCTTCTGTCCTACGCCCTCCATTCTCCTTCCCTTTCCCGCCATCACTTTTTTCTCCTGGCAGTGATTCTCAAGACATCCAATCATCTCGTCCCCCCCCCCACTATTACCCCCAAGACGAAACTGACTTAGTAGCCAGCCTTGATGAGGTAATCGGCGAGCGCCTCGACGGTCTGTGTCGAGTTGCCGGTAACGTGGTTCTCGCCGTAGTGGGCAACGAGGATGGCCTGTGTCGTCTTGACGATGACGATGCCGGTCTTGCCCTGTTTGGGGGGAGAAAATCGTCAGTAAGCTTGAACATGCGACATTTGGAGACGTGGGGGAGCTCTGAGCAGAACTCAGCCACTTGGCTCGGCGCGAGAACGAGGCATAATATGGGGGATGGAGAAGAAGAGGTATTGTAGTAAACGCACCTGACGACCGTAGACGTGACGACCCTCGACGTTGAAGGCAACGTAACGCTGACCGCCAACGTGGATACCGTCGGCGAAAACCTTCTTAACGTTAGGGCCCTCGGCGTTCCCGTTCTCGGCGACGACGGCGGCGATGAACTTCATCTCATCGGGCTTCACCTACAATACGTTCACATGCTATGTTAGCTTTTCCTGGAACATTGGTGCCCATCACACCATCGGGGCTTCCCATCCTAGCTGTCCCTTTCTCTCGCTTCTGCTTTCTGCTTCCCTGCGCAAACAAAGCCTGCTACAGTAGCATTCAATATTCCTCGGAGATTGTACATGTCTGACCAGTTGTGCGCGCCGGGAAGAGAGAGACAGAGATGGGGGCAGGGAAAGGGCGCGGACAGAAAATCGAGGGAGTTGGTATGGTAGGGCGTACCTCGAAGCCGGGAGTCACAGCCCAGGTGCTGTCACCAGCGGCGCTGATGATGGCGGCCTTATCGATGTGGCCGGTGCCAACAAGGCTATATGTAGGAGGTTATGTCTTAGCTCATCATGTCCCCTTTTTCATGTATAGGTAGTTCTCCGCATTCTCTCAAGGCCGAACAGCCATCGCCGAGCGCATGGCAGTCGATGGCGGCGGCGCGATTCGTTGTTCCAAAGGAGTGGGCGGTTTCCAATGATATATCGTACCTCGTGTCAACATAGGCTGTTCACGACATTTAAGAGGTTAGCTTGCATTCTCCCAGCTTCTGTCGAGGTGGGGTTGGGTGTGAAACAGCTCCCAAAGTCGGGAGAGGGGGCAAGCGGAAACAGGCACTGACATTGCCAGGACATTTTGTCGGGATGTGTGTGATGTTGGTGTGTTGGAAGGGATTTGGTGGTTGGTTTGGAGTGTTTCGACGACAACGACGACGAGGAAGAAGCTGGCTTTCGGGCAAGGTTTAAAAAAGGGAAACCCAAACAAACGCGGTTGTTGGCAAAGGGGGGAGGGGGGGGTCGGTGGTTTTGGGGGGCTACCTTGGGCGGCGGCGGAAGATAGCGGAGCGGCGACTGGATACCTCTATGGATTGGATGCGAAAAGGGGAAGCGGTGACATGACAGTGGAGGGGAAGGAACGACTCACTGGTCCTGGGATTTTAGTGGGCTAAACCAGCCGAGCCAGCGAAGGCCAGCTGGTAAACGGGGCCCGGTGACGGTGCCTGGTGGTTGTGGATTCCCGTCGATGGGAAGCTCTTGAGAGCAACCCGGACCCCCTCACCAGCCAGGTCCCTCCTCGTCACTTTAGTGAGGTAGGTGCCCCGCAGAAGTTGGGCGATGACCTCTTGATACGGAGTCGCGGAGGGGCTCGGCAGGTGAGTATGAAGTATCTCTCTAACGTCTCTTGGTAGGAAGCTCATGCATGAACAGTTAGCAGATAACTTTCTCAACCAAGCATCCGACTCCCAGCGGCATTTCCAAGCTGGATCGACGGGAGCAACCGAAGTGGTCAGCAGTGGACCCCTCTTCAACAGGTGGCAGCTTCTTCTTCATCAGACTTTGTTTGAGATTCTTCACCGTTCTTTTGCAAAGCCATAGGATTCCACGACCCATCTATTCCGCCTCATTGACCGCCGAGACGGACAACTTGAAGAGTCTGCTGTCGTAGTCTCGAAAGAAGATATTCCCTGATGTTGTACCACAACACCATATCGAGTTGATTGCTCCAATGCCCCTCCCTCATTCATCTCACGCACCTCCTTCTACAGCAAAGCACGCCGTTGTCTGACAGCACAAGAGAGTTTGCATATGACGCCAGAAGGGTCAAGCATTGATCCATCCAGCTGTCGTCCCAACAACAAGCGGAGCTCTTCATCCAACCTGACAACTTCAACAAAGAGACGACGGGACCAAGGTGCCAACAACAGGCACAAGTTGCTAAATTTGGGACCTGATACGCAACCATTATCAACGCCAATGTCGAATCAAAGCTACGAAATCCCCGAGGTATAACCTAGTTACCTAAAGGTATGGTGAAAACAAGCCGGCAACCCTTATATCGTACAAATCTTGACTCAAGGGCGTCTGATGTCCAGGGTTCCAGTCAGGCTGTTCGGATCCGTAACCGACCCCTTTTAACATAAATTATGAAACCGACGTCTTGGCACGCCGGTGGACATATGAATTATTGCCCTGAGAGTCTGACGTATACACCACATACTTCGGTACCGCCTGGCATGGCGCTCGACAGTCATTACCGAGGACAAGGCAGTCATTGTCCAAGTCCGATCCTCTCAGCACAATGAACCCCCTGGTAAGCTTGCGGGTTTGCTAGGACGGACGGGATCTCATCGTCATCTCCACATCTGCACAAGTCACGCATTTAATACGGTTCACGACCTCGACATCCACGGCGGCGTCGAGTCAGTACATACCGACATGTCGTGGCATGGTTGTTGTTTTGATGCTAGGGTCTCTTTCACGGATCGAACGACGCCTCCCTCTTTGTCCGCTGACTCCAGACACAGAATAGGCTAATAATGGAACTACCTCGTACACATCCTTTGTAATATCGACTTCGATATGATCCAGCATGTTCTGTCGGGGCAACTCCTGGGATGGGTTTCGGCGTGCCCCAATTCTTCTTTGGGACGGCCACTCTCATCTTTTGGGGAGACCAGAATCCCGATTTTGGCGCATCTCTCCCTGTTCCCGAGTCCAAAACCATCGTCGTTGGAGTATACATGAGACACGCCCAAGCCAGGAAGCAGCCGAAGAAGGCCATGCTAGGATCGCCCCGGAAGTGGACCTGTTGCACCCCTTGCAGTGTACTGTTCCAGATTGTCCAATGTTGGACAAGGGAAGCCTCGACAACTCTCCACCTGCTCGTCAGTTTTCTTTCCTCTATCACGATCAACCCCAGATTCTTTTCGAGAATTCTTCATGATTTTGGCAATGTTGAGCCATATCCCTGGCGGTGATCAACCTCACTGGAAAAAGCATCAAGAGCCTCGGCCATCTTTGGTTGGACCCTCACGGTCCACCTTCCAGAACACTGGATTGCTTGCAACGAGCTTTCATACTATCCATGTTGGGTTGGCGTTTGGCTTGCCAACAAAATGAAGCCATCCGAGGCTGTAGGTCATTGTCTCCCTTATATCCTCATCATCCTAACCAATATGGCTTTGTTAAGCGCGCCTCTGCCTTTGTCATTTGGCCGAGATGGCTCCTCTTAATTCTTCTCCCTTTGGGTCGGCAGCCTCCTTCATTTGCGCAAATGCCCAAGAGCATAGTTCCTCCTTCTCAATTCGCTCCGCTATTTCCGGCCCTTCGGTGATTGCTACGATTCCAGGACGATATTTCGAAACAAACCACTTCAGGGTCCTTCCCGGCCTATTCAGGTACCATCGGTGGATATCCGTGGTTGAGCCAGGGCACCCAAAGATATTAGCGGCGGATGCAAGGCCTGGAGCCCACTGCCAAAGGCACGACAACCGACGCCATGATCAAAGAGGCTAAGCGTTCCAGACCAATCGACCTCCCCCAGGGTCCTGGCAGCATTGGCCGACATCCTGGGCTCCATCCAGGAGTCGACAACGAGGGTATTGTGCACGGCCGTGACCCATTGGTCTCCCTCATCCCAGGACAAGGTCTTGTGTCAGGTTCTGCCCTACGCGACGCAACTGGACGTGGCCGTCCTACTCAAAACCGCAATGTCTGCCACTTCTCCTTCCCTGACAGATGGAAACCCTATCTCGTCCGTCGTCTGTCTCGTCCGCTGCCTCGCCAGGTTCTCACTCCCGACGTTGTCGCCGCTGCCATAGCCGTCATGCCGCATCGACCAAGCACTTCCGCTGGACCTGGATCCTTCAGCTCAGCAAGTTCGAGGTCAATTTACGAGAAACGCCAGTCGAAGGACGACATGCTGCTTACTGTGGATGGACGGATGGGTACTGGAAGGCTAAATCCCTTAGGCATGCAACCATACATGATGGGTATCAGAGGTGGAAACCTGCCGACGCCAGAGGCGAGTCCTGATCAAGCAGCAGCATCCAGCATGACTTCGTTTTTGGCTCCAGCCACTATGACTGGCCACGAGTCCTTCATGACCTCAATGGAGGTGCCGATCGGAATGGCTCTGGGAAGCCCTTCGCAATTGTCCGAAATTCAACCCAGCTCGTGGCAACCACAAAGCGTCACACCACCTCGAAGGACTCCTTCACCACCACCGCCACCGCCAGCAGCAGCGCCGCAAATGGTACCTCAGACAGCATCTCTAGCACCCCCTCTTCAGAGGCGAAAGACGACAAGGCAAAGGATATTTGGAGCCCTGTTCGGGAGAGGAAAGCAGTCAGCTACAGCAAAGGCCGCCGACCTTATTTCTGCAAACAGTTCTGCGGTGTCTCTGTCGACAACAGGTGGTGGACGGGAAGCTGCTGGCAGTGCCGTCCCGTCGAGGAACAACACGATCAGTGGGAGAAAAAGACCAAAGCATGTCCCAATACTCGTCAGGTCGAACACAGATCTCCCAACGACTACTGCGCCTGTCGAGCCACGGCAGTGGGAGCAGCCACCACCACCACCACCACCACCACCGGTGCCTCCAGCAAGCTCTTGGAATGATCGGTCACGGAGTGTTACGCCCAGCTCGTTGGCTAGTGCTCCCTCACTAATCGACGTGGAGATTCCGTGTATCAAACTGGAACGATACAGCGTCATGTTTAGTGGAGTCTTGAACCCGCAACAGCAAAGAAGAAACAGCAACATGACACTCCTGGAGAGGCGTCAGGCTACGCTCGAGAAGCTAAAGTCGATCAACGGCAGGGTCGTGGCTCAATGTGAAGAGGAGGTAAAACAGCCCCGTAGAGCAAGCTCGCCCCAGCCGACACAATCACCATCCTTTTCGATTTTCCCACCAACACCAGGCCGTCAACAACTCGATGTTCCCCCAACTCCTCGATCCCGTTCAAACTCATCACCAGCCGTCATCCCGTCACCAACGGTGGAAAGATTTTCTGAATACATGCAACCGTTGGAAGCTCCTCCCCGTCGTAGGGAGGAAAAGCGAGTGACGATAATCTCACCACGGACGATGGAAGAGCAGCAGCAGCAACAGCCTCAAACTTACCACGACACTCAACCACAGCAGGAAATCCAACCAGAGTATCTTCCTGGTGATGAAGATCTTTCTGTCATCTCCAGAAGGCCAGAGGCTTGGGAAGAACAGCAACAGCATCAACCCGAACCGGAACAGGCTTTCCCCACACGGAAAGACTCACATTTCCCTCCCGAAAAATCGTTCCTTATCCTCGATACCCCTCTAAGTCCACCAGAACATTTCCTAGACGTATCGAGCACCCGGCAGTCATACGAGCCGGAAATCGTCAGCCCGTTCCTCCTCAAACCAACCGTCTACCAGCCGCCCGAACCGCGCCTAGTGGTTCCAGGCCCGCCAACACGCTCACCCCCATCGCCGCCGCAGCCATCTATGCCCGAAACAACTTGTTCCCCCGCCTTACCAGTCCACAAAGGGCACACCCTCTCCCCCTCCGTCGACCTCGCCGCCGCCGCCGAGGAAGAAGCCGAGGAAGCAGACCCCATCATCAAAGCCGCCGTCGAGATCTCCGTCGCCCGCACCATCAGCATCTCCCGCCGCGCCGGCGCCCGGCAGAAACGGGTTGAATCCCCTGCATCGTCTACACCACCACGCTCCCCCTCCCAGCCCCCCTCCACACAATCACGCTCGGAAAGACCTCGTCCCATCCCGCTTGCCCGCAGCGCCTCCGTCAGCGCCGGCTCCCTGCAGCGCTCGCGCTCCGTGAAAGCCAACCAGATCACCATCACGCGCGCGGGAACGCTCAAGGTGCGAGGGCCGGGGGCGGCACCAAAGTTGACAACGACGACAAACGACCTAGGCAGGGTGGCGGAGACGAAGCAGGCTACGCCGACGTTGGTGGTGCCGCCGCCGGCAGAACTCCTTATCAACAGTCCTTGCTCGGCGCTTTCTACTCCTGGGGCTGTCACTCCGGGGACTGCGGGGAGTGAGTTGCCCAAAGAGGTGTTGGCTAGGTATAGGAAGAGTGAGAGGGTGGAGATCGTGACGGGGGATGTGGCGGATCTTTTGAGTGACTCCGGTGGTAGCGGTGGTGAAGGTGAGAGTGGGAGTGAAGCCGAAGGCCGCGGCCGTGGCCGGGGACAACTTATGAGGCCGGATGCGGCTGAAACGAGATATGTCAGGGTTTAGTGTGATGACGGGTTGCAGTGGTGGCCGCGGGTTAGTTCTCTCCTTTTGTCTGTCTGTCTGTCTGTCTGTCAATTTCCATGATCTATCTGGGGTGTTTCAGAAGGTTGTTCGGGGTTTGCATTGCGAGCAAGGGAGGTTGACGTTGCTAAATAAGCGTTTAGTTGTGTTATAGTTTTTATTTTGCATGACGGAATAGCGCTGGAAGGGGCAGGCAGGCCAGGCGGAGTGCTTTATCTTGCAAGTGGGCAGGAAGGAACAGAGTTGTCCGGTACGACTTTACCTTCTTTCACTGGCTACCTAAATATGTATCCCATAGAATCGATGTATTGATAATGTTTCCTTGCCATGATTCTTTCGCATCTAAAATCCAGTCAGTCAGTCAGTCCTTCAATTCCCTTCCAGTTGTCTTTGTATCATTTTTACGTACCCCTAGAAATTCGCCCACGAGCAAAAAAGAAGGAGAGTTAAATAGGTGTCAGAAGGATGTAATGTAACTAATGTTGTGAGCAGAGGTACGGCTATGCCCACGCGGACACCGGTTTTTGTTAGGTGTTGTTTGGAACCTGAAACTTAGACTTGAGCCTGGAGGGAAGGGGGTTAAATAACCTGCCCAGTACAAGTCATTTCGAAAAGAAAAGGGGGATAGGTCGAGTCTAGGTAGCTGGTCTAGACGCTCCGGTTGCTGTTCGGTCTTTATTTCATTCTTCACCTCGACATCATGCGATACTGCAGTCACACGAAATCAACATCGATGTCTGTGACAGTCTCAAGTTCCTGCTTCCCACCTATGTTTGAACGAACATTCAATGTGATGAAAAGCGTGAGAACTAATTGCAAAGATGAGTTTTTACCAAGCTAATAGTGTGTCACTCAAGAAGGATTACGAGAGGCAACTTGTACCCAGAAATCATGGTTGAGTGTCTCGAGAGAGGTTTGTGAAGGAAGTCGCGGGTGGATGGATCTATGATCTACTGAACAGGAGCGAACAGTAGTAGAGCACCAACACCGGCCGCCGCAATGCGGAAATCAGTCAGTCTTCAGGGCAAGCTGGGACACTCCATTTGTGAGGGAAAAGGTCAGAGGATAGTGCCAACTGAAAATTCCGGGGAAACTAAAGTGTTTGTTTCAAAAGAGAGAGAAGGAATGCAGCAAAAGAGCTGCCTGGGAAGGCCCGGGATAAATACACGGCATCTCTCATCCCCCTCCCTGCTTTGAATCAGTCAGTCATCCTCTTTTGACTGTTGCTGGCCTCCTTCCTTCCTTCCCACTTGATGGCTTCCTTCCTGTCTACTGTGGTTGGCGATATCCCCTCTCCTGCATCTGGGTGGTGCCTTCTTCATATATATACTGAGTCCTTCCTTCTTGCATGGCAGGACCGGCAGTTAGGTGCCGGAGGCGGTCATGCGGGCATTCTGCTCCGTGGGTCCCGACACGTTCCTTCCTCACTTGTGTACTTGTAGGAAAGGCTCCCGGCAACTGAGGGAAAGCGGGGGTCGTGGGACCGGCAGCCCCTGTTAATTCGGTGAGCAACCCAGAATGAAAAATCGGGAAGAAGAAGAGGATAATGAAGGAGAAGAAGAAGAGGATAATGAAGGAGAAGAAGAAGAAAAGGCTAGTAGTCTACACTTGGGTAGATGGGTAGGGGTTCTTATATGCGATGACATGGAATGGAAGGCCAAAGACAAGATGGATCTGACAGGTGTTAAGTAGCATCTGCCATCACAGCTCCCTTCGTTAACCTAAACTATTCCTGATTCTGCTGAGAAATCCTGTTACTCGACTTGTTATCTTCCTTCACTCTTAGTTCTAGAAGCATATCACAAACGCTTCCGCCGGTCCGTCCAGCCCCAGCTTATACTTCAAGTCCTTCGTCCTTCTGTATTCTAACGGCTAGGCACGCAAAGACATCTTCTGCACAAAGGAACAGCCGCGGGAAATCTAAAGGTGGAAGCAGAATTTGATTTATAAAGATGAATCCGCGACGCCATGAGAAAGCAAAGCAAAGCAAGGAATCGAAGTGCGAAGAATAAACGGTATAGCAACGCCGAACCTCAACTCAACAACAGATTGGCCAGCGACATTGTTTTGCGAACCCTCACTTCTTCAGATGTTCCACCGGATAATCGTCCGTGCCCGCATGTTCCTACATAGCTGCTTGCTGAAGCGGGAGCCCATCCGGTATACCTATGTTGCTATCTGCCTGCAGTTGCCTCTGAATCACTTCCGCCGTCCTCGCGTCCTCATCTGTGCGGGATGCCGCCGCAGCCGCCGCAGCCGCAGCCGCGGCAGCAGCTGCTGCCGAGACCGCCGTGTTATAGGGATCCCGGGGAGTTCCACCCATGTGGTGGTCGCTTCGGCTCAGGCCGGCTACGGCTTGAGCGGCTTCCTCCAGGGATGCCGACGGACCACTGGTAACGGGGGGAACCTGCTGCGCAACTTGGACCGGATCAGGAGCAATGCCCTGAGGTACGGAGGGCGGTGGTGGAGGTTGCTGTTGCTGAAGTTGCTGCGTGTGGGGGGTCGCTAGGGTGATGTTCGGAGGAGGTTGAGGGTAATCGCCCTGGACGTCGATGAGTCGATTTTGCAGGTGAAGGATGTAGTCCCTCAAGGCGTAGTTTTCGTTCTGTAGAGCCTTGAAGCTCATCTCCATCTCGCTGTATTCTCTGACTTGTTGCTCCAACTTCTTGATGTAACCTTCTTTCCGTTGACGGAATGCTCTCTGTGTAGTAGCCTATGATTAGCTCGATACATTGAGAAGTAAGTGGTCGGAGCTGAACGACTGCTAGCAGTATTGCAGTATTGCGTTCTGACCTCCATCACACCATCGTGACTAGTCCAGATGCAGGCTGATGATGCGATCGCGGCATCGGTCATACAACAAGGCTTACAAATCTTCCAGGATGCAAGGGATCGGGGACTACTGACCTGTGCGGCGCGGTTTTGGGCGGCGCGCTTCGACTGTGACAGTTCCCGTTTAGACTTCCTACCATCACCAGCGCTGTCGCCCGGGCTGACCATTCCCACTTGTGGTACACCAACAGGCGTGTTGGGGCCGGGCATGGCACCTTGTTGCTCGGGTTGGGGAGGGACGCCAACAGGCATCATTCCGGGCACTGGTTGGTATCCGTTTGTGGGGCCTGCCTCGTGAGTTCGTAGTTCGGGGTGCAAATGTGCTTCGTGTGGGCCAGCTGGTGGATGATTGTATCCATGGGGCAGAGCTGGTGGTGCTGCTGCTATGGGCGAGGTCCGACTATCCCCTTGTCCGCCAGAAGGCGAAGGTGGGTGATTTGGGTAAGACGCGAGTTGGTAGGCGGCTTGGTCCGCGTGGTTATTTGCCAGAACAGGCTCAACCGGTGAATCGCGAGCCCTCGGCTCTGGATGGACAGAAGATGTCAGTATATCCCACCTGGTGGCTTAGGGTTGAGTCAAGATGGTTTTCAAGGAGATAAAAGACATGGTGGAAAGAATAGCGTGTGATGCAGGAGTGAATGAGTGAAGTAATATGCTGAGAGACGGACTCCAAGGTCGTGTTATTCGGGGTATGATGACCTTCCCTTGGAAGCTTCGGAGTCTGTTAAGGTAGGCAGACAGTGCCTTGTTGGCTCCTGGTGACTACAAGGACAATAACGTGTAGGTGCAGGAAAATGTGATAACATTGGCCGGCGACAAATAGCAGCATTGTTGCGCTTTGAGTTGGAAGGGGAAGAGAGAGCGCATGGGTTTTAGATATGTGTGGAAGCGGCCGCGACGGCTGGCAGGCAGAGATCATAGATGTATCTTCAATCTCCAGCCGAACATAACCCGACTAGCCAGTCTTGTTGTTGATGGATTGTTCTTGGTTGACACGTGGGATGAGTAGTCAAAGCTCGTGTAGATGGCCGTGAGTGTGAACGAGAGGTACGTGTAAGTGATAGGGGTAGTGACAAAATCACGAACCTCGTCAAGCTCAGTTACGGGGATCAGGTGGGATGCAAGACCACTAGTCTCGCATTCTCAGGCTCTTGCAGAGACCAAAACCTCCAGCTCATGCGTAAAAGGATAGTAAAGGATTCGTAGGCAATGAAAGGAAGAGAGCCGAGGGTGAGGGAAGGAAGGGTTCATGTCGAGAGGCGTATAACCCTCGAACAGTAACATGAAGTTGGACGAGGATGACAAAGACGGGGCTCGGAGCGACCCTTGTTTAACGACCTGATGTGCTGACAATCCCCGATTTGGCTTCAACATAATCAAGCCAAAACCCCGGTTGTCTGCCGTGTAGCTGAGGTGCTGGAAAGGAAAGAGATGAAGGAAAAGAACTCACCCATTTCGAGGTTTGTCGACATGCTTCTCTACTGTGACTGTACCGTAGGCTGGTATGGTGGAATTTGAGGTGTTGCCAGCGGCCGCGTTAAACGGTAGGGTGTCCTGACTCAGCTCGCAGGATAAGTGGTATGCACCACGGCGCAGAAATACCCAATAGTTATAGCGGGTTAATAAGGTAGCTCTCGAGTCCGCAAGCGGTACAGCAGGCCCGCTCCGCAGACTGGGGACTATAGACTGTCCTTGTGCCTTTGTGCTAGGTACTTGGTGTAACCGCAAGACACTTTCTGAAAAGCCAGGGCTGGATGTCAGCAATGTATCAAACCAACCTGGTGCGGGTTTTTACCTCTACGGTTTGTGCAGATTGTGGTGGTGGCCTTATGGGGATTGATGCAGAAGACGCCCCCAAAATGACGGGATCAGGGCAGGTGGTGGGATCAAAATCAAGCCCGGTTCGGCAGTGATGAGAAGACTCGGTGGCTCGGGCACGTCCCGGGTCTGTCTCGTGGGAGAAAGCTTGTCTGCTGGATTATGGTGCGGTAACACTCAACGGCGCCCTCTGAATAGCGTCGCGAGGGAGGCTCAGAGCTGGAGGCGTGGAGCAGCTGTGGTGTGGTGTGGTGTGGCTTTGGGAGCAACTTGGATGTATAAGTTGACTCAGCAAAGCGGCCGACGAAAGAGATGTAGTGGTACGGAGTATGTAATCGGATCCAGAGGAAATGGGAAAAGCGGGCGGAGATGGGCCAGTCAGATGGATGATGATGGTGGGACTGGGTGATAAAGTGTTTCTCGATAAAACTTTTGGCTTTGCTCAAAACCCGAAATCACCGAGTGCAGAATCCCATTCACAGAAACCCAGGGCTGATCTTGAAATTCACTTCAGTTGTTCAAGCTTGCGGTTCTTCCAGCCAAGGCAATGGCGACTGGACCTTGCAGCGCACAGTGATCTCGCTCTCCCTTTGTCGCGGCCGCGGGTCGTCGGCTGAATGCTTTGTCAGCAATTCGATGGTGACAAATGCGGCAGCCGCAAGTGACGGTTTCGGAATTTGCCGGTAGTTATTGTCCCGCAGTCCTATTCGCAAACAATTCGCATTCAACCAGCGTAGGTTTCGGATTTGGAGATTAGACTGTCAACTTATCGGCGGCATTGGATGTTCTTTGGTACGTGACAATTGAGGTAAAAGTTCAGGGTCACGTGAGAAGCATTGGTCAGCCCCGCATTTCTGTCTCCACTCGAGCCACTGCAACCATCCCTTTAACGGTGCAAATTTATCATTTTTAGCGCCCCCCACAGATACGAGTGAGACTTGTTGACGTGGCCTGTCAGCTAAGCACTTCGCTCATAGCACTAGTAAATGCTACCAAGGCTGGGGCGCTCCAGGTATCTCCGGGCTCCAAAGGTATCCTGCAGGAAAAAGGGGGCCACTGATTGGCCACAACCCTTGTCCTTTTGGGGGGCGCTAAAATGATAAATTTGCACCGTTAAAGGGATACTGGGAGGAGGGGGGTCTTTCGATCTGTACTTAGACATCTCCAAAACCCTCGATGTCAAACTGGTTATGTCAGATTCAAGAGTGGAGATTCTGGCTAATTCGTTGAGGATTAGACTCCCAGCCACCTGATTAAGCCTGATTTCTGGGTATATCTAGGTTACCCTAGCACCCCCTATACCTTTTGGAGCACAGGCTTGAGTTAGCTATATATATTCTTTAATTAATTAATTCTGTACCGTTTAATTTGATAAATAATAGTTTAATTTGCGTATGAACGTTCAATCGCGCTACTATAATAAGTAATATACCTACTTTTAAATAACTATATCCCTATTAAAGGAATTTACCGATAAGACCGTTACGGTTATCCTTAAGTTGCCTGACGATTGGCTTAGTTAATATAAAGCTTTTAAGAGATTCGTTAATAATAATTAAGAATTTAGTAATTAATTGCTTAAGGGAGGACTTATAATTTATTAAGTTCTACCCCTAAAGCCGGAAGATTTCTTTTTTATAAAGTAGGTTAAGGATTACATTCTGGCGGTAAAGAAAGAATTTGTTAAATTTAACCGTAGAATCTGAATTAAGAAGGTTGTAATTATTATTATAATAATAACTATTATTACTATTACTAATATTAATAATATAAATACCGGTATTATTATTGAAATTATTATTATTATTTAACTTTAGTAAGAAATTGCCGAAGGTGCTAACGATAAAAAAGTAGAGGAAGAAGAAGATGAAAAGGAAGAGGAGGATAAATATTATACTAAATAGGATATTTTAGCGGATATAGTTATTAACCCCGCTATCGATTTAACGACCGCCGGGAAGGTAGTATACGATTAAGTTAATAATATATATAATGCCTATTATAAATATTGGAAGGACTTCGACGATATTAATATTCGAATTTATAGTTAGATGAGTATTTGTATTATTATTTATTATATTAATTCTTCGTTCGAATAGGATCGGTCTATTAAAGATTGATTTAGAGAGATTAAGGGTTAAATTAATTATTGTCCTATCAATTAAATTATTGAAATTTATTATAATTATTAAGTTTTTATTAAAGAAATTTAAAAGAAGGTTTTTAAAGATTTCGAATAGTAATTATCCGAGTAAAAACTTTTTATAGCCGCCGGAAAACATTTTAGAATTAGCGATCATTTTACCCCTATTTTGTAATTTATTAATTTCGTCGATATAGTCCGGCTATATAAATTTATTTGGGTAGTAAATTTATGGAAGTTCGATGCTGGATTTGAAGATGAGTTTTTGAATTATAAGGATATATTTGTTGCTTTTAGAAGGGTTAGTATTTAGGAATATATTATTGTTATAATTGGATTTAATAAGAGGGTTATTATATATAGCATTTAGGCTACCGGTTATTTTAACTCGTAAGAATTTATATTGGTTAAAGAAAATATTTTTAATTTTAATTGTAAAAAGAAGCGGAGGGTAAATATAAGGAAGAAACGTAAGGCGAATAAAAACGCTAGGGATTCTTTATAGCTGAAAAAGAGAGTAAATTCTTTGTTATAATATAAAATTTCCGAGCGAAGACTTTATTTAATAATATATTACTAATATTTAATATTTAAAATTAGGGACGACTTTAAATAGAAGCCTGCTCTTTTAATTTAGAAATTTATTAGCGAAAATTTTGAAGAATATTTAAAGATTTATAAAGAGGTTAAAAAAGTTAAGAATTAAATATGGGATCGCTTTATCGCTTCTATATATAATATTATTATCGTTTCTAAGTAATGAAGAAGATAGAAAATCGGTATTTACGATTTAGTATTTCTTATTAAATGTAGTACTTTTAATACGGGTAATAAAAGGGAATTTTACTTTTTTAAAAATTCTATTATCTTCGATTTTAGTATTTCCTTTTATATTTTTAACGAAATTACTTATTTTTCTTTATTTTAAGTAGCGTCTTTAAAGGATTACATTTAGGTTAATAATTTTTAAATATTTATTAAAGGCTTTAGAACTATTAATATAGAAGTTTAGGGATAGAAAAGACTTTTTTAATTAAGGTTGAAGGAAGTAGCCTTTTATTTCAATTTTATTATAAATTTTGTATTTTTTCGATTGCTTTGTAAGTAGGGTTTTTATTACGATTATAAACTATTTAATAATTGCTTTTATTGATTAAACGGCTCTTTTTTTTATTATTTTTAAAATATTTATTATTAAATAATTTTCGAATACTTTCTTCTTTCCTTTAATTACGCTGCTTTCTTTACCCGATAAAATTGTTTTAATTCTTATATCAGCTAATATATTTATAAGATACTAGCGAATTTATAGTATGGGAAATTCAATTACTTAAATTTTCAAATTTTCAAATATTTTTATAACGTTGAGGGCGCTAAATTTAAAAGCTCCGCTACCTATTAATACGACGTATATAGTATTTTGAAAATTAAGCGAAATATTATATGAAAGTTACGTAATTGAAAATCTGAGCCTGGCGAATACTTCGTTATCAATTTCCTCAATTTTAAAAAAGGAAGAGGCGGTTATAAATTAATAATATTTATTATATATTGTTAGATTAGCTTCATTTAGGAAATTTATATAACTAATTAGTAAATAATTACGATCGTTCGAAGTCTACTTAATATTATCAATACAATCGATTATTAGTATAACGTTAAAATTAAATATATTAAATATAATAACGAATTTAATAATTAATATATTAAAAATTAATTTACTACCTGTTTTATTATTCTTAAACCTTTAATACCTAATATTTAAATTTAAAACAGCGTTACTAAATGTTTAAAGGGTGTAATTAAGAAGAAGTCGCGTATAATAATTAAGAGTGCAAATCTCCTTTATAACCTTTAATTTTAAATCGTTTTAGCCGCGGTTTATTTTAATAACTAATTATTTAAGTACTTTTATAATTAAAAGTTATTATACGAACGATTTTATACTTTTATTACTTATTATAGAGGGGTTTAAATTGAGCTCCGTAAGCCTAATTTTAATTATTTACGCGTTTATAGATATAAGGTCTATACAATAATAACCGTCATTTAAAAAAAGGAATAGAGATTTAAGAAGCTTTAATCAAAAATATAGATTGGATTCCTTATTAGCTATTTTGCCTCTTCTATTTATTAAGTTTAAAATCTTTAAACGGGTCGTATTATTTATATTTATAATATACTATTTAACGAAGATTCGTTTTATTTAAGGAAATTAAAAAACTACGCAACCGTAGAAAAATTAATTACCGACGAAATTATTAATTTCCTTAATTAAATCGACTAATTACTTTATCCTTTTACATAATATTTCGAACTTTTTACTACTAATTAAAATATAGAGAATACTAGTATTACTTCTCTCCTTATATTATTCTTCAATAATAAACTTTAAGAAAATAATAGTAAAATTAAATTAATAATTACGAAAATATTAAAGCTTATCTTTTAAAATAAAATATTTATCGATTTTATATTTAAATACTTATTTTTACTTACCTCGCCGCCTACTACCTTTATTACCGGTCTAATTATAGATTTATTAGTGTTTATATCCTTCTTAACGTTTGAATTATAGGAAGCCATTTTTAACATTAGGAAATTCTTTTAATTAGTAGGATAGTAGTAGGGTAAGACTGTTATTAAAGTAAAAATTAATTATTTCATTATAAAGGATAGCCGGCTAGACTCTATTAAATAATAAAACCTCCTTTTAATATTAAAGATTTATTATAATTTTAAATATTACAATTTTAATAATCTCTTTAAATAAGTAGAGGAAGTATATTTTAATAATTATAAGGAAATGAAATTATAGGTCGAAATTGACGAAGACGTCCCCCGTAATAAATAGTTTTTAAATCTTCAATTATATATAAATATACATATATAAATTTAATAAATATAATTGATTTTAGAAGGTTAAAGTCCGCTTCGTTATTAGAGGAGATTAATAGTATAATTACGGTAAAGAAATATATACCTCTACTTTTATTAGTTGGTTATTTCGATTTATTATTGCTTAAATTGCTCTATTTAATTTTGAACTTATTTAATATAATACGGTTAATGTCTTTATTAATTCCTATTTTAATAAAGAGATTTATATATGTATACCGCCTAGGTACTATAAATATAATATAATCTTTAGATTCCTTAAAGCCTTTTATAGGCTCCGACGTACTTTTTTACTATAGTAGAGAGAATTTAATAGTATTTTTGAAAGTCTTGGGTTTAAATTATTATTCGAGAACCTATATCCTGAAGCGTAATAAAATGTTAATTTTCTATTATATTAATAATATTATATTTACCTTTAATAAATTATAATACAATAAAGTTATTTTAATTATTAAGAGGTTAGAAGAGAAGGATAAATTTATTAGAAGTAATAATTTTAGTAGTTTTTAAGTATTAAAATTATTCGAAATCGGGAAATAAAGCTTAATTTAACTAATTTAATAGGGATATATCTATAAAATTACTAAATTAATTAAAAATCCTTATACTTTCGCCTTTATACTAATAAATAACGAAGAACTCTTACTTTTCAATAATATAATTACTTTCGATAAAATCTGGGAATATTAAGTCATTGTCGGCTCTATTATATATACCGCCATTATTATCCAGCTAAATATCACCTTCGCCACTAATATATTAATTCATTATAATTATAACCCTAGTCTTTAGTATTATAAGGTTATTAATAAGGTTTTATACTACTTAGAATTTTACTTTAACCTTTCCTTCTATTATAATAGTTCGAAAAAATTAGAAATAGTTTTTAATATATTATACGTTAATAATTCTTTTAATTAAAAGAATTTTCAAGGTTTTACTATTAAGCTATTTAGGGGTATAGTTTATTGGAGTATTATTAAGTAAAAGACAGTTTTAACTTTAATTACTAAAGTAGAATTGCTTTCTCTTTTTAGCGTAGTAAAGGAAATTATCGCTATTATATGCCTTTATAAGGAGATTAAAATTCCCTTTGATATGAAGGTACTTATAATTAATTGTAATAATACTTGGACAATCCAGGTATTAACCGTTAAAGTAATTAAATTGATAATTAAATTAAAATTTATTAATATTTATAATTATTAATTAAAATAGGAGATTTAAATAGGAAGAATCGACGTTAAGTATTTAGAAACAAAGAAAATACTAGCTAACGGATCAATTAAAATTTTAAGATAGTAGGAGTATAGGAGATTCTGGGAATTAATAAGGATAGCGAATACACTAGTCTATAAAGAAAAGGAAAAGGAGAAGGAGATTGGTAATAATATATTAGAAGATATTTATAATTTAACTAAAGAAATCAAAATACTAGAAGAGAAATTTTATAAATAATTTCACTTTTATCCATTTTAAAAAGTTTATAAGTGAAGGGGTATATTAAATTCAAGGGTGGAGATTCTAATTAACTCGTTAAGGGTTAGACTCTTAACTACTTGATTAAACTTAATTTCTAAGCATATTTAAATTACCTCAACACCCCCTATACCTTCTGGAGCGTAGGCTCGAGTTAGCTATACACACTCTTTAATCAATCAATTCTGCACCGTCTAATCTGACAGGTTGCGGCTGCCAATTTACTATCAATTGACTATCCCGCCCCGCGAAACGTCCAAATTCCTAAACGTTTAAAAAATTCAGATTGTCTAAGGGCTATAAATTGACGGTCAATTAGGTCCCAAGTATTTCAAAGATAAAACGTTAGTCCATTTAAACATTAGAAAATGCCGAGGGATCTAAGTACAGGTCACCAAATTCCGAATTGTCAAAGGAGCGTTCGCGGACAGATCGAAAGACCCCCCCCTCCCAGTACGGAAACACCCAAACGCTGCAGATAAGCACGTGCGCACACTTGCACGATGTCACCTCGTGGACTTGCACACCACTTCCTGATCTCTTCACAGCTTCCATCCCATCAACACTTCGCTTCCAACATTCATCGAGGGGACTTGAAAACCACGCCTCCCTTCCACACGTGGGTGATGTTATCCGGGTTTATCAAGACCTCAATGTCTTCAAGCGGGTTGGACGAGATGGCAATCAAGTCGGCATCAAAACCAGCCTTGAGCTGGCCTGACTTTCGAGCCTGAGGACCCCTATAAAGTGTTACAACATAACAACATAACAACATCTAGGACATCCAAAACTTACAAGGTTTCCGGAGGAGTAGCAGTCGCCATTTCTATGGCCTGCAGAGGAGTCATGCCGGCCTCGACGGCGTAGCGAAGTTCCGTGGCGTTTTTACCGTGAGCGACCGCATGGTTCCTGTCGCTGCTGAAAGTATCTGTTCCCAGGGCAATCTTGACCCCCAATTTGATGGCCAGTTTGATGCTGTCTCTCGACAGCTGCACGCCACGCTCCAGCTTAGCTCTTTGACGCGGATCGAGGTCGTCATCACCATCAATCAGACCCTCGACGATGTGGCGTGTAGGGACCAAAATGGCATCCTTCTCCTTCATCTTGGCAGCAACCTCCTCGTCCAAGTACGAGCCATGTTCGATGCTCTTCACTCCCGCATCCAGAGCCGCCATGATGCCGGGCTTTCCGTGGGCATGAGCGGCTACCACTCGGCTGCTTCGCTTCGCTTCCTGCACCATGGCTCGCAACTCCTCCGGGCTGAACTGCGTGTCCTCGGGCTGGTCGTTCAGCGAAAGCGTGCCGCCCGTCGAGCAGACCTTGATCACCTTGGCGCCTCGGCGAATCTGCTGCCGCACAGCTTTGATACAGCCATCCACGCCGTCACAAACAAAGGACGATGATGAGCCATGAGCGCAAGCGTCCAGCACCGTCTGGAGGGGTACATCCTGAATATCGCCATGGCCGCCTGTGATGCTAAGTATGCTCATGGCCGCGTAAACATGAGGGCCAACGATGGCGCCCATGTCAATAGCGGGTGCAACGTCCCCGCCATATCCGCCGAGCTCGCGGATTGAGGTGAACCCCGCCATGAGCGTCCGGCGCATGTCGTCGACAATCACTGCCCCGATGAGCGTGGCTGTCCCGGGTAAGAAAGGCTTCATGCTATCTCTGATGCCTATTGCGACGCCGACACCCTCGAAATGGGTGTGCGCATCCCACATGCCTCTGTTTTGTGGTTAGCGGTCGCTGAGTTGAAAGAATATGAAGGCCACTCACGGCATGAGCACCGGCACGCGCGAGAAACGGATTGACGAATATTCTGAGGGTATCTCATTCTGTGGTCCAACCCACTCAATAGTCGAGTCTTTCACCACCAGTGCCCCGTTCTTGAGAGGCTCACCACGACCGGGAATCAGGAGGTCGGCGAGGATTCCATGGTAGGAAGCCCCATCGTCGACAGGGTCTTTGTTGACCATGTCGTTGGGCAGAGCCACTCTGATCTGCATATTGAGCCGTAGACAACGAGGCTTTGGTAAGGTGTGTCAGTTGTTGAACAGCCTCTGGCACTCGAGTTGATTCCCGCGGTTTCTGTTATAGTACCACGAGATGAGTCTCCCTTCTTATATCATGCCTACAATCGTCTCAGATCAACAGTGAGATCCCACCTGCCTAAGATGGCAAGGTGTTGACTGTAGACGTTGTCCTCGTCATTCTGGCTTCATGAATCCCTGCAAAAGCAACCTAAATACGCGTACCCGGACTGGTTGGTTACGACAGAAGTCACCAACATTTGCCAGACTGCCAGTGATGGTGACGACGCGAGCTCTAGGCATGTAAGCACTAACAGCCCATGGTTACTATATCAAGTTAGGTACTTGCAAGAGTGGGCAGTAATGACTTCGTTTTATGCTTTGAATTATGATAGATTGAGGTCTTCCAACTCTACCATGCCATCAAAAGGTTGAGAAAACTTGTAGAGTCATATCCGTTCCCTACCCATATCCGTAGCCCATTTTCACCAGTTATATACACAGTGCACGGACTCCCCACGGTGAAAACTCCCGTCCCTCTTCACCTTGACCTCACTCACCTTGCCCTATACATACCTCCGTCATTCTTCACCTTCTCACCTTCCACCACCTCACACCTCACCTCCGTGGTACGTACACAGCATACCTCCCGTCATCATTCTCAACCCTCCAAGTCCATTGATCAAAGCTTTCCTTTCCCCAAAGTCTCACCATGTCATTCACCTTCACCCGAACGACGAAAACGAGGACTCTTCTCACCAAACTTAACCCCAACTACCGTACACTTGCCGAGAACAATTCTTTGACCAGGAAGTTCTCCATCTTCATCCAAAACCGATCAACACCAAAAACCACCACATATTCCCAACAACAATCACCTCCGCAGACGATTATTCTCAACCAACAAAAATCTCGCACCATGTCTTCTTCGTCTTCGGAGATTAAGCCGCAATTCTCAGAGGGTTCCGAGCCGGCTGTTCTCGGTCCGGCACTCGACAAGCTTTTGGCTACGAGCGGTGCTGGTGGTAGGTGGACGCTTACACAGGAGGGAGTAGCTATTGAGAGGACTTTTAAATTCAAGACTTTTGCCAAGACTTGGGTATGTTTACTTGATCGATTGTTTCTTTGATATACTTTCCTGGGGTGTTTATAATTCGCTTTGGCTACCTACCTACCTACCTACCTACCCTCCTCTTGCATACCTGCCCACCTAGCAACGTTCGTTTGTCAACTCATCTCTTGAATTTGCTTTGGATGGATGGACCAGTTTCTTGTCCGTGGGAATATCAACCGGATAGACTCCCTACTCTACCTAAGGCGCAGGGAGAAGAATTCCGCGAACTACCACCCATCTGCTCTGCTCTGAATGACTGAGTCAAATTGGGGCAGATAGATTGGGTGGGAGCTACACTACACATCACACTCACACACTCACACACATCCAAGAGTGTTGATGACGGAAGAGAAATCCGAACGTGCAAATGAGAAAGAGAGGATGAACCTAGACACACCACTGGGCTTGCTCTTGTCTTATCTTGTCATCATTTTCTCTTGTTACAGTCACACACACACTCCCGCTCTTCCTCTACATACTCCTCAACCTTCGGGTCCGGGTGTCATGGCTTTGTGTTACACACCCAGCTAGTCATCTGCCGGCCTTCTTACCTTACCCATCGCCTTATTCCTAGTTATGTCCAAGATTTTTCTAACCTCAACCTCTCTCTTTAGGACTTCATGACCGCCGTCTCCCTCCAATGCAAGCTCAAGAACCACCATCCCGAATGGTCCAATGTAAGATATATATTTCCCTCCATACCACCTCCCCCTTCCCCTTTCCCCCTTCCCCTTTCTCTCTTTCTAACATCCCGTGCTTCTCTTACTTCTAGGTCTTCAACACAACCTTCATCCGCTGGACGACCCACGTCCCCAAGGGCCTCTCATCCAAGGATATCGAACTAGCCACCATCTGCGACTCGTTGGCCAAAGATTTTGGCGAGACTGAGCCGGAAGCTGGCGCAAGTTGCGCCATGCCCAACTTGACCGACCGGGCCGTGGCTTCTTCTGGGGATTGCTGCACGCCTAAGCACCTGAAGAAGTAAAGTAACCGACAGAAGCTTCAGTAGAGGAGCATGTGTGCGTGTAAGTCAGTGTATGTATGGTATGTTGTGTTACTTTCATGATCGTCTCATTACTATATTATTAAAAGGGGTTTGTATGGAGGGGGAAGGGAGGCCTGGGCACGGGGGTGGTGCTTTGCCGAGGAGGATGCCGAAAGAAGGAATCATCTATGTACAAGAATTAATAGAAGCGAGAAGGGAAAAGACTCCCCTCCCCAACTGCACCACCGCGCGCGTACGGCAAAAAAATTGCGACGCAACCCCCTTCCCCTTTCAAACGCCTTTTTGTGTTCATCCCCCCATTCTTGTATTTTATGATAAAGGACAGCCAAAATGAACCAACCCGTTTCTACCTTTATTGACTCCTTATTTCCCTTATTCGTCACATGGACCGTTTCCCATCATTAGGTGGTTCTTCCCTTCTCTCTTCCCCGTTGTTTGGTAATGCGTTGTCCAAAATTAGTGAGGTCGAATGGAAGACCTTAGAAAGACAACAATGCGAATACCATGGACGGTTATCATGGCAGCGGATCCATCAAACTCAACCCATTTACTGGGCCTTCTTAGCCCTCATGGCCGCAAGCTTCTTCTCACGGCGAGCCTTGGCGGCCTCCTCACCGGCCTCGGTGTCGAGGCAGTAATCCCACCAGCGGAAGCTGGAGGCATAGTTGCCGATGAAGCGCTCGTGGTGGACATCGTGGTGTTCGGCACCAGCCCAGAAGGGGAGGATGTGGCACAAGCTGAAGGGGAAATCGTAGCCGGAGTGGGCGTCGATGGCCTGGAAGAGACGGAGGACGATCCAAACATACATGGTGGCGAGATGGAGGTCCTTGGTGAAGCAAACCCAGAGGATGGGGGATCCTACGGTACCAATACCGAGGAGCATGACCTCAATGGGGGAGGCGTACTCGGCGGCGAGACCAAAGGGCGCGCTGTAGGTGTGGTGAATCTTGTGGATGGACTTGTAGAGAGGGCCGTAGTGAAGCGCGCGGTGGTTCCAGTAGTGCCAGGCATCCTCCATGATGAAGAAGATGCAGATTTGGAAGGCCATCTTCCAGAGAGGAGGGAAGGGCACGCCATAGTCGAGACCGAAGTAGGTGGCGATGGGGTGGAAGAGCCAGATCTGGGGAAGCTCGACGGTCAAGTGACTGAGGAGAACGAGACCGGCGCACTCAAACTGTTCCTTCCAGGTGGGGCGCTTTTCCTATGTGGTTGTTAGTGACTGTTTCTTTGCTTTTATGCTTCGTTGGGCACCGACTTTTTGCAGCTTGTACTTGTTGAACATGGGAAGAGCGTCGATGATCATCCACGGGATCGAGCGGCCGAAGTAGATGATCTCGTGCATGAAGAAGCTCATGAGACCGGTCGCGAGAGTGTCATTCTGCATCCACAGATACCACGCCTATCGTCGAACGTTAGCTATCCTTGTTCGTGTCTCGTCCCGGCGTTTCGGGCTGGGTTGCAGAGGCCGCGTACCGCCCAGAGCTTCTCGGCGTAGTTTAGCTGAACATTGTACTTGGAAACCTCTTCCAAGACGGTGAAGTATGTGTCGGTCGAGCTCAGGCCAGCGACGGTCGCATTACTAGATGGGACGACACGAGTCAGTATTCAGATCGTGGTTTGACAGGGCGCGAGGGTCGACAGGAACGTACAGGACTGCCGTAGCCATGGTGGGCAGATAGAGAATAGGATGCGACTGCGAGGTGTTGGAACGCGATGGGAAAGAAAAGAAACAGTCGACAGCGTCCAAGGGCAATGCCAAGTGCGATCTAGGGAGTAGGGAAAGGCAACTGACAAGTTTCAAAGGGGTTGCTGGATTTTTTATTGTCCTTTCCCTTGGTGTCCTCTGGCGGGAGCCCCTGAGAAGACGTGTTGGGTCGACCAATGGGGGGAATGACCCCAGAATCGGCCCACTGCGAAGCTGTTGTTTCCGCCTTCCGGGACCCACTCTTTCCACTTTGGCCTGGCTGTTTCACCAAGTCGAACGACCGGACGGCGACTTCAGCGAGTGCTCAATGAAACATTTGGAGCCCGCCAAGCGATGGAATCCCAACAACACTCTTTGCCGTGTATTGAGATGTGCCATTGTTCCTATTTGGGCTCCTATCTTTGAGTTACTTAGGTGATAGGCACTGACCACGTCACCGCAGTGTGGCACGTGTGGGAAGCAGAGGGCGAAATTCCATCAGATAACGAAAGGAAGTTGAAGTGATCTACGGGAAGATACGGATGTGTGGCATCCCCTCCATAACTTTTTTATGTTCATCATCGCCATCTCAATTCTGGACTGCTATTCGACATCCAAACCGGCACCCGTAAAAGATGTGTAACACAGAAAGGTACAACACAAGTGGTGGCTGCATGCCGCATCTCCATCTCTTTGACATAGAATCTCACATCGAGAACCTCGAATTGCTCGGGGGTTTCCAGTGATATGGAACCATTGCATCCACACCGTGATCCCACTTCTTCTTCGGCTGGTTCGTTGCCAACCACCCCACAGGTCGCCAGGGGGTTGGCCACTGACGGGACTGGCACAGTTGACATCGGTAATTTCCATACGGTACGTACCTGGCGGCCAGAGCGGGCTGAGCGGCTACATTAAATTGGATCGACACTTTTCCCCAAAGCGTATTCGTGGATGCTTTCACAGACTGGTATGTTTGCAAACATCTGGTATTCTGGAACGGGCCAGAGAACATTGCCAAACTTGGAGTTGTGTCCCTGGCCTCAATTGAGGCATGCCGTGGTTGACCTCTTGAGGCGACGTGATGGGAGTTTTTAGTTGGCATCGTCAATTTGTCACCGCCTTTGAAAGTTGGACTTGGCATTTGCAATCCATCCTTGAACATCATAGGCTGACGTTTGAGCTTCGGTTTGACACTCATTTGGCTGTGCCTGATACCATACAATATTCTGAAGCACCTCTCGGTAACTACAATTTGCCGGCAACAGGTAACTCATCAGGTCATTCTTTGATGAGGCTCAACCGTCATCATCTTACCAACGGAATTTTCCTTTGACCGGATCGCAGTCGAACCAACTTGGAAGTATCAATCAGTGGGGAGCGGACGTCGCCCCGCTTGTCAAGCCCAAAGAAACATCCCCACCACATCCCACATTTCCGGGTTCGACAGTGACAGCCCGAAGCCTTGAACACCATCTCGGCAATCTTTACATCCGACCCCGGTCATCTGGCCTGATCGCACTGATCATCCAGTTTATTATTTCCAGTGTTGTTGCCGATATTCCATATCGCCACTTTTACGTCCTTGAGAAGGCTGAGAGGCCATTTGGGGCGAAGCTTGCCTACTTTTCGTATCTCGCCAGCAACCGGCGAGACAAAATCCCGGAACTTTCCATCATCCTCATATTAGCTGCTGTTATTGTCCCGGAGCCCAGAACCATTCGTTTGCAGGGTTGGGGGAACAACAAGTCGAACCATGGCGATCGTGGCCGAGTCAGTACTCTTCCGGGGTCTTCATATAAGGACTTACTTGTCAGTTTGTCTCAATGATGGGCGGTAGTGTTAACATGACTTCTCTCTTGACAGCAAGGTGCGTCGCTTAGACGTACATATTGACAGGATCCTCGGACTAGAGCCCGGCTCGATCCCGGATGCCGAGCAGGATCAACAAGAGACGGGGTTGCTCACGGCCGTGAGCGAGCCGCCTTCACCCCGTGCCGATGAGCTCTTGCGCATAGCTAGGACCTTGTCTACTGCCTCTCGGTCCGGCACCTTTCTGCCCCCTTCTCGTATCAAGCAGCTGCTGGAGGATTCGGGCCTGGCCACGGAGACGGAACTTGCCGAGCAGGGAGAAGTCGGCGTTGAGAGCCAGTATGAGCGTGATATCGAATGGCTCCTGGTGGCCAAGGCTACGGTTCAGACTTACGGCATCTTGATGAGCAACTTCTTCGACGAAATCATGCCTCTCAGCGATGACATATGGTACTGGGACGATGTGCTCAGTTCATATCCCAAGAGCTGTTTGTACGCGACGCAAATCGCGCCGGCTAGGGCGTGGTCTCGAGCCAAAGAGGTCTACGATGTGGCTTGTGAACGGATCCGAAACATTCACTTGCAGCAGCAGTCGGAGGGTGTCGAAGCGGCGCAGACAGGCGAATCTCTCAGTGAGGGAGTGTCACAGAAGTGGTCACAGTTTTACTCCATCGTGCGGCAAAGCATGGCTGAGACTTCCGTCTCCAACCTTCGACGCAAGATTCTCTCTCCAGTCGATCTGGCCCGCGCTGAAGCTCGCCGAAAGCGAGCAGAGCTCCAGAAGCTCAGGGAAACGATCGCTGCCGGGCTAGGAATCCTAGTGGATGAGGGCTTGGCCTTCGATTCTAACGCGGAAGAGGATAAGGGGCTCGAATCGAGACTCATGGCGGCAGACAGCACGCTGGCTGATAGTATTGCTCTGATGGACGCAATTCTCACCAACTCGGCGGAAACCAACGAACCACTTTCCGTGTTCGAGGACTCTGTCTTTGCATATGCCAGAGACGTTCGGGGCGCTTTCAGCACTACCGATAGCTCTAAACCCAAACCCTCGTCTGTTGCTGAACGCCTAATCCAGATTCTGGACCATAGCTTGGTACAGCACAACACAGCCGTCGCCAAACACGTTTCCGAAAACGGAAGGCCGTCCCCCGTGGTCCGGTACTGGCTTCCCGCTCTGGCTTTGCTCGTGTCATCTCCCACCATTCTCTACGTGCTCGTCAAGCGGCGCGACAGCATCATCGACTGGATCCAGAACCTCGGTGTGACCGTCCGCGACTTCTGGTTCAACTGGGTCATCGACCCCATCCGCAAGGTCATCGGCACCATCCGCCACGATGAGAACAGCGAGATTGCCATCATGAGCCGCGACAGCCTCAAGGCCGACAGGGAGAGCTTGGAACGGATGGTGGTCGAGTTCACGCTGGACAACCCCTCCGTGGCCGTTGGATCGCCTAATGTCACCGACCTCCAGATTGCTGATATCCGCGCAAAGGTCAGGGAGGGAGATGTGACGCCCGTCTTGAAGGCCTACGAAAAGGGTCTCCGCCGTCCCTTTGTCGGCGCCGTCAGCGGTGACTTGGTCCGGTCGCTGCTGATCCAGGTGCAGAAGACCAAGGTCGATCTAGAGGTGGCTATTAGTGGTATCGACTCGCTTCTTAAGAGCCAGGAATTGCTCTTTGGCTTTGTCGGGTTGGCGCCCGGTGTTGTTGGTAAGTTCCATATTTGGTGAATGCCTGTTTTTAAGAAACATGGACGCAGCCGCTAACTCCCCAAAACCAGTCTCCATCGGCATCGTCCAATACCTCAGAACCGTCTTCGGCAGCCGCAAGGGTCTCCGCAGAGGAGAAAAGGTTCGCCGCGTCGTTAGGGTGCTGAGGAAGATGGACAGGATCCTGGCTGCGGGCGCTACCAACCCCAAGGGCGAGCTCAACTACAAGGACCGCGGTCTGCTGCTTTGCGAGGCGCATGTGCTCCGCGAGCTCGCTACCGAAGTGCTCCCTGGAGACGTCAAGCGGGAGTTCCTGGAGGATCTGGAGGACTTGACGAGTGTGAAGAATCTCGTGCTCCAGGAGAAGGCTCTGCAGAGAATTCGGTGGGCGTATGCTGAGTGGTTGGGCAAGAAATAGGGGATTGTGAGAGCTTCATCAACAGATGATCCCTAGCGCGGGAGTTGGTGGATGGCGGCAAGCGTTGGGCTGTTCTATGATATGATCAGTGTACTTTAGTGCACGACGACGACTAGACTAGACCTTTATGATTTTGCTATATGTATGACATTTTATGAGATGTAGGGTTTTCGGGAGTCTTGAAAATGCACGGAAGAGACCGTGATATAGCAGGAGTAGTGCATTTAGTCGGTCGTTGTAGTAGGTCTAACCCCTTAAACGCAGTGGAGACGGGTGTGCTTCCGTCCACGTAGAAACACAGGGACATATTTGTTGACCCTTTTGACGCTTCACGCAGGGGAATAACAAGGGTTCATCAGGGGCAGCCTCTCGTGTGGCGGGAAGGCGGGATATGTCTTTTGGTGGAAGAGATCATTGGGCCAATATTGAGTTATAGATCCATCAACGGATACTGCGTGTCTCGTGCGTATAGACTGTTCACCGCCTTGCCCGCCTTTATTACCATTTAGCATTGAGAGACCGTCGACTGGCCTTTCGAACGATCCATTTCGTTGAGAAAAAGTTAACCGTTTAGAAGCCACCAAAAACCCTTCACTTTTACGGATTGCATGAGGAAGCAAACACAGATGCTCCCCCGTTGGGATGGTTGGTCTCCGTCTTGAGGCTCACGCTCACCTCCTTCCGCGACCCCAGATACTACTAGTCGTAGCAGAGTTCCATTAGCCCCTGGTTCCTGAATCTTGCATTGAGAGTGCAGTTGAGTTGTCCCTTCTCACTCCGGCTCCCTCGAGACAGCTTTTCTCAATTGTCCTTCGAGTTCAGTGACTGTCGTCGACACAACCGAACATTCTCCCCAAGGCTTGTGAGGGGGGTCTACTTCATCCAAGTCCCATCGTTCATAAAGAACAACATCTGGTGGAGTTGTTGCGGCGATTGTAGGTTCTAGAAACTTGAACCACCACCACCGAAGCGTCGCGTCCCCTACACCACAACTACGCGCAACTATAGGTGCTCTCCCACTGGCCGTAGTGGAGGTACAGGTGTACCCGACACTCCAGCAAGGTACGAATAACACCCACCCGACCTCCCATAGTCCGCGACTCTGCAGTAGGCAGCCCTCACATCCATGTTGATGACGGCGCTTTGCCCTCTTGACTTGCACTTTGAAACACCATCTTTTTGACTTTTCCGACTCCTTCCTCTCCAGGTCTTGAACAAGCTACAACCCCCTTTCTGCTTTCCCGTCCTCGTCATTGTTTGTCTTTTTTGTTGCCCAGCAATCTCCGCATCGCCCCGTAGAGGTACGCACTGCAGTAGGCCGGTCAAGGAGAGAGACCGACGCCTCCGCTGGACTAAGGTAACCCGTGCAACCGCCCTGCAGTTTTGACAGGCCCGTCGACGTCGCACTGCGGACACGCTTTCAACTACCACCACCACCAGTCCACCACTCACCTACACTACAACTGAACATCATTCCTGCTCCGTCGCCGGTTTCCTGAACTGCGCATCCTCACCACCTTTCCAGTCTCCAGTCACCATTCCCATTCCCGCAACTAGTGTCCAACACCCCGATCTCGAAATCTCGATTGATATATCCCCTTTGCCGAATTCCGGATTCCGAACTACTAGAGAAATATTCCACGAGATCGAAACACGGGCGGCGGCGTAACCCCCAAAACCAGCACATCATGTCGAGTAACAGGAATTACGACTTTCTGGTGAGTCTTCCATCCACCTCACCGCTCGCACCCTCGACATTCCTCTTGCGTCCGGTGGTGGGCTTGGCGAGGCTTCGCTGTTCTTGATGCTGACCGGAGATACCGCTACCGCATATAGATCAAGCTGCTCTTGATCGGAGACTCGGGCGTTGGCAAGTCCTGCTGTCTGTTGCGCTTCAGCGAAGACTCATTCACACCGTCATTTATCACCACTATCGGCATCGACTTCAAGATCCGCACAATCGAACTCGATGGCAAGCGGGTGAAGCTACAGATATGGGATACCGCCGGTCAAGAGCGTTTCCGCACCATCACTACGGCATACTACAGAGGCGCCATGGGCATCCTTCTCGTTTACGACGTGACGGATGAGAGGTCGTTCAACAGTACGTCAATACATACACATTCCTATCCCGATGGAAACAGCAGCACGGCAGTTGCGGTCAAAGAGGTGGCCCTTGATGCTACACCTGGAATGCGATGGATCGGTGTCCGCCAGGCGCCGTGCCTCTCCATTGCTTCAGATTCCGGCATCTGCAGTATTCCAATGGGCACATGTTATGCACTATATATCCCGTTCCTTTGCTGACATGGCATCCTTTTCGCAGATATCCGCACCTGGTTCGCCAACGTGGAGCAACACGCGACGGAAGGAGTCAACAAGATTCTCATCGGAAACAAGTGCGACTGGGAGGAAAAGAGGGCGGTTTCCAAGGAGCAGGGCCAAGCGCTAGCCGACGAGCTCGGTATTCCCTTCCTCGAGGTCTCGGCCAAGGCGAACATCAACATCGAAGAGGCCTTCTTCAGCCTTGCCAACGATATCAAGAAGCGCATTATCGACACATCCAGCAAAGAGGCGTCTGGCGGCTCGTCGGGCGTGAACGTCAGCGATAACAGCGGATCAGGATCCGGTGGCAAGTGCTGCTAAGCCAAAGGGGTAGCAGCTGTGTGGCGGCGGCACCCGATCGCGGAGCTTGCGGGAAAAGCCCACTGACAATCACGATGGCGATACGAGATACGATTTATCCTCCCGGAGTACGAACGACAGCAGTCTGGCCTCATTCAATTCTACTTTGGTTACAGCCTACGTCTATCGAACATGCACCTGTCTTCCTAGGCGGGCTACCAACATGCACGGCCGGGTCTACCGCATGGAAACAAAGAGGCGGTGTAGGGGAGAAAGAGGGTTTCTTCGGTCTCAAGACTTTACTATGGTTGTAATGAAGCTAAAGTCCAAGAGGAAAAGACGGCTTTAGTTATTCTGGAGGGCTCATTGCAATCCCCTTCTTTGTCTCTCGGTAGCAGGAGGGAGGAGCGGCGCGGAAGATGCGATGCGTGCTCATTTTTCGCTTATCGCTGTTGGGTCTATTATTATTACGCTGTAGAACCGGTTGATGGGAGGATGGCTAGGCTAGGGAGTTGAAGACGTGAACGACGATACGGAGACATGTGGGTTTTACGACCGGCTTGATTGATAAAGATGGGTTAAGCTGGTCGGCAGCATGGACGAGGGGCAGAGAGCGAAACGAAACATTCTGGTCACGGAGTTTGGGTGCGATCTTTGGCTCTTCCTAATATATTTCATTTTCTTCTCTCTTGACTGTTTCCCTTCGTTGTTCTTTTCCTGGTTCGTTGTAGATTTCGTCTAGTGAGTTCGCGCGCGCCTCCTTCAGCTGTATTTCTAAAGTATGAAGATATGAAGCCCATAAAATAATACCTACATAGACACTGACTGACTGAGCTGACGACCCTGGCCAACCATGGTTCAGAGTATCAAGAGCATCAAGACGTAGAGGTATGACGTGAGCGATAACATTGTTGACATGAGCCACGAATCCACAGAGGTGCTCTTTTACTCTTTCAGGAAACGAGCACAAACAGCTAGATGTGGTTCGTGCGTTGCTCAACTTGTCCTTCCGTCGGTCTGACTGTTCACACAGTGCCGAGGAAGCTACCACGACAGTGCTTAATCATCTTGATTCACCACTGCACCGTTATCGCCTCTGCTTCCTCAAGGCGACAGACTCATCCGGCGTGAGTGAATTCAACGAGAGGATTTTCTTTCAAGGAGGGGGTTCAAAAGTATTGCCGGTGCCTGGCCCATATCCAAGACAGGAAACATTTCAACATCCTCCAACAAGATTCATCGATTACAAGTCAAGACCTCAAAACACAACAAAAATCACAATGGCCGCCGGTCCCCCTCTCAACGGCGGTTTTGACATCGCAGCATGGCGCGCCCAAATCGAAGCCATGAAGGCAGCCGTAGCCGGCCTGCCCCCATCCTCCAGCGAAGCCGGCGGTAGCAGCAGCAGCAACAACAGCGACTGGGACGACGACGAAATCGACTCGACCTACTCCCCAACCAGAAATGGAGACGGTCCCAGAGACATATGGGATTTCATCTCGGACGACGAGTTGGACTCCATCGAGTTCGCCGATAGTGGCGACTATTACCATGACCATGAGGCTGACGGAGCTGAAGATGGGTTTGCCGGTGGTGGTGGTAGTGGTAGTGGTAGTGGCTACGACTTCGGCTGGCTCGCCTCGCGATGCGCAGATGTCAGGTCCGCCGCTGGCCTTGGTGCCGGAGCGCTGCAGGACCAGATCATGGAGATTCTGGGTTCTGGCAAGTCGGAGGATGAGCTGCAGTCTTCGCTGACGGATCTCATTGGGTTTGATGACCTGGACTTTGTCATCGATCTGCTTTCGCATCGGGAGGAGCTGGTGTCGTCGGTGGGACGGGCGTTGAAGCAGCAGCAGCAGCAGCAGCAGGAAAGTAACGGCGGCGGCGACGGGGGGCTCCGCCTACTCAGCAAGGCCCAACGAGAGGCCGCCCTCCGCCAACGAGACTACGAGCACAAGTCCGCTCCGCTGGCCGCCGCGCGGTCGAAGGAGGAGGAGTACCCGCACGTGTACCGGGCGTACAGCGCGGGCAACACGCTGAGCCATTCGGGAAAGCGGTACGCGCTGCCGCCCGGAAGCGAGAGGAAGGAGTTTGAAAAGTACGAGGAGTACACGATTCCCGCCGGAAAGACGGGCACCCTCGGGCCTGGAAGACAGCTGGTCAAGATTGTGGATATGGATGGCCTGTGCAGGAATACGTTTAGGGGGTATAAGACGCTCAACAGGATGCAGAGCCTTGTGTATCCGGTGGCGTATAAGACGAGTGAGAATATGCTGATTTGTGCTCCTACTGGTGCTGTAAGTCTTTCTGTTTTCTCTTGTTTCTTGAACATTCTGGCTGGCTCGCATACTAATCTCTGGTTCTCAGGGTAAAACGGATGCCGCCATGTTGACCATCCTCCACACGGTCGGTCAGTACTTGACACCAAGTCCCTTCGAGGATCACGTCACTACCGACTTTGCCGTTGCCGCTGAGGATTTCAAGATCGTCTACGTTGCTCCCATGAAGGCCCTGGCGGCCGAAATCACGGAAAAGCTCGG